ATGTACTAGTAGTAGTTCTCGGAAATCGAGTGGAAAAAAAAAAAAAAAAAAAAAAAAAAAAAAAAAAAAAAAAAAAAAAAAAAAAAAAAAATAAGTCGGTGACGAAAAGATAAAATCATCCATGACAAAAAGAAAAAGATCCTTTACATTCATCTTCTACTACTATGTACTAAGGTAGGCCACATTGATTGATTGATATGGGAAAAAAAAAAAAGGGGGGACTGAGATGAAGTGTACACTAGTACAACGACTTAGCTTCGCAAAGAGAGTGCGTGTGCTTTTTCTGGCCCGTGCAGCTTTCCCGGGGCAGCGACCAGAAACTTCAGACCTCCTACAACGGACCGCCTTACTTTCAGGCGCTTCCAATGCATGGCCGGTTGGCCCTTTGGGATCTCACACCGACCAATCTCCACCGCCCACAGGGAAACTTGGAAACTTTTTCGGAACGGCAAACGTGGCAGCTAGAGCAGCCAATCACCGGTCATCGGGGCTGTCACTCGATGTTCTCGAAGCGGATGAGGATCCGCGCGGCCATTGGGCGTAGGGAATCTTGCCTCACTTCCTGAATTTTTTTTGTTTTTCTTTACTAGTCGGTGGTGCTATACTTTTCTCATTGGAGTGGGTGGTTTTTAGGGGCCTAATTTATGCTAAACGGGCCATTAATTATCAGAGTACTTCATATCAAGGTTTTGTTTTTCTTGTGAGAAGCGGTGTGGATGTGTTAACTTTGTATCTACTACTGCTTAATGGTCTAGGTGGAGTCAATGAAAGTTGAATAGGAGTGGAATGTCCCACTATCACACAGTTCAAAACTGTAGAGAAAGAGTGACTTGTAAAGGTTGTACATACTGGTAGCGTTGGATCCTCTCGGTTGATATTCCCAACCCATGACGACCGGGCAAGGAAAGGGAAATGGCCAAGGCAAGGCAAAACAAAAAACGCCTCGCGATGTAGTCAGCATCATATCTCCTCCGAGTCAAAGTAATGCTCCAATTCCAACCCATGTTCTCGAGACTACCATTTCTGGACGATTACAGGTCATTAGTTCCAACGGTCCTCTGGTAACCCCCTGACCAACCTTTCCCGTCCGGATTGCTGGCCCTGTCATGGCCTGGGGAAAGGTTTGATAGGTGAAAGGTGTTTTGTTGTGTTCGAGGCTATCGATCAATCTGGGACACTCCCCTCCATTCCCCGAGGTCTAGATTGAAAAAGTTATCCATCTTAAGCAACTTACTTTCGGTGGTGGAGCCATGAGATGAGCTGGCAGCCAGTGTCTTTCCCTTCTTTCTCTCTCTCTCTCTCTCTCTCTCTCTCTTGTTCTCTTGTTCTCTTTGGTAATGGAGATGAATAGACTCCCGGAAGACAGGCTACCGGAAACGAAGGTTAACACCTATCGGTTCCATCGTCGTACCCCATCCGTAGGTGGTTTCTTCAGGTTGCACATCTTTTTCTTTTTTGTTGGCTTTCATTGAGTCGGTCAGTGAGGCAAAACAAACCGTTTCGTTCCATGTTCCTCATCAATAGAGTCCAAAGGCGGTGGGTCAAGGCGGGCGCCCCTCCTAGCCTCATTGTCATATTCTCACTATGACCACCGGTTCAAGTAAACAAAGTTTCATGGCTTTTTTTTTTCTCCCATGAAATCATAAATTGTCCCCAAAAGGGGGGGGTTGGGTTGGTTGGAGAGGTGGAGAGGGGTAAGGATGGAAGTTCTTCCGTTCAGATCGGAATCTCGACCATCCAGAAAAAGAAAACAAGACGATTGAACCTTGGACGACCGAGTAGAGTCCTATCAAATGAGACAATAAAAATTGCCGCCTTCAGGTTCAGGTGACACTTTCCAATCAGGGCATCTTCCCAAGCGGGCGGATTAATCTTCCATCCCCTTCCGGGTTCAGCCAATGCGCTCGGACCAAGGATTGAGAACAGAAGAAGAAGAAGAAGTGGGGCGACAATGAATCTGCACCCGAGAGGCCTGTCACACACAACTTCCACACCGCCTCGCTCGACTACTACCTAACCAGTGATTCATGGCTTAGGCTGGAATCCTGACGAAAAGAAGGAAAAAATTCCCCCCCACCATCCATCGAACTGGCAAAAGAACGGCTCCGCCTACGTAAAAGGTGGTCCCCCCCCCCAATATTATTCCCCAGGCAGCAAATCAACAGGGCGCAGCCGGCTCCCATCATTCACAACATTTTACTCCGTACTGGTGCTACTCTAACTACTAGTATGCTAGTATGCTAAGTTATGCTACCGCTCTTACCACAGTTCGATCAAGAGTACAGCCACTGGGGCCACCGTTGCCTTCCATACCTTCTTACGCCCTAACTTCGTTGCCTTGTGACCGACAAGGGCAAAAATTCGTTGAAGTGTAAAAAAGTTGTCGAATTCGTAGAGAATGCTTCTTCTTCTTCTTTTTCTTCCTCCTCCTCCGCACAGATGTACTTGTACATATGTATGTATGTCGGCAGGATTTCATGTAGGGTTGACTCATCGAAGATCTCCACTGTGGACATATAATTAATTAGTCTAATCACATCTTACCTCCTTTTTCTCCATCATTGCGTCGGTGATTACGATCTGAGTCAGGTATATCTACAGTTCCGTAATTTGGTTCGTTCGTGTCGGAAGGGTTAATGAAACCTTTTTATGGATGCTTCCGGAGGAGAGGAAGAGATGGAGATGGAGAGGGTGCGTGTCGTAGGTGTGTCTTCGCCCACGTCCCAGAACCAGCGTTCCAGTCCATCAGTGTTTCGCCTTCGGTCGTTGGTTGGATGCATGAAAGGGCCCGGCCTTGTCGGTGGAGATGGTCCGTTCCCCTCCTTTCCTATTTGTAGCCGAACCCTCTCACTAGTCTTCGCATCATACATCGTCTTAGCCCCTCCCCGTGGGTCGCCGTCGTTCCCAATCAGCGTCATCCGTCCATCTTGCATGCTTAACATGTAACGGAGAAGTTACATAAAAGGGGAGGGGGGGCAAAGGGATGGTTGATTCGTTTCCGAATCATGAGTGGTCGGGTATTGCCTGTTTCTGATTCGACTGCTATTCTTATTATGAGTCGAAACCAGTCTTGAGGTAATTTTCAACTGGTGGATGAGGTGGTTGAAGTGGTAGTGGTAGTGGTAGTGGTAGTGGTGGTGGTTGTTGTTGTTGTGGCCACTCTGGACGGAATTCGGATGACCCACGAGTGTTTCTTTCGCCCACGTATTTAATTTCTTGCTGACTGATTTTTATTTAGCCTTTGGGGGGAATCAATTAAAATAAAATAAATTCCAGAAAAATAAAATCGGGGGTTGTTTTTTTTTTTAAAAAAAAAAAAAAAATTAATAAGTAAATAAATAAATAGAATAAATACATAAATCATTTTATTTTTTGCATTTTGAAATTATTATTGTGATTATTATTTTTATTATTATTGGGATTTTCCCGTTTCCCTGACCACTACGTTCCCTCCTCCTTATCACTATTGTCCTCTCTTGCCTTCGCCTCCAACCTCCATATACTTCTTCTCGCTCTCCCCATCCATCTCTCGCGCTCTCTCGCTCTCTTCCTCTCTCTCTCGCTCTCCCTCTTCTGTCCCTCCCGCCTCGTCCCATTTATATCACCGTTTTAATCTGTTCCGTCTTTGTTTTTTTTTGTTTTTTTTGTTTAAATTTGATTTGTTCACTGTTCTCGTGCGTTTCATTCCCTTTCTGATTCAGCCCGGACAATCCCCCTTAAACTATCCACCCATCCATCCACCGCAATCTGCAACCTACCCCTACATAATACAAGACGGTCGGTACCTTGTCGGCCACATTTATATCTATCCCGCTGGCCACCACTGTTCCGCCTCCCAACACCAACCTCCCTGGTTTGCTGGACTACCTAACTTCCTGGTGTTGGAACATTGATTACTATATAAAAACAAACTAAAAAAAGTCTCTGGGCTGTGCAACATCCTGAACGTTGCCACAACTACCGGCGTCTAGCTCACTGCAACGGCCACTGCCAAAAAAAGACATCGAGATCTACAACTGGATCAACCTCGCCACTTGGATTTCCCCATAGGACCTGCATTACTCTTCCCGTTGACAGGCGTCTCCATTCCCTTCATGGATCCTTAAGGCGACTTCTTATTGTTCCGTGTTCTATATAAATGCTGGTTTTGGATGTTTAAACCCGTCTCCACTGGATTCTAAAGGACCATTCTCAACCCGGATCACCGACGTTCTATCCCTTACTTCCTTTGACCAATCTCTCTCTCTCTCTCTCTTCCATCCGGACGGAGAGAGTTCCCTCGTTCAGGTCTCCTTGGATCCACTTGATTATCTTTTATCACCCTTATCTTTTCCCTTGACTCCCGCTGCCCTTCATGCTTGCTCCATCTCCTCCATTGAGCATGTACCCTCCAATGCTCCCCACCCCTCCGCCCTCTCCGCCTATCACCCGCTGTTATGCGCCGGAAGACCGTTTGGGACTGCTCTTGGCCAACCGGCTGGAGCTGATTGGAATCATTGGAGTAGGTGCTTATGGTGTCGTCTACACAGCCATTGACATCCATACCAATGTGATGTATGCGGTCAAGGCCCTCAACAAAGCTGGACTGGATCCCCGCCAGCTCAAGTTTCAGCAGCGCGAGATTAAGTTGCACCACATGGCCAGTCAACACCCCAATGTGGTTTCCTTGGTCCGCATAATGGATTCCATCGACTGCACCTATGTAGTCATTGAGTTCTGCCCCGAAGGTGACCTGTTCTCCAGTATCACGGAGAAAGGCAACTTTGTGCACAATGACCACTTGGTCAGACGGGTGTTCCTGCAAATTCTGGATGCCGTTCAATATTGCCATAACATTGGAATCTACCACCGGGATCTTAAGCCGGAAAACATCCTGGTCACCGACCAGGGTTTGACCGTCAAGCTAGCTGACTTCGGCCTTGCTACCACGGATGCCTGTACGTCGGATTTCGGTTGCGGGTCGACTTTCTACATGTCACCAGGTACGCCACCCCTTTTCTCCCCATCCTTGATTTCCCTGTTCCCCTTTTGTCACCGACCGAGATCAGTGGGCTAACGGTTGGCCTGCAACATAAAAGAATGCCAGCAATCAAATCCCCGCCCAATGTCATGGTATGAATCTGCTCCCAATGATGTCTGGAGCCTGGGCGTAATCTTGGTCAACCTGACCTGTGGCCGCAACCCCTGGAAGCGGGCCTCTGCGGAAGATTCCACATTCCGGGCCTACCTGAAGGATCCATACTTCCTCAAGTCCATTCTTCCTTTGACCGATGACATGATCTGTATCTTGAGCCGCATCTTCGAGTGCGACCCAAGCAAGAGGATCACCATTCCGGAATTGCGCACCATGATCCTGGAATGCCCGCAGTTTACCATTCCTCCCTGGGGTTCCATCAACGGGCCAATGCCGGTCGACTTTGTCAATAACCCACAGGTCCCTGTGCACCACATCCCTTCGGATGTCTATGATTCACAGTCCTCCGTCTCTTCTGGCTCCTCTCATTATTCTGACTCGTTGCAGTCGGCGGTGTCGGATGCGTCCTCGTTCACGGAAGGCTACCCCGACGTAGACAGTGTCTCGTCGATGTCTTCCGTGGGACTGGACTGCGAGGCCGCTTGCAAGAACACCTTCACGCCTACGGACTCGATGACATGCAGTGACTTCGTTGAGCCGCTGCTGATGCCTTTCCCTCAACCTATCCCAGTCCCTGCCTACTAAGCAGCGGGGCCCTCAAAACTATTTAACGCAGGTTTATGACTTAACGGCAATACTTTTCGATTTCCCCAGGGATACACCTGATCATTCCTTGGACTATTTCTGGGTTACATCCCCTTGCATTTCTTAAAGCGACAAGTGTATTATTTCACGGCACAGAAAGCCTTGGAGAGCAGGTTTTTTGAACATATGCCCTAATTTCTTTCATTTGGACCCCTTTCCTGGATTTGTGGATAATACCCGGATGATTGCCCGCTGGATAATGGCCGGTGAGCCAGAGTTGCCTTCTTGGACAGGTTTCCGCCAACTCGCTCCGCGAGATTTTAGTTGGATGTCGGAAACGTGAATTTTGTTTTATTATTAATATGTTTTTTATTTTCTTTTTTTTTTTTCTCTTTGATACATCGCTCTCTTTTTGGGTGGAATTTGTGGGCATTTATGATACACTTGCTGTCATGATGGTTGATTGTTGGCGTTCACTTCCCTTGGTCCTTCTTGTTGTTTCTCACCTTGGCATCGAAAGAAGAAAAGAAAATACCCCTGGATCAAGACCGCATTGCATTTGTTTCCTGTTTGCACGGAGTTTGTGGAGGGGCCGCTTGGCTATTTTGGGTTTCACTTTCGCTCGTTTCTCGATGATACCTGGGAGCCGGGGAGGGATGTCTCTCCGCTCCTGATCTCGTTCTTGATCTTTTCGTTTCGATCTATTAGTACATAGTTTTTGATCTGTTGGCTCGACACGTTGAGCCAAGATCCGTTCGGTTCCCCTCTGATGGAGGTTTGAGATAGCCATACGAGAGTTCACCCAGGTCGTCCGCACATGGGCCGACCATAAGGGCCAGAACCAGAGTGAAGCGTTGCTACAGCGCTATAAATAGAGACATGACGACCGCGATCTCTTCGTTCCCATCTTGTTTCCATTTTCAACTACCGACCTCTCATTTCTCCGTTTTTCCTCCCGCTACTTTTTCTTTCATTTTTAATTTGAGTATCCACCGGAAATAAGGTGTCCGCTATGATGCGGTGAGCTTAGACTTTTGTTTATTTTGCGTTTATTCCTGCTCCAGACGGAGCCAATCTCATTGCGCTTTGACATGGCGGGCCAAGGGCAGGACCACTGGCCTTGCGTGGCATGGCCAACCCTTGCAACTGTTCTTCGTTGGCGAGCGATGACACTGCCCGAAGCGTTATCTGTTCCAGTCTTGAGTTCACAGTGGGTCCGGCGCTTACAGACAGCTCCGCCAGAAAGCTTCATTCTGAAACGGAGATTGTTTTGACCGAGATGCCCTGGGCCTTGAGCACTGGTGTCATTTTAACGGCTTCTATTTTTATCAACCGTCATCTGACGTGCTCGTGCGGGCTCGCACAGGCCATGAACTTGTTCCCTTTAGTTGTTATGTATGTATATATTATTCCTTATACCGATGTACTATTATGATCAACGTCATCATGATCTCCTTTACTTATCCACAGTGAATAATTTACCCTCCGCCGGGGTCGCACTAGTCGAGAAAGCTTTCATTGGTTCCAATCTCGTGGTGAAGTATATAAAACTACCGGATAACTAATCGTTTCAAGTCCCTACATGTTCCTGCCACCAGTAACCCGAATCGTCTCACCCGTCACATACGAGAACAGGGGGCTGGCGACGGCCAGGACAGACTTTGCGGCCTCCTCGGGCGAGGCAGGTCTTCCCAACGGGATATCCGGGTACGTCTGCTTCTGCGCGCCCGCACCACCCTGGCGTGACTCCAACTGCTTCCCCGGAATGCCCAGCGCCACCTTGGTGCCGTCTGGCGTGGTAATGAACGCGCCCTTCTCCTTGGCCGCCGTCAGCCGGGTCTGCACATGGCCAAAGGCGATCGTGTTCGACCGGACACCGAACGCGGGACCCCATTCTTTGGCGATGGTCCTGGTGAGTCCAACCACTCCAGCCTTGGCAAGGGCGTAGTTCGCCTGGCCTCTGCATTATTGTCAGTAAAAAAGAAACAAAAAGTTACCATCATGGTGAAATAAAGAAAGACAATGAAAAAGAAAGAAAGAATACATACGCATTCCCATGAATCCCACTTGTACTACTAATATTAATGATCACGCGAGGCTCCCCATCCTTAACTCGAAAGTACTTCGCCGCAGCACGAACCAGCTTAAAAGGCGCCGTATTGTGAACAGCCAACATAGTATCCCATTGTTTATCCGTAATCTAGACCATATTAGCAACACCATACAACAAACATATATATATATATATATATATAAATACAAATAATATGACAGAAAAAAGGGAACAAACCTTGTGAATCACACCATCCCACGTAAACCCAGCATTATTAACAATAACATGAATCTTACCATTCCCGAACTCAGCTGCTTTCTTCACCAACGACTCGATATAGGCATCATCAAGAATATCCCCCGTAACAGCAATGGCCCGGTTCGGACCCGCGGCATTGATGGCGTTTGCTGTGTTTGTGGCTTTCTCTGTATATTTCTTTAGTGACTTGCCCTTTTTCTTTTTCTTGGTTGATTGATTGTCGATATGGACAATTCTCGATATATACCGTATGTATATATATGTAATGGGTTTATATGTATAGGTAGAGAAGAGAGAAGAGAGAAGAGAGAAGAGAGAAGAGAGAAGAGAGAAGAGAGAGGAAGGAAGACATACCAGCATCAATATCAGCAATGACGACCTTGGCGCCTTCATTAGCGAACAACTTTGCGGTCTCAGCACCGATACCTTGGCCAGCGCCGGTGATGATGGCGACTTGATTGGCGAGGAGGCCTTGGGGGTAGTTGAGATGGGAGGAGATTTGGGAGAGGCGGTGGGCCATTTTGGAGTTGTTCTTTTCCTTTCCTTTTTACTTTGGTGTAGGGTAAGGTAGAGTTTGGATAGATGGTGGGTTTGTGGAGTGAAAGTGGTTCTTATACGGGGTACTTTGTGAGGGGTGGTGTCGGGGTAATGATGGATAATGCCATGTACATACTTTGGGGATACAGAGTTAATGGCGCGCGATGGCTTACCGAGGCCCGTGGTGCAGCCGAGTGCCGACATGCCTTTGTACTATATGTACATACATTGATGATATATGGAGGGATTTAAAAAAAAATTATTAATAATAATATCAAAGTGCATTGATTGGTATCCTGGGAAATAAATTATTACAAGTGTTGTTTCATGTGTTTCAATTGCAAATACAGCCCATCGCTTGCAGATATGCTTCCACCGTTCCTTCGTATCCGCGGATGATCTGCTGTAGCCAGCTCCCCTCCAGATTTGCGTGGCTGGACATGTCGATTGTTGCTTTTAGCGATGTCACCACCTCCTTGCACTGTTGGAGTCGGCCTCGGATGAGCACGCGGTGCACTCGGCGCGCCTCCTCGGGCGCCAGTTCATACTCGCCGTACCCGAGTCCGTCGTTGCTCGCACAGACGTGCGCGGCGCATTGGTACGTTATCCAGTAATCGAACAGCTGTAGAGCCAATCCCAGTGTCGTCACCGATAATAGCACGTGCGTGTTATCTTTGTGGCAGTTGTGGCATTGGAGGAATCCTCGACAGACCGATAGTGCCTCCTTGACAGCCTGCAGGCCCTGATCAAATCGCGTATGGACTGGGTCAGCCGCGATATGTTGTAGACGGTTTGCATGGAATTCGATAGTCTCACCACAGTCGCATATGGGCTGTAGTACGTTGGGGATATGTACGGCAAGTGGAAAGCTCGTCAATCCTTTGGTGATAAACTCTTTCTGGAGAAAGGTCGGCGACATGGAAGCCGCATGCGTTGAATCAGGCAGTGGATCTCTATATGAAGTCACGTAGTCCGCCGGCGATTCACTTAGTAGTAAACATGTATTGGCTGTACTGTGTTGACTTAGAGGACTGTCTGTGAGCTGCTGACTGGGCTCTCGCGTCTAGACTCATCGTGAATTAGCTCGATACGACAATTATGGCAGGAGGAAAGGAACAAACCTCATTCTCGCTTTTATCCAGCTCCTGATCCGCACATAGTGGTTCGGTGGCCTGGAGAGCTCTGCGTTTCGTGCTCCTCCCGGAGACTTGAGCTGCTGACGTCTCCTGGAGCTGCCCTAGTTTTCTCAAAGTAGCTCGGTTTTTGCTCCCCTTCGGCTTACCAGACCGATTGGCGACCCGGTACCGACATTGCAACCCATGCCGGAGACAGCGGATGCAAGTATTCTTTCCTCCTAGGTTGCATTTAACCTTGGATTGTCGACAATTCTCGCAAGCGGCCCGGAGTTTGGGGCCCTCCCCATCATTTCCTGGGAGTTTATGGGGTTTTGCAAGCATTTATTGCCTGATCGAATGGGTGAGACTTTCACACTGAAGTTGTATCCCGGTAGCCCAATCAATATAAGATATTATATCGGTGTCTGACAATTTAAAACGTCAAGTATATTCAGCACTGGACCATTCGGCTAAAATTAACAATAGTAACCGCGACAATATCAGACAAGTATCGCCTAAACACTGCTATATATCCCAGGAGAATGGTTGGAAAGCTAGATTCGTATCAGGATTTTTGAACCGACGGGAACCGCATATGAAGTCAGCCGTTGTGAAACCTGGCGACTTCGTCTGATCCACACAGGCATGGAGATTCCAACCAGCGTGGCCACTCTGATGGTTGGCGCTCGCAGCAGTCCAACTGACCCCAAATCTTACGGATCCGAAAAGGCAAATGGCAGATGCTTGGCCACCACCAATGGATCCTTATAGGAGACTGTCAGCGGTAGCCACTTGGCTCTGGGCCTCCAAGCACAGAGTCTGGCAACAAGCTCAGGTGCAACATTGTGGGAAAAAGCTGTGGGGCCATCGAGGGCCAAATAAGTTTATCCATCAAAAACAGCCTTTGCTAGAGAGAGCGAAGCACTCCTGTCTGACGTAGCACCCAATGGTGAAAAGCATTTACTGTTGAGCAAGTGCTCAGCATATGCAGGCCAGCACACACCCCATGTGAGCTGTAAACCGAGCCAAAAACAAATTGGAGGTCTATTTGGCCTGTCCACATCTTTAAAAAGGCCGGTGAAGTTGAGCGGTGAACATGCAACTCTCCGCGGGAACCTTCTTGCCTGGTCTCTCAGAACCAACATCTTCTTCGCCCCCCTCCTTTTTATTTCTATCCTCGACACAATTTTATTCCTTTCGTAAACCATTTCCTTGTTGGAAAGCTAAGCTGCCGTGATAGTCAGCAAGGGGGTGGTTAGACACATCTCGTATTTGTATGCCAGCAGTCAGCATCACATCCCGTCTATTACATCGGATTGGATTATTGCTACATGGTTAACTATAGCCTGTCGCTGCTCGTGTGATCCTGCGGTTGCCTCGGCGAATCACCCAGTCAGTTCCAGGAGCAGCTCTCAGCAATCCCACTATGTCGGTAGTCAAATGCCCTCAGTAGCCCAGTCAGATGAGCCACAGCAGCACACACCACCAGCACATGAAAGATCTGATGCGAACTACCCCAAAGATCGAACTGGCCCGGTCGCAGACGTTCGGGGACCCGAGCGGCGTAGATCCCAGCTCCCAGGATATACAAGAATCCCTGAAGTAGCAGCCACCCGAGCCCTATCTGGCGCGTCATCTGGTCAAGGCCATACATTTGTAGCCCGTGGATGACGGGAAACACCGCTGATAGGCCCATGCCGACAAACATGGCGGCGCGAAATGGCCGCCACCGGGGAGTCCGAAATTGGGGCATAATCGAAACAAACACACAGCCAATCCCAATGGTGCCGATCATTGTCCAATATAGTCGCTGCAGCCCAGGCTCGCAGTAGAACCCATAGTATACACTAGGGACGAAACTGCCCACAATCAGAGCTACGATACCGGCATAATCAAGGGTATTGCCTATACGCGCGACAGTCGGCGAGTGGTTCGAAATGGTATGGTACGTCGCAGACATCCCCAGGCACAGAGCAGCTCCCACGAAAAAGCAGGCGAAGCTAATGATGTCAGCCTGGGTAGCCGTCTCGTAACGAGGTGCTAGAACGCGATGAAGCAAGACTGCCGCGGGGACAGCCAGTAGTGACGGCAATAGATGCGTATATATATTAACCGTCTCATTGTGTATATATGTCAACGATTGGAAAGAGATCAGGAACGAGAACGAGGCTGGTCGGTATCCACTATGAATGTGATGATTGTCGCGCTGCCAATGGGGCAAGTCGTTCCAGTGCAGAAGTTTCTTAAGGACCTGAGGCGGCTGCTCCATAACTGTAGCTGCCATTGCTGCCGGCGTACTGGCTTTTGACTCCTGAGCCTTCTCAGTGGGGCGGCGTTGACGACTCGGCATCTTTCACATGCAGGATGTAGAAATGACGGATGAATCAGATGGTAGGGAAGATTACTAAGCTCAAGCTGGATTTAAATCCAAATAAATAAGAGAAATGAAGGAGAAAAGGACACGCCTAGCTAGTTAAAAAGACAGAACCCCCCGCAGCCAAAAAAAGAATGTTGTTGTGGTTAAAGCAAACGTTGGGATGGACCGAAACGATGGATCCGATAGTATGGAAAAGCCCGTTGGGGAAGCCGGACAAACCGAGCAAACAACCGCCGGTCTTTCCCGCATTTCATGTGTTTATCAATCTTATGTCGATAGCTTCATGACGCAATTTCACTCTCCATTGCGTACCTAACAGCTCAGCCATGTCACAGCGCGGGAAAAGACCTGCGAGCCGCCTGAAGCCCGTGGCAGTGGATTCCCTAGAAACGGTGGGATTCGTTTCCAAAGGCGATCGCAAGTATGCCATTCTAGTGGGGTCGTCACATTTGTGGGACTGACTTCCCTAGGTTGCTGGACCATAAAGCCCAGAATGACTATTTTTCCAAAATTGTCGAACGATACATGGCGTTTTGTGCCCGCCACTCGGAAGACTTAGACGCAGCGTGGTCATCTCTTCCGACAAGTGCGTCCGGTGATGCCACGAAGAACCCCCCCGCGGCTCTTCCCCAGTCGAGAGAAAAGCAACCCAAGATCAATAGTCTTTCCGCATCCACCGAACTGTCCACCCTTCTCCTTTCCCTCCGTAAGCTTCGTGAAGCGGTTCTAGCCACTGCGTCCACAATACCAGTCTCATTCTCCCAGCGTGTCCATGTCTTCTCGGTCAAAATATCCATCCAAGCCAAGCATCCTCCGTCATACTTCCCCTCTCTCCGCTACCTACTCGAGAAACTACACTCGCCTTCTCACCCGTTACCCGAGTCAGAATTGAAAGATCTCATTTCGTATCTAATCCTCGATTACGCCTGCCGACAGGAGGATTTAGTTGCCGCTTTCGAGCTACGCGCGAAAGCGCGTCGCGAATATACGTTCCAGTCGCCCACAATTGACCGTGTGTTAACAGCCTTAGCGCATGATAACTGGGTTGTATTCTGGCAGGTCCGAAAAGAAGTGGACTCCTCTATTCGTGTGTTAATGAACTGGGCGGAAGATCGAGTTCGGAGACATGCACTCAAGGCTGTTGGTAGCGCTTACCTCAATGTCGGGGCGCAATGGATCACAGAAGGCTGCACAGGAGATAGCCGCTGGACGTGGGATAGACTGGTAGAGACAGAGAAACTTGGCTGGCAGAAAGAGGGTGACAAAATCATCATCCGAAAGCCGAAACCGAAGCCCCAATCAGTTCTTGGATCGAGTAAGGTGAATGCGTAATGACTGTTTATGACGAAGTTTATGTCTTATAATTATCGTGTCATATCGTTATACTGCGTTCAGGCTGGAAATCATGGCGTCTGGTTTTCAATGCTGATACAAAAGAATAGATGAATGTTAATGTATTAGATCAACCAAGGCGCGCTGACCCGGCAAGCGCCATTCTGCCCTGCAGATCTTCGTCGATAAATGCTTCCTACGTTTCACAGTTTGAAATCCGCGTTGGGTCGATCCAAATTGGTGTGTCCTGTGGCAGGTTCCTTGGCAACAAGGTCTACAAGTCCGGCCTTCAACTGCCCCGACTTATCTGAACAGAGCTCGTAGACTGTTGACAGGTTGAAGATTAGACCGCCAAAAGACTGTCCTCCATGCGCCAATGACTCCAAAATTTGACGGGCCTATAACTGTTATTAGCCGTTTTCCCAGTGTACCAACAGTTAAAGGCCAAGAATACCTCATTTAACCGCCCTGTGTATAATAGGCATACTGCCATATTTTGGGATATTATAGCCATATCAGTCCCATTTGAGCCACTCTCTAAAATATCTTGCCATTCGGTTACTGCATCGTCGTAGCGGCCTTCGGCCATGCTCAGAAGTGGGTTAAAAAGAGAAATGCCAGTTTCGTCTGATTCACCAGAAAGTTGCTTCGCTGCATCAATGTCGCCGATCAGAAGGAAAAGCAGCGCCTTTCTTAGCTTGTTGGTTTCACCTGACCTCGATGTTTGCAAATTATGGAGAGATCTCCTAGCGGCATTGAGATCACCCATTTCAATCAATGCATTTACACTTCGAATTCCAAGGTCGGAGAGTCTCTCCTTCCATATACTTCGTTCCGCCGAACTCAGATCTGGCCGCATGATCTCCCTCCGCGCTTCTAGTCCGATCTCATATAGACCACCAATGCCCCTGCGCGAATCACCAAACCCAATGCTTTGGAGCCTGACGGCGAGAACACGTAGCGGCCACGGCACAATATGACGAGGGTAATTTGTATGCTTCTCTTCATTTTCTACATCTGGCGTCGAGGAAGCCTGGTCCACATAGTAGAAGGTGGAGCTTAGGTCCTCTAGTGCTTTTGATTCTTGCGCTGCAATGATGGTATTTCCGGACAGTTCCAGACATGCCAATCGTGTGTAAAAAAGTGAGAAAATCATCTTTATGTCACTAGACGAGATTAATGAGGACGTCAAGATCGTTCCCGAAAGATAGGCTGCAAGGAGGAAGTGTCCTTCAGCCAGCAGCCTCTCAAGAGTGCTGAGGCATGAAGACAAGGACTCTTCGGATGTGAGGCCAATGAACTCAGACCGCAAAGTATGCGGAATGTCAACTTGTGAGAGCGAATGGTAAATGTCGTACCGGAGAAGGAACGAAAGATCTTTCCCCAAAGTTTGTGGTAAGTCATCCGGTGCTAATGGATCTAATTCACTGAATGAAGCCCCAGTGTAACCGCCAGCGTCTGCGATATTCTTGGGCTGAAGTACACCCTCTGTATTCAGTGGACTAATTGAGGTCAGCATGATTTTCTGCTGAGCGTCCTGCTGTAGCTTACTCATTTGGATCGTCTAGTGGACCTTTGGTAGAGCTACGGGGCCGTGATGCTGGGAAGGTTAGTGGACACTCTGAATGCTGCAATCTATTGATTGTTCTTACATCTGGAAATATTGCGGTTGTGTTTGATACTAGGATCCATGTTTGCCCTGTGTTTGGATGCTAGTAACCAGGAAAAAGAGTAGCTAGCACAAAAGCCTATTTGATCGACTCGGTCCTGCGCGTAAGTGTTGGTCACAATCGTAATTAATACCTCACTGGGGAGAATTAATTGTTAGTCGTAGTTTATCGGTGATAACGGGCGAATCGATATGGTGCCTGAATTCTGCCATAGGCGGTGAAGTGATCGGCCTGATCTGGCAAGTTGGCCCATAGTACATGTCTAGTAACTCTCCACTAGCCACAGCTTACACTCCAGTGACCACGAGTTTCCACAAACCTAACACGAGATAATCAACTATCGTTTCAACCTAAAGTGACATCTACCAGTTTCTCCAGCTACCTGCGCACTCCCTTTTCGTATTTCATCGTTCATCATGACGTTCGCTGAGGAATTCCGCTCGAGAAACTTCAGTATGAAACCCCAGTGTTTACTTCTTGTCGATCGCAAGGAACGGAAAAGATAGCTAACCACTACTACGCACTTAGGTATCTACGGACAATGGTTTGTAACCTTTTTTTATCTCTCATCCGTGCCCTACTGCCCTTCAGTTGATTTCCCTCCTTTCGAAAAAACGCAAACTGAGGAAACAATGGCTGCCTGGTCCTTCCAACGGATGTGCTTGGCGCTTGTTTGAGCGGCGACCATGGGAAACTGCTATTAGCATGATTCTACAGACATCAGATCAGGCTTGTTATGAAATAAATGCTGACTTAGTTTGGACCAGGACCGGTGTTGTATGCATTGTCCTATGCATCGCCCTCGGCATTGCCAACATTTTTTCGTTTAATGCCGTTCGCATCGTCTTCAGCATCATATGCCTGTAAGATTCGTCGCCAGACAACTCAAAGGTGGAAAAAGCTCACATGTACAGTGTTTCGGGATTCATCCTCGTTTTCATCGAGGTTCCTTTTCTACTCAGAATTTGCCCAACATCCGAAAAGTTCGACACCTTTATTCGACGTTTCACCACTAACTGGATGCGTGCTGCCATGTACACAATCATGAGTGCCTTGCAATGGGTCAGCCTTGTCTCCGGCGCATCGAGTTTGATCGCCGCAGCCGTTCTCCTCCTTCTCGCTGCTCTCTTTTATGCCTTGGCAGGATTGAAGAGCCAGGAGTTTGTTGGGAGTAAGACCTTGGGTGGCCAAGGGCTTGCGCAAATGATTGTCTAAGAGAAGTCAACGTGGAAGATTGTGGACTATGGCCCGAGGTATGTTTGGCTCCTCATGCTGACAAACAACGCTTGTGGTGCTGACGGCAATGCGTTACAGGTGATTAAAGCAGGCCGAAGAGAAGAACAATCAAAATGGAGCCGCGAGAGAGTATGAGGGATACGTCTGTGTTGAATGCGCCATGATCACGAATTGATTTTGTCTCGACGACGCTACTAACAGGTATTTTGTACTTTTATCATTATGTCGAGTTGGTTTGAGTAAAAAAAGGAAAAGATATAAAAAAAAAAGGACTTACCCTCGAATTTCTTGAGGTTTAAGTCGCGAGTGAGTGTTTTGGAAGAGATTGGTCCAATTGTCTTCCTACTGCGGTGATTTTTGCTGGTCTTGTTTGTTTTTTTGCCTTTGTCTCCATTATGTCTGCTGAACAGTCTACCTTACACCAAGCTTTAGACGAGTCCTGTAACCTTACCAGTATACCTAGCGAGAATACCCTTTTAGCATCCTGGTGATGAATGAATTAATTTGAAGGGTGAAAACTACTGGCGTGGTCCTATGAATTTACTTATTTTGTTATTTGTTAATTTTTTTTTCAAGAAAAAAAATAAAATTCTCTTTAAAAAAATGTGAATTACAGGGAAATTGAATGTGTCTGCACTAAAAGAACAAGAAAACATATATATCATATAGATCTACACTACTCGTTGGCTATGAGGTACTGATAGCATATGCAGTCTGTAGAACAACTATACACCCAATAGCGCAGGGATCAACCACTGAATGTGACTTTTTTGCTGTATGTGTTTGCGTTCCGCACCCCTTCCAACACTTGTTTGTGACCTGCCATGTTCGTGCAGTGGCAGCGTTCGAGGAGTAGTTCTATCCCACGATAATCCAATGTTTTACTACTGGTAGTTCTCTAGAGGCTACTACATACACGTAGTACCGACTGCCTTGGTTCCTCGAATTGGTGATTTCGAAACCTGACCCGGACCGAACGCCCGCCATTCGTTGAACCACTACCAGTTGTTGGTCTAAGAATTATTGTGGTAGCCTGAACAATGCATACATGGAGCGTCTAGAATATGCGCTTCGACATCATGGTTATTACCCCTCCTGGAGGGGTCAGACATCGTTACCCCGCGTCAGGGAAGCTCGTGTCAGTACTATTAGTAGTATCAGGAAGTACATACATCACTTGTATTAGTAGGTACCGCGTGAACAGACTGCCGGTACAAGTGAGATGAGACTAGATATCCCGGTGGTAGACTACATATGTTGCCGGTATTGAAGGTAAGGTCATGTGAGATCGGATCCAAAACCCCCGACTATCATAATTATATACTTCGATCGATGGGTGTTGATGCGGATAAGGCTTCCAAAGCAGGGTTAGCTAGGCAAGGGGGTAAGGGAGGTCACCCTTTGTCTCGCAGGAAAGAAATGGATTGTTCGAGGCGGATTTTGATTCTGCAGCCTGCAGCAGGTGATTGTTCCTCTTGAGCAGGTTCCGGAGGGGCTACGTCAAGAGCTAAAGGTCTGCTTGGAGCTTCCCCATCGAAATGTCGGAATCTGATAGTATGGTCGTCTGGTGTATTGCGCGTCCGTGTTGATGCGTCGCTAGAGTCTAGGCTTCCTGATCTATATTGTATTTATCCTGGTGATATTATAGGTTACGAGGCTGGTTTGTATTGACAGATTTATCCTGTGTATTCGGGTATACAGTGTAGGTAGGTACCTGTGCTCAGCTATCAAGTCCTCGAGATTGGATGCGGGCATGGTATATCTGAAGTCCGGTCCGCCGGTCCAAGTTAGAATCGATTAAACTGCAAGAGAACAAGGAGTGGAAGCGAATACCACAGCTGCTACTAGTAGTAGATAAGACGGTAGGGTAGATATGGTCAGGATGACGAGACGGTTATTGATTATGGACCCATAAGCGTAACGGAGGCATCCCCACAGTGGATCCTATGCAAAAACACTAAATCTCCTTTCTGAATGTGCAATAGGACTACGTACCAAATGAGGAACAAAACTCAGCATAGTGGATTTTGCTGGGGCCTTAGATTTCAGTGTCGTAAGGTACTCTCGTGAGTGACAATGACAGATATGATATATGAAGCTCCTTAGTTCATGATTATTGATGTAAATGTAGGTACTCTAGAGTATGGCTTTTATTAAATTTTCTGGTTCTATTACAGAGTACTGACATACTATTTTTAAAAAATATATGTTGTGGGAAGTGATTAAACCACGGTACTAGCACGGGAGGTTTTGTAAATTTATTGTGGCAATATTATATGTACCTAATGACTTTAGAACTTAAGTATGCATCCTCCTTTATAGATTCTTTTAAGAAAAAAGAAATATTTTTGAGCTGCCGGCACTGTATACACACCATTTCTTCAACTCTACCTTGCTAGGTCTTAGACTCAGAGATATATGCCTTTCCATATAAATATATCTCTACCACTGAGCTATAGAGGTGTATCTGTGGGTGTCGGGCGACTATCTATGCTCTACTTCAGTTGTACAATAGCTGACAATTTTACCATCTTTCTCTCTCTCCTCCCATACATACTCTCTGTTTTTGATGTAAGGGTAGGCTCCAAGTAGATAGTAATTACATACCAACTAGAAATATCATATGTTATGACTTACAAGCCTATAAAACAGTTACAGCATAGCTTGTTGAGTCGATGGAGAGGAGGGTTACAGGACAAAGCCTGTCGGGTCTCCAATGGCATGCCTCTCTTCCCTTCCCTTTCTTTTTCAAATGCCGAAACCTGTTAGTTAGTCTACTAAGTACATGCCTGCAGGTAGTATTGGGTACTACTAATATATGCACGCTGGTATGGCCTTGTACGTGGAGTCGATCAAGACCTGTAAATACTAAGACCATGTGCGGATACGCCGCACAGCCACACGAGGGGCACTACGACCACTCTCAGCTAGGGGAATTTTAATCAAGTCGAAGCTACTGCTCTGTACAGAGATAAGGTAGAATATTACCGGTTCTGTATCACTGATCACATCCCAGGGTCGTGACGCGGTGACTATTAATACACTGAGTGTGGATCCAGTCCAGCCCAAGACAACTGTCGGGGATTTTAAGGAGTCGTTCTAAATGCAGAGGGATTTTTACAGTGAATGAAGGGATGATCGAAGTAACAATCGGATGTTTATGGAAGAGGCCTTTTTTCTGGTACTGCCAAAACATGGATCATCCAGATCATTTTTAATATGAGTGATTTTTAAGGCTTCCACAGGAGTTCTTAATTTATGCTCATGTAACTGTAGCTATCGAAAACACTAAATTTTAAACTATGGTCTACTTAACTTGTTACCTAGGTATTGTACATACTTGCATTTAGAAGGTGGAACAATGCATATCAGAGCCAAAAAATGCCTCAATGAAGAAGGCAAAAAAAAAAAAAAAAAAAGAATCTATCGTGGTAGCTGCAGACATGCATCCTTCATCTCCCTTCCCCTCAGGAGATTCGGCTCCCATTGGCAGATAATTTAGGAATAATCGACCCAAGGGAGGTGTCACTGAATGTGACATACCTGTACTCGTTTTATTTGGTCACTGGTAGTAAGCTCGGGCTATACAAGATATACCGAGTACAGCAGATTACTATCAGTAGGCAGTATGAAGGTTATGTCTATTTTCATCTAGTGTCGATACTTCGATAATACCTCGATCAACTTTGTAAGTAGGAGAAAAGGACATTTAATCTAGAAAAGAAAAATACAACGTCAGTACGGAGTAAAAGGAGAAACGCCCTTGAATCGACCTGAAAAAAAGAATTTCAAGCGGGACCAACTAAACCTCGCGAGGAAGCAAGCTGAGTCTGTAATTGCAACGATTGATGCTCGTTGGCTCACAGACCATGGATGGTTACCGTACGGTTTCCGTACCATTTAAGGAGCAGCCTGATAGCGTCAGAGAGCGTCACGCGACGGGGCGGTGGGCCGTGGCAGGAAGAAAGTGGTTAGACTGGGTTTACGGCCACTTTGCGGCAAAGGGAACTGGTTCATACATCATCTCTGCTCCTGTTGCGTCTTGAGAACCTCTGGCATCGCTTTTGCTCCATTTTTCTTCATTCATCGTCATTTTCTATTGTGCATGCTCTCATCCTTGACCTTCTGGTCCAACAAGAATTTCTTACCGGGAAACTTTCAATCCCGTTTAATCACTCAATTGCCTTTACTTTGCCGTCCGTTGATATTCAGGCAGCTCTACGATCCCTGTTGTGCTTGCTTCTTGTTATCGCAACATTGGTGAGTAATCTCGCTCATCCCCTTTTGTTTGCTCCCCCCCCTTTTATTTTTCTTTTGTGCAGCACATTATTCCATTTTCCTTGCCAGAATCTACAAAGGAAAGCAAGATTATCTTCAAGACTTTTGGGCGGATTGGCCAAGAATGCTATCAGCTTTGCATACACCAATCTTATCTACTACTATCTCAGATTAAGACTGGTGCACCGAAGATGTCTTCTCCTTCCAATAGGAGATTCCTTCCAGTTCAAATCCTACCGAAGAGAGATAGGGGGCTCGGAACAAGACTATTTCCCTTCCTCCTTCAATTGGCCTTGACTGTGTATACAGCAAAAGCTGTCCTGCTAGCTGTAGCTACTTGCGCCGAATTGCCCCTCACTTACACCCTGAAAATGCCCTTGTGACCGAGGAACCTTCTCAGCCTGGTACTGAAGGAGGCTAACATTATCAGCAGTGGTTCTTCTAGTCTACACCTGCTTGGATTGCTAGGTTCCATCCGCCATGACAACACACACTGCACCCGTCATCCCCCCTCGACCGTCAAGGTCACCTAACCAGCAGGGCCTTGCACCCGCAGACGTGCCCAAGATCCCACCGCGTCCCACTCGTCGCTTTGACCGCTCCGTGTCTCCTCTTCGAGATAGCTACGCTCCGTCTCCCTTGAACGAGCCACCCAATGGCTCGAGCTTGAGTCGCACCGTTTCCCAAGATGTGCCACAGCGACCTCCGAGTGTGACGATACCTTCACTTGGTGAAGAAGGTAATGAATACGAAGCTTTGAATATGGGCGATGTCTCCGAGAGTCACCATTCGAGTCCCGCAGAGATGCGCAACGTAGGCAGTGATCTGAAGCTCCATGCACCAAGGCCTTCATTACCTTCTTCCAGCGCCAAGGCCAAGGTGCAAGCTGTCACACGTACAGATTCTCGTCAGGCTGCAGCAGCAGGCCTTGGTGGGACATCGTCCCCCACTCCTGATGATCATGAACGACCAACTCGCTCGTTACAGTCTCGAACAAGTTACTCGCGTGCGGACTCTTCGACTTCCATTGATCGACGACTGTCTATGAATGGCGATGAGCATGGGATTAGGGTTCCAATGTACCCTAATGCTGGTGATGTACAAGCCCCTTCCCCAAGCCCATACCATCTAGAGCAAAACTCGGGCCAGCGGTCTGGCCGCAGCCATAACCGAACGCGGAGTGGTCGTGAGGCTTCTCTTCCGCCCGGAAGCTACGGTCTTCACGGCCATGGCGTTCAGCCTAATGACAAATTCGAAAAGGCCTGGTATGAAAAGCACCCTGAAGAATACGTCAAGGAAGAGCAGGGTCAATATGGCCCCGGAGTTGGATCCCCACGGCCAGACTGGGCATTGAGTAGTGATGATCTGAATAAGATCGTACGGGGCTCTGCTGTGACCGGCAGTGGGCTTGGTGAGTTGCTTAAATGGGTACTGGAATTGACCATGCGACGTTAGCTAATCAGCGAACAAACTTAGGCACATCACCTGCTGTAATTGGAACCCCAGAAGAGGAGGTTGGCTACATTGCCGCTGATGAGTACACTCATCGCCTATCATCACCGCCGCCTGAATCGCGCCGTGGCTCCCGCCTTGTTGCTGAGTCACCTTTGCGCAAGGAGAGCGTGCCTTCGACCGGGACTGAGGGCCAGCAACAGACTATGGCCTCTAAAGACACCGCTCACAAGTCAGAAGAACCAGGGGTGATACATGTTGACGAACCATACCATCATCTACACCATCCTGATGGCTTCGCTCAAACTCCAGGCCCCGATGAACTCTCTGGCAAGCCTGCGGAGGGTGATGGAGATGAAGATGAACCTATTTTGGCTGCTGATGAGGTGCGCCCAGAATCCGCTTTCCAACACCCCGCCGTGTCCCCCACATTCGACAGAAGGGAAAGTATGGAAGGCGATAGGAGTCACACCCCAAGCGTCAGCCATAGCCGCTCGAACAGCAGAACTGCGAGCCACCGCAACAGCCTTCCAACTCTGGCAAGGTACAATTCGCGCGATGAACGGGAAGAAACACACACCCCACTCGAGGATGTTGAAGAATATGAGCCTCTGTTCCCGGAAGATGATAATGCAGAGAAAAAACCTCTTTCGACCACTGACCGCTTCAAACAGCGACCTGATATGCTCAAGCACCGGTTTCCTAGCCAAGACATTTGGGAGGATTCGCCGAATAGCTTGCAATTGCATGCTACGGTGTCTACACCGGATGTTCCTAAGAACGAAAACTTTGAGACCCCGGAGCAGGAGTCCTTCCGTAGAAGTCAGGCTAACCGCGTTGACCCACACAAGGTTGCGTCGCAGATTCTGCAATCGGAAGAGCATCTCGATGAGAAGTCTGTTTCACGCCCAGATATTGCCAAGCAGCGTTTTCCTAGCAGGGACATCTGGGAAGATGCCCCGGAAAGCCAAAAGCTGGTAACCACAGTAGAACCGGCAGAAGAGAGAGAGGTCAAGAGCCCAGATGTGCCGGCGAAACCTAACATTCCAGCTCGACCCCAGAAGCGTCCTCAACAGGGCCCCCCAGTAGATGCTTCTACAAAGCCAGTCACCTCGCCTACTGAAAAACGACAACCACCTTCAATTCCTGACCGCCCCAAGCCCCAAGTCCCGACCCGGCCAGCTAAGCCCGTGTTCCCCGGAAATGGTGGAGAGTCGAAAGATGCTGCGGCCAAGCCGAAGCCAGCAGTACCGGCCCGTCCGGGAGGTAGCAAGATTGCTGCTTTGAAGGCAGGATTTTTGTCAGACCTGAATTCCCGTTTGCAGCTGGGCCCTCAAGCGCCGCCGAAGCCTGAAGAGAAAAAAGCAGAGGAGCCTCCGGCAGAAAAAGCCCCTCTAAGTGATGCTCGCAAGGGAAGGGCCCGTGGGCCCGCACGGAGGAGACCGGCCGCCGAAAATGTGGCCGCGAAGTTGCCGACGATCTCAGAAGTCAAGATTACTGAAACCTGGAATGTTTGGGAGGTTAATGAGGCTGGTAACTTGGTTGTTGGTAGTGAAAAACAGGTGGTTAAGAACGAAGTCGCTGCTCCTGTCACGACATCGTCAGAAAACGACACCATGGCTCCCCCGGTAGCGAAGAACACTGCCGGTGAGTCAGCTGATCCTCAACCAACAGTATCTCCCAAAGAGGATCCTGTATCATCAAGCGACTCAACCCCAGCTGAGACCCAGCCATCGACATTCACAGAAGCAGCCCACACAGTAACGAGTTCCTCCGATGGTGATGGTCCTGCTGTGGTACCTACAGCCAAGCGAGATGACCTAGAGGCATCCTCTGAGGCGGTACCTGCCGAAACCGATGTCGGTAAAACGCCGAGCACCTCATCAGCTGAATCAGGAGTAGAGGACGTTGCTGAAGCTGCGGCTGCGACAGCCGATGGAAAGCGGCTCTCGGAGGGTAACTAAGGGAAGTTCCTGAAGTGTAGTCGTTTTGCGTTGCTTTTTGTTTGCCTCTCGTTCTTTTTTTTTATCAGCCAGTAAAAGACATACTACCGCCTGCCACGGTGTAACAGTCATAGAATTTACTGACCAAGAATCTTCCATGTCCTTCATTGGACGTAATCCCACCTTAGGTAACGAGTACAGTTTGTATATCTCAATGGCAATCTACGCCGTGCTAATAATAGTAGTGATACATACAGCTACGATATCACTTATTGAGTATTTAACGCAAAAGTTTCCCAATCAATTGTCCTATTTGTGTTCTTCCTGGTTAAGAAACAAAAGCTATATATAAGGGCAATCTCCCATCTGACATCAAGATCAAGTGCTGAGCAGAATATGAAAAAGATAGAAAGAATAACAGGAATGAAAGGGAGCACTGGAAGGGTAACTAACATACCTAACGCAAACCAGGCAAATACGGTTTTGCAATTTTGATACTACTAGGAGTTGCAACTTGGATTGACGGAAGGAAGCATCACGATATATGAAAGTGTCCAATCATAACAGAACAGCAGAACACTTAGGGTGGGCAGTAGGTAGGACGGGATTGGTGTCTTCCCATTCTGCCCCCCGTTCTTATATTAAATTTCTTCTTTGATTGGGTATCATGGTATTGTTAGAGGCTTGGCATCATCTAAATAGGAAGCAATTTTTCACCCCCAAGCGCTATGTGGGGAGAGTATAAGGCCTATTCAACTGGCGGGGAGGTTCTTCAGATCGCCCTTTCCGTCCTTAATCCATTCCGGGTCAATCAGGCGCTCCCTCTCCGCGTAGAGCTGTTTGTAGGCACCGCGGATAGTTCCGTCGCTGACATGGGCGACCTGACTGATTTCTTTGGCCGTTTTGCCGTGCCCCATCAGATACGAGGCCATGTAGATACAAGCCGCAACGATGGACAAAGGAGATCGGCCGGCCAGGTCTCCCATGGTTGTGACACGGTCAGAGAGTGCAGAAGAAACACTAGTAACTTGGAAGGGCAAATCCAGTAGATTGCAGAAACGGTTGCACAGGTCGCTGGGTTTGGTGGAAGTTGTTGCAGTGTACGTGTCGTTGGGATCTGGGACTCCACCGTTTGACACCACGGCGTTGTTTCTTTCAAGGTTTTGTGCCGTGAAAAACTTCTCCAGCGCCTTGTAGATTCGGCCAATTTCCTTCCTCGACACTTTCGTAACAGCGAAGATTTCGGTGAAGGTACGAGGTACCTTGCATTGACGGCAAGCGATGAAAATACAACCCGCAATGATCACATCTTGGGACTTTCCTTTGAAGGCCTTCGCATCATCGACTATCTTGAAAAGATATTTGGCGGTATCGGCGACATTCTTCTGAATGCTAAATCCATCGCATAAAGCACCGATCTCTTTGTAAGCAGCCAGAAGAGACTTGTTCGCCTTCTCGCTCGACTGCTTGTTCTGAGCACGATACAGGTCACGAGCACGGCCAGAGCCTCCACTTGCAATTTGGGTCTCCAGTTGGTCACCGTTAAGCAAAGGGTTTGAAGCGTCACCGACACGAGATGGATCGTCGTTGTTCTGATCATCGTTGGAGAAAGTACGCCATTCAGAATGCATATCAATTTCCCGATCAGCGAGCACTAAACCACAAGACCCGCATACAGTTTCATGCGACCCGGGAAACTCCAGATTGGGCGGGACCTCCTTGCACTCGGGACAAATAAGATGATGCGAAAGGTTCTTTTTCCACTGACCTGGTTCAGGTCTGGCTTGGGGTGGAGCGGTGGCCATTTTGCGAGTCTGTAGAGCGGACTCGATACGTTCTCGTCGGCGTTTCGCTAACCTTTTGGCAGAGATAGGGAGATTATGTTTGCGAGCACAAAAGCGAACGAAGAGTGGTGAATACAGGTTGGCGGCTGTATTCCGACAAAAATACGATCAAAGTAACACTCGTCTTCGAATGTACCAGAAAAGGAGAGAATGACAGGGGCGCAAATCGTTGACTAGTATGCAAGCCACGTTTCTGCGTCACTGCCTTCGTAACCACGTTAGCTTTAAGGCCCCCAAATGAAATTTAGGACATGTTGTTGAGAATCCACAGCCATCTTTCCTAAATCTCCAAGGGACCAGATTCTCAATTAAATGCTATACCTTTCCAGGAAGCCCTCCACTCCTGATTCTGCAACAGTCCCCCAGAGTAAAGTAACCTCGCGGATCTAATAAACGAGTAGAAAAAGATCTCCTACTTTGGCGTCCTAGAATCCTCAAAGCCTCGAAGCCAGGCTTGTCCGACCGCGATAAACCAGTCAAGGTCTCCGTGAGAAATGTCTCACGAAAGAGGGTCGTGGAACCTGACAGGTAGCCGCTGCAAGTGAGATCGTTTGATCGAGACGAGCAGAGCAACGTCGAGTACCGAGCTCCTAGGGGGAGAGAGAGCCGTGTAAAGCGAAAGACGGAGATGCGACTTTCGTGAGGGGTTGAAAAGAGAGAAAGAAAGAGTGAGAAAGAGTCAAAGCGAGTATCTGACTAAAAGATGTCGGCAGTCGATGCTGGCAAGAGCCGCACGGCTGAGTCAGCTGCCAAGCCGATGTCTCCCGAAGAAACGTCGAACTTCCAACATCGGATTCACGGACGAAAGCCATCACTTGTCTTCGCAAGCCACCCCAGGTTCCCCTCATTTACCACCTCCCCGCCGCGATGATGTCCCAGTCTCTCAGAGCGTCTGTAAGTTTATACTGATTCCTCTTTTGTTTACTCACTTTTCTCCTAAGTGGAGGTTGTTGACCCTTCCATAGCGCTCTCTCCTCGCCCGCGTCTCTCGGCAACAGGTTTCTTCGGCTTCTCGCCGCACTTTCCTGACCTCCGCTGTTCGTCAGGGTATGTGACCCCTTTTCTTTGACTGGCTAGCTGGATCCGGCGAAACGACGGGCGAATTAGTATCGCCATTTCCCACAAGCCAAAATCTAACCTTGTAACAGCCGACCCCGTTCAGGACCTCTACCTCCGTGAACTCCGTGCTTTCAAGCCCACTCCCGTCAAGCCCGGTGATGCCGAAGCTCACGTCCAGAAGTTCAGCGTTCCCGCTGCCCCCAAGTCCCCCGAGGAGGCCAACCTCGCCAATGAATTGAAGTCCTACGAGACCCAGGAGGTTGAAGTTGAGGGCCAGGCCGCCGCTGGTGAGGCTGCTCCCGCTGAGGAGAGCTGGTTCGAGGAGGATGAGGAGGAGGCTCCCGCTGCCCACTAGGTTTATTGTTTCTATGACAAGGTCTGGGAAAATCGGGGCCTAAGGGCAATGGGATGAGAACAGAATATGCTTCCTGTTGTTGAGTCCCGAATGAACTTTGTAAATTAAACCTACTTGGAGCATATGAATTTTTCCTTTTCTTAATCAATCGGCATTGTCCTATTTTCCGCATTTATTATCATTATCATTTGTAATGTTCTGTGTCTTTTGTAACTCTTCTTGAACTTTTGCTAGGTATGAGATGAACTGGTGTAATTGTTGGCCTCCGAATACTCGGCCGACCGTGTGTGACCGGGGTATTGCTACTTGCAGGTATTCAACTGCAACTTCAAAGTTTGACTGATGATGCATTGTTGAACACGCAATAGCGACTTCAAACCGGATATGAATCAGGTAGATGCTGATCCAACCTGCAATGGTGATTTAATTGTGCAACTCATGAAAAGCCAGCCAGTCATGAAGGGCTATATCCGACGGTATATCATACGGCTGTGAATGATCGAGCTTTTCGCCTATCAATTCTATATATAAAATTTACCTTTACTAGGGAGTATATAGGGGGACACAAATAACCACACCGTGGAAACAACGATCGATAACGTGTCCGATGCTCGGAAAGAAAAAACAAAAACGAAACAAGATATCGTCATTGGGTTACAGACCTACAGTTCGTTGAATGCAGAGCGTCTTGCGTTAGGGATACCTTCCACCTGGATGGAGAAAGGGAGATATGACAGCTCCAGATCGCATCACGTCAGACCGCCAGACTATCCACTGCCCTTCCCCAGCCTTCCCCAACCTCAGCCTTCTCCGTGCATCTTTTTTAAGTGTCTGAATTGACCCGCTGGCCAGGTGTATCTGTAACCATGGCCCCAGAACACGATAACGGTGGCTCGGTAGTCTATCCTTCAAATGGATGGGCTAAGGTTGCGTGCACACTGCATAGTCGATCAATGGAAAGTGGGACTAGGAGTTGATATCGAGGCCACACTTCCCTGTCCGACTCTCCACGGGGTCCGAGAAAAACATATCCGGAGTAAAGGATTACGGCGCTGCCGAGAGAGATCGTCAGATTCCTATATGCTGTTGGTCGGACAATGACATAAAGAATGACCCTCGTCTGGGAGACATCCGAAGGTTGCCCAACTGTGATTAGTTGTACAACATTCCTGGAGGAATGCTAAGTGATTTGCCACTAGACTGTCCAGAACCCTTTTATCCTTCAATAGTTCTTTACTTCATTGACTTTAGTGGCCCGGTTTAATATTTGGCAGCTATACCCGAGGAGATTTATGGAAACAAAGTGTACATGTGCTCATTGTATACTACATGCATGTATGTACAGTCATGTACCTACAAGAATGATATATCAGAAAACCGAGATATTAAGCGGCAGAAGAAGAGACGCTATAAGGCAAAGGCGGTGTCCATCAATTACTATAATACTAGTACTCTTATCAAATTGAATAATGGGGTTGTTACTTCACAATCTCCTGTGCCCCCTTTTTTTTTATTTACTTTGTGTATAACAATGATGCTAAGTGGGATTCGCACCATGCTAACTCAAAGAAAAGGGGGTACTTAACATTTCAAGTACATACATAAAAACAGAAAAGAGGTTGTCCTAATCCGATTTCTTTGGCTTTCCATAGAAGAGTCGCTTATTCGTGAGATTCCAAGAAAAAAGGTTGACGGGACCAACGCAATTGTTAGTTTATCTGCAAGTCTTCGCTGGACGTGCATACAAGCGCATATGAATGGGATATGTCGAATCTCAGTGGTAATGTATTCGGAAAAGATACCTCAGGTACAGTTTGGTACAGTTCTGTACAGTACAATACCTATCGGTTCTATCTTACCGTCATACCTCCAGGTGCTCAGGCCATACAGTGGATTAAAAGAGACCTGTCAGTAATTCGATGATTTAACTGCTGAATTGTCTTCTCAGAAACTCATAATCATTCTGTGTTTTGATCTGTTAGTTAGTGGTATTTACATAGATAGATAGTAAGCTGGACTATTCAATGATTTACCTCCAGCCTTGCAGATGGGGCTTAGACCATCCATGGCACGACTAGTAAACACAATCATGATGGAAAATTAAACCGAGAGTCAAAGAGCAAAAGTTAAAAAAAAAAAAAAAAAAAAAAAAAAAAAAAAAAAAAAAAAAAAAAAAAAAAAAAAAAAAAAAAAAAAAAAAAAAAAAAAAAAAAAAAAAAAAAACAAACCCGGCAAAGAAGGTTAATAATTAAAAAATGAAATCAAAAAAGGCACTGCCAGTTTTAAACGAGATTCAGTCAATAAGATTTGATTTGGTTCTTAGTGAAACCGTGGGTCAGGTCGCTCAGATTCCGAGTACTAAAAAGATACCCCAACCTGGAAGGAGTATGAGAGACGACTTGTCCTGAACGATACCTGTCGGTACGCTTCTTTCTGTACATACCTACGTGGATGCATACGTACTCGGACATGTATGTATGACGGACAACAGTAACTCAAAAAAGATTTTCAAATGATATAATATAAAATCAAGAGGAGAGTGATTGATGAAGGGGGAAGGTTTTATGAAAGAGAAGGATTGAATTGGTCTCCCTTATTATCTCCCAGAGATAAATTGTTGCCCGCGCATTACCTCATATTCGCACGAAACTCGGACCCTGGATTTGAATGGTACGGGAGAGGTGGAAACCAAACTAGACAGTAAGTATTAAATGGTTCCATTAGTATTCCCAAAAAAAAAAAAAAAAAAAAAGTCCCCATTAAGTCTTTCCCTGCGGCTCCCTTCTCCTCCGCTCCCCGTTGGTTTGTTTGCCTCCCTTCCTTTCTCTCTCTCTCTCTTTTTTCTGCTTGACCATTCCTTTCTACCTTTTCAATCAACATTCTGAAAATATAGAAGAAGAGAAGAATCGGCAAGTGTGGTCAAACCCTCCTACTTTGTCATTCGTTTCATGCCACCATAAAAGAAAAGAAAAAGGACCCCAAACAATTCTCCGCTCTACTCCAACTCTACTTTCGGAAATTCTACCGTCCGTCGATCAACCGCCCGCGCTCTTCTCCATTCGTTGCAATATCGACTAACGAGGGACCCTAGTCGGATATACTGTGAACCCTTCCTACTCTACAATTTGGATCTTTAGCGAAATTGTCAACTTCAATCCTTCTGCGGGACTCGTGCCTCATTCGTTGAACGTGGTCACTTGCAATACCTTCTGCCTGCACGGCGATTTGTACATTTACTACACTCCGATCCCCGTTGCGACAATACCGCCCTTCGATGCAATTCATGGGCGCCCTCTCGCACATGTTTTGATACCCTTTGACCTGGGTCTATAGTATATGGAGGAGCTGGTCTCCCTCACTAACAGCAATTACGATCCACACCCGATTGGGGGAGATGTGCATCTCTCCAGGACTCTCCCTTGTCTTGGACCTTTAGTCACCTTTGGTTACTTTTGACCATGTCTCCTCTTTCTCTCGAGACACCAAACAATCATCGAGATGGTGAACATGTCTTGCTGCCGCATTCCGCCAGTTACAACCACCTTCCCGATCTCGTCGTTTCGGAATCCGCCTCTCCCACTCTCCGGAGGACATTCTCAGACCTGACCTACCCGAAGGATTCCACATCCCCGTCCAAGGAGGATGTCGCAGCGGGGAAAGACATCCTAAGGCGAACCTCCCTCCGGAACAAGGACAAATCGACCATTACGGTCTCTCGATTTAGTGTTTCTACCGAAGATGTGACCGATCCTGCTAGCACGGAGCTCTCCGGAGCTCCCCCGAAAGCCCCAGAGACGACGAAAGTCCCGGAGACAAAGGCTCCAGAGCCTGTGGCGCGGCCCTCTAAAGCCCGCTCTATGTCCGGAAGATTGGTCAACCTCGCCCGCAAACCATGGAAGTCAAGCACCCCTAGCAGATCTCCTTCTCCGCCGCCCGGTAAGGGCTCGAGGGGGCGGACATTGCGTGCAGAGGAACAGTCCCCATCAAACTCGCCTGCATCACAATCCAAGGGTCTCACTCCGCTGGACACAGTAACAGAATTCGATCCCGCTGTTCCTACGCGCAAGCGAACAATCTTGAACAAACGGCCTCGGCGGCCGATGGTAGCGGTGGTAGCACAAAGCCAAGCGGATAGTCCCACGACCCCCAATAGTAATGCTCCATCGCCTTTCACGCTAACGGCTAAGAACTCGTTGGAAAAGCTTACATCGTCGCTCAATGTGACAACTCCGGTCCTTCCCCCAATGCCTAAGACAGCGGTTGCTTCTGCCGGCATAGACTTCCCTCGTAAGAAGGATGAACTCTGGGGTGTTTTTCGTGGCCTCGAGGCCGACTTTCAAAAGTGAGTGTTGCTGAGACGCTGGGTGGGCGGAAAATTGTACGAATCCAGGCGACTAACTGTCTCAGATTTCAATCCAAATCCAGTGCCTTGAAGGCCAACGTCATCCGCTCTTCACTTCTACCTTTCCTCAACCGTAATCATTCTCACCCGTCTTATAAGTCATTGAGGCCGGAAGACCTGGATCGTCGAGTTAATATCCTCAACAAGTGGTGGATAGGATTGTTGGAGATGCTCAATGGGAAGCACAATCAATCTATATCAGGCACTGACAGGCCTGTGTATCTAGAAGCTGTTGTCGGAATCATGACTCGGCCTGAATGGAGGATCCCCTTTCCATCGCTGCCATCCGATGAAAATTCGCCGAAGCCCCTACAACATGCTGCAACCTCGATCTCAGAAAGTTCAGAGGGCTCGTCCGGAAGCTCAGATTTTCTTGTCGAATCGATTCATCATAACATAAGGAACATTTTCACGCAAAATTTACTGTCTCAGATGGCCTTTGTGGTAGAACGGATGTCCATGAGACACGCTCCGGCTAGCTTGGTGGCCTTTTGCGGAAAAGCTTGTGCCTATGCGTTTTTCTTTTGCCCAGGAGTGTCAGACATTCTTGTTCGGCTGTGGAACACGCCGCCCAACATCTTCCGACGGGTTCTTGCCCAGTCGAATGTAGATGGCAGTGGCAGTACGCGCGCATTATCCTTCCATGGCCACACGCCATTAGTTCGCTATCTCCGCCGAAAGCCCGATGTTCCTTTAAGCACGGCTCAGATTCGGTGGCAGAGCCCTTGGGTTTCACGGTGGAGTGGCCGTGATAGCGACTTGTTCTTTGTATTTGTTAAATACATACACATCCTCTACGCTGATGCGTTGCCTGCAGACATCGATAAAGACAAGCGTGTCTTGGCGCCAGGCTTATTGCCAATACACGCACAACTTCTTGTCGTTCTGGAGGACACACTTTATAAACAGTCAGTCCCCCAGGCGCCAACAAACTCACATACTGCTGCCGCAATCACGTTCGATGATTTCATCGAAGGTGCTGATACTTCGGTCTCGGCTCTCCCTTTGGGAGCTGCAAACAGTCATCGATCGATGGCCGAAAACCGTTTAATTATATTATTACGCGATTTTCTCTCTGAATCTTCCGTTGAGCCAAATCATGCCCGACTGTTATATGCCGAGTCATTTGCTATGGTAATGAAAACTGCCGCTGGAAAGACTTCGTTGTTCGATCATAATGCCTGCTTTCTACTTTGCGACTTCGTTGAAGAAGTCATTCCCATAATAACACGATATTCCCAGTCGGTGAAGTCGGACTTGTTTGACTGGAAATTCTGGCTTGAAGTTTGCGATCGAATGATGCAAAGCCATAACTCTCTCACTGAAGTCCGCGTGTTTTCCTTTCTCTTCTGCGTTTGGAACACATGGACCGCTTCGGAGGAGAGGAAGGCAGACCTTTGCCTGGAGTTCCTTCTGAAAGAGTCGTTATTTTATCACTACTTCTGCCACTGGAGTCCTATGGTTCGTGCCTACTTTCATCGTCTTCTTTGTTGGAGATTGGGTAGATTTAATGGTGACCCGTCACCACTCGACACGTAAGTGCATAGATTCTCAGGGATGTCGATGTGAGAAGGGAATGATACTAATCAAGCTGATGTAGAACAATTTATGAAGTGCTCGGGAGCCGATTACAAAGCCTTTGGGAATATTACCTGAAATTTCAAGCAAAAGCTGAAAAGGAACTTACGGTACCGCTATCTTCAGCGCCCTGTACGCCAGCACCCGGGCGCAGAATCATCATCATACGGTGTGATAATCATTTCACGCCACCTAGTCTTTTTGTCTCCTTTGACCGCGTCGTCCCTGCGGCACCCCCCGAGCAGAGCGCGGCCTCTATAAGCAATAGCTCCGCGAAATCAGAATCTACCTCTTCTGAAACGCAGCCACCTAAAAAGAGATGGAATCTCTTGAAAGCCATGTTCGGTGGCTCTTCCTCGAAATCCAATGGCGAGGCATCGCCTTCTAGTAGCTCTGAGGAGTCATTGGATACAACTGGGTCTGATAGCGTAGCATCTGCCGACAAACGCTTGGATGAGATTTCCCGGTCGAATGATAGCTCTGGAGAACTCTCCCGACCCAAGACGGCACACCAGCCTTACTCCTTCAAGTTCTCGCTGGAGTGGATGGACCGGCCCCAATGGCCCAGCAAAAACAAGCGTCTTTTCACTCCCTGTCTGCCTGTGGCAGCCCAGTTACATCTGCAGCTTCGTAAATCTGCAGACGCAGGCGACGAATCTGAAATAGAGTCCGATGAAGAAGCTGACAGCGATGGCGCCCGAGAGGGCCCACCGTCAGCCAAGGAGACGGGGACATCAAAGAACACCAACACCGGCTCGGAATCCGAGGAGGGTTCCAGTAAACCAGCCCCCGAGCCGACAATAAGTCACCCACTTGTCGCGAGCAAGTATGTGGGTCGTGCTCTTGCAGAATGGGCCCAGATTGTCTCAGAATGCGACAGTTTTTTCGCCCGGCGACGTGATGAGGGCGTACCCTGCGATCGAATGGTCGAAACACCAACGCTGGGCGTTGAAAGCTTCAGGAAATGAGCCGGTGCAGCAGGCTGCCGTAACCGTGATGCTGGAAAAGACATCCGCGTAATATGTAAATATGCCGCGTCTGTTTCTTTCCGGCTGCTGTTTTTGCCTTTCCTTTTTTTTTTATTAACCGTTCTGCTTTTCCCAGGTGCTGTCTTTTTTTTTTTTTTTTCCCAACGAGAGCGTGGTGTTCGGCTGTCTGGGTGGTGGGAGCTGTTGTATAACAAACAACACTGCCTATGTAATATATCTATGAGATATCGGGTTCATTTTCTTTTGTATATAGTAGCGGGCCCTTTTAGAATTTATAATCATGGAACAAAAGAGGAGTTTCATATCAAAGTTTTAAACCTTGCGTCTTGATCCCCATTCCGTTCTTGTCCGTTTAGGGTTCGGTCAAATTCCTTCATAAGAGTGACTGGCGCGCTGTCATAGGTCGCTGCCCAAGATCTCCTAAGAGACATCAATTCCTATATCAGGAACACTTGCTTGGTGTTGAGGGAAATTGAACAGTTATTGATTCCGAACCCACTACTCCTATGCTCCGAGTCAGGGAAACGTCTGACTTTTCACCGGTAAATAAACACCAGATGGGATAATAGAATGGTCACCCATCAGACCAGAAAGATACATACAGTAAGATAATAACAGAGGGTGAAGTTATGCACGAATAAGTGGATATATAGTGCGGAAAGGAGCAAAATGCCTACCGGGCGTACCAGTAGACCCAACAAGAGATCATTTGATCAAGATCAGTAGAGGGATGGTAGATGATACAATGGCTCCTCGAGCTACATTTCTCCATAGAGGCTAACAAGCAAGACAAGAACACAAGTGGACATATACAGAAGGCGCTGAAACAAGTGGAAGGAAGTCTAAGCAGTGTTTTAGATGCGGTAGAAATTCAGTGAATGTTCGTATCGAATGATGAGGCAAGGATGTCGGGGATTGAGATGTGTTGATGAAATGGGAGGTAAAAAGAGTAGGCAAGCTGCAAGGTTCAGCCATGCAGGAGTTTATCACCTGCAGTGCGTAGGATTTCGGAAACACGGTCAACCCATTCCTGGGTCATTGTCCAATTGCGCGAATCGATGCTGTCTCGAATGGCAGGGAAAAATGTCGCATCATATCCGGACCATAGCTCAGGCCCGAAAAGGACGTGTTTGAACTGTGTACGATTTGGCACCTGGTGAGAAATGATTAGCTTACATCCGTTGCTGTAAACATGAAGGCTCCTTACCCCGCCATCTATCCTATCATCCAAAAGATGAGTATCGAAACGAGCCATTCGAGCATTATGATCCATCCGCTGAGCCGCAATCACATTGTTCTCGAAACCCCCTGTGCCCAACACTGTGTCGTGCCAGACACGGGCCCATTGCTGAAACTGCGCTGCATCATCCTTGACCTTGGCTGCAGCATCATACAAAGGTTTGAAAGTGACAGTGACCTCACGATTGCTATTGCCACTGGGAGCATCATTGACAATCGGGACGTTCTGGGACTTGGCATATTTTTCCAGATCGATAACATATGAAGCAATATGATCGGCATACACTTCTAAATCAAAGGGTAGGACTGGAGTATCCGCAAATTGAAGGATGAGCAATCCCCAGAACTGAGCCAGAATTTTGTGGTACTGGAAACCGGGGTCTCCGAACCGTACCATCCAGTCCCAGTTCTCATAGCAACTGTGATAGGGATACGGCTCCCCAACAAATCCGAAGTCCACACTCGAGGTTCCAGCGATATCCTGAAATGCCACATAATCACTTCCGGCGCCGAGGGGACCGAGCTTCTTCTGTTTCTTTTCCCAAATCTCCTTCAGAGTTTCATTGGCTACCGGGTCGGATATGCGCCCCAGAATCTGCGTCACAACACGTTCGAAAAGCGGGCATCCCGAAGCTTCAAATTCATTACCGCTAACGCCAACATCGACGTTCATGTAAGCATAGGCATTGTCACGAAGCGCGTCCAGTTCCTTCTCGACATGTTCCGTTGACCCGATTAGGTTATATTCCTCTGCATCCCAGCTGACAAATTCAATAGTGCGGAGGGGACGCCAGCCAAAGGTGCGGAGCTCGCCAAAGACTCGCACAACCTCGAGGAAAACGGCGGTGCCACTGCCCGGATCCGCACTTCCTAGACACCATGAATCTCGGTGATTTCCAACAATGATCTTCTTCTCCGGTTGTTCCAAACCGATGATTCTCCCGAATACATTGTAAATTGGCTGCCTTTCCTCCTCGTCTTGTAAGTTCATGAGGTTGACTTTGGGGGACGTTCCATCTCCGGTCCACCATTGATCTACATTGGGAACGCCACCAACCCATTTGGCAGGCACCTGAGAGCCATGGCCCTTGATAACCTGCAAGAGCCTCTGAGCATCACGCCAGGCGATGGGTAAGCTAGGAATGCTGGTCAATCCTTGGCTTTCCTCTGGTTTAAGTCTTTTCTTTTCACCCGGTGTGGACGCAAAACCCGGGGAGAGAACATCTCCCACCACCCATGACATCAAGCTTACGCCGCCTCTTTGGACACCATCTTCTGGCATAAAGCGCCCATCCGGATATGCTGGTCCTCGAACAAAGCCATCCTCAGAGGGATCTGAGTAGATGATGCATCCCACCGCGCCGGCCAGTTCAGCAGCTTTGATCTTCAAAGCGCGATCGGACTCTGACCCGTAATACCTCACTAGTGCTATAGAGCCTTCTACGCTGACACCTTGATCAGCGAGGTACCGAAAGTCTTCCCGAGAACCGTAATTGGCGTAAACAATAGGGCCAGTGACATTTCCAGTTTTAGAATGCCCGTGGAATACAGGCGTTTCCCCGTTCGTTTCTTCGAGTGTAGCCTCCCAGGAGAGATCAGGAGGGTCGACAATAGCAACTCTTCTTCCGTCATCTCTGGGGTAATTCAGGTACACTTGAAATTCCTCCATTTCAATCTCATCCAATCCTGCGATTTTAAACTCCTGTTTTACCCATTCCGCCAGCGCATAACTTCCTTCGGTACCAGCCATATGAGTAAAGTTGGTGACCCTCCTCAAATTCTCCGCGATATTTGTTTCATTGACGTGGCCCTGAACGAAATTCTCCACGGATGCCGCACTATAAGACTGGCCCATGATAAACCGCGAGTTCATGTTAAAAAGATCCGAGACGAAGAAGATGTAGACGACTAAAACCACTAAGAATAGCCCAAATAACCGCAACATGATCATGCATCCGTGTGTTCTCAAGTTGGTACGAGCGCCATTAAGATCTATGGTAAAGCGGAAACTCGGTAGAAACCGGCGTATAGGAAGATGAATGGCAGATAGCGATCGCGTCAAACTAGTGAACCGCTTCGAGAATCGAGAACGTAATAGGCGAGAGCGTTGGGACGATTGTTGGCCGCCGTCCTCCACGTCCATCTCATGTAATTCCCGTTGCAGCTCTTCGAGCGAGCCCCTTTCCGAGTCGGCGCCCGGAGAGTCGAGACCGTCCAGGCTGTCTCGGACAGATTCGACCGTAGGAGGCTGGTATCCATGAGGCCTAGGCCTGGCACTTTCACGGGCAGTGACATCGTCGACATTGTGAAGTAGACCTTGCCTCTCGGATTCGTCGTTTGCTTCGGGGCCGAGGTTGGATCGGGAGGAGCTCGGGCGGGCACCAACGGCTTCTTCGTAGGAGGGAATAGGGAGGGCTTCGTATTCAAACTTACTGTCGTTGCCCATGGTGGAAGATCTGGGGCTCCGGGGAGCCGTGCGAGTTGGACCGGGTCAGAGATACCGGACTAAGCGGGATCATGTTCTGGATGAAAAAGGAGTGATAGTCGCAAACATGCTCCCAGATCGGAGAGAAGACAGGAAGAACTGAAAGAAAAACGATTTAGGAGACAGGGAATGAAGAAAAGAAGGGATAAAGGGACCGTGGAGGGATGGCGGTCCGCGAAAAGGAGAGGACTCTAACGGGTCGATACTTAAATTAGTAAATGATAGATAGAGTCGGAGGGAGTCTGAGGCGTCGTCGTTGTCCTTTCCCCAGAATGCAATCGAAAAGCGTGGCGCAGGCGAGACGAGAACTGAGACCCACGCTCGGCACTCCGATCGTAAGCAGGCAGAAGGGTTTTTCTTTTCTTTGCCCTGAATTCTTATTGTACCAGACATACATTGTCAGGAATGACTATGGAGCTTCAGACCCCTTGCAGGTTCCATGGATGCAAATAAGAATCTTCAACCAATTCAACTTCTTTGAATGAGTGAAGGAGCGAGAGAGCGAAAGAAAGAAGCAGATTCACCTGACCATGACCGTTTATCATTGCTTGATTACGGTTACCATACCGTACATACCGTACATCTATGCATCAAGTATATCCATGCTAACGTCTAATTCTGAATCGTTTTCGTTCTTCTGTGTACTTTGTATGAGTCTGGTTTCCTCTAGACATCGAGTATGTCATAAGAAATGAATTCTAGCAGCATCTATGGCCATTGGGAGGTAAATCTGTACCCCGGACTTGGGGTCAAAGCTGCTCTAGGAGGGGATCGTCCATGGTGAACTAATGTACGGCATTACGTTGATACGTCGCCCTATCTGTACATGAATTTCGATCTTCTATGTTTGCTGTCAAGGGACTTGACCCACTGTTATGTGGGGGTCGAATCATCTGTACATCTCATGTTCATCATATTAGTATGCTATCGTTAGGTCGCATATGGCGGGCACTCTTTCCGGCTAAGCCTCAGATTCTCTTCGGAAATTGAAATCCCACCCTCCATCTGAATTGTAGAAGAAGATACGTCTTATACCATAATGGCCACCTTCAACAACCCTTTTCAGTCCAAGCGATTAGCTTATCGAGCCGTTGAAGATACGCCAGAAGACGACGATTTCGTTCACTCCATCCAGTCCGACCCCTTGTCATACGCGACCTCAAACTCAACGCTGTTGAAACCTCAAACGAAGCGTGATACATTGAATGGCTACAAGAAACATCTCATGGAGGACGCAATTTTAGCAGTTATCATTTTACTACCCACCCAGAATATCCATGGTCAGCCTGGTACGGCTGGCCCGGAAATCTGGACGCCGATCGGGATCATCGCTCTCAAAAAGGACGAACCGGGTCACGGTCATCATCGCAAAAGTTCTATCAGTATTGATATTGCCAAGCCCTATCAGAATCGTGGCTACGGAAGCGAAGCGATTGAATGGGTGGTGGATTGGGGGTTTCGGAAAGCTGGCTTGCACCGCATCGCAGTTGAATCTTTCTCCTATAACCCAGGTGCAACACGCCTTTATGAGCGCTTGGGATTTCAATTTGAAGGACGGCAAAGAGAGACTATCTGGTACGATGGAGACTGGCATGACATGTTAACCTTCGGTATGCTGGACCGAGAATGGAAAGAACATCAAGAGAAGAAGCCAAAGGAAGGGCCAAGTGAATAATTCTAAATCCACGGTCAGAGGAAGAATATCTCCAATGCTACTAAACAACAAGCTAGAAGGTTGTTAATGGACCCATTGATCTAGACACAGTATCGTAGGAGCTTCAGTATCAGTCAAATACTCTCTCCATACGCTCCGAATGGATATCATACTGCAACCAGGCTCCCTAACTACTCAATTCACGGTTAGAAGGAGCGTGGCTGACTTCTCGATCCAAGAGATCGATGCAAAATGGTACAAGACCACCCTGTATGTCTGCCGTTTGAAATGAATGGAGATTAACGTTATATTAGAAGCAAGGGTCTTTATCTGGAAGCTTGAAATAGTAAGTAAGTAGTATGCTGCATCTTTATCACCACTCTTTAAGTGTTATCAACTCCAATCTTGCTTTACGGACACTGGCTCGTGTAATAGTTTAGCTGTGAGGGCATTGCCTTGACTAATAGTGAATTTCGTGTCTTAGACAAATAGACGCAAGATTTGGCTACTTGACGAGTTTTCCTAGCGAGGGTGGTGTATCTCATCTCTTAGGGGCCACTGTGGTCTTGTCAGCTCATAGCGGCAAGCTCAAGTACGTCCGCAGACACTTTGTGTGCAGAGGCGATTCGACTCTGTCTTCGATGTTGCCGTAGTAGCGTTGGAAAACGTTGGAAAACGTTGTGGTAGCACCGGCTGCCGAGCTGCGCAACATTACAACTGCCAGCTCTTTCGGTGTTGCCTTCAACATTCTCCAAGCTCCCATTAGCTACCTTTGCACTTGCTAACTTCCTGAACAAATATTGAGGCTTCTCTAAAACTGATATCACGACCATGTTCTCCCATAAATCCTAAGCAGTCTTACTAGATCACAACCAAAATAAGAAAAGGCAGATAAATAGAAGAACATAGCAGGGAGAAGCAATAGTTGTGACAAGAACAGATACATGTACCATGGCAAAGAGTAAGCAAATGACAGAATATCAAGGTCTAGTATTCCGTATGGTGGTTGCGGTTATCACGCCTACTAAACACCGTGCAGTTTGGAACGGAGGACCCACCGACCGAATCGAGATGCAGGGAAATCGGCCTGCTGTTGAGAACTCTTTCTGCCGGTCAAGCCGGATCACATTGTCTCTGGACCCGACGGAAAGAAATCAAGTACGTATGTGAATGTTCGGAGCCTAACTGAAACACGCGAAATTTGGTGGACCCGTCCGTACTTGCCTGCCTATGGATCCCGTGCTCCATTATTACTACTCCGGAGTACATACGGGATTGTTAGTAGTAGCCCCCTCTTCTGTAACCAAATTGGAACTTTCGCGCATGGAGGCTGACATTCGCTTTTTTGAGGACCAGTTATTGCGGTCCCCAAGAAATGTTGTTGTCACACACCCATGAGATTGCTATTCCGAGAGAAAGGCAAGCGGAGGCATATGCCAAAATGGGCATACAATTGCCTGAGGAATGTATTATGCCTGGCGGAAATGCTTTTTGCCCACCTTTTGTGCGATATCGGAACCCTTGTACTGATGCTGTGGTGCTTGGAGCACACAGTACTATAGCCAGCTTCGATTAAACGGATCCACATGATAAGATTGATTGTTCTTGGAATCTTTTCCCTTTCGAGGCTGAAACTGCCGTAGGGTGGATATCGTAATCAAAAAATGAAAGGAGAAAAAAAAAAATAAGGAAACCACAAAGAAGAGACCCGCAAAGTGTACAGAGATGGAATGAAGAAAGAATAGCAACACGTTCTTGTTTTGACCATTGATTTATCTTCGTTTATTTTTGGGGAGAAAGGTGAGAGCTACTATCCAAAGTTTATATTGTCTTGGACAGGGTTGACATGTGCACGGGACCAGGAGAAGGTACTATGGACAACGATACGAATTTCGTTGTCAGATATTTTCAAGCCAGTGAAGTGTTCCGAGACCAATGGCTTTTAATTGCCCAATTGAAGACCACAGAGTGTATTATGCACTACGTGGTACAGTGTGGGTGGATCATATAGGAAAAGGGAAGTTCCTTGATACTAGTACTAGCATGATGTCCTCGGGTCTAGCTATATGAGGAGAAATGAAATTGGGGGGAGCCCTTCGAGACCGTTGTATGGACTCTGGTCAGGATTGAAAAATGGACACTCGGTACGGACAAACGGGAGTAACCCACACGACAAGTTTAGGGGGGTGTTTGGAAATGGATCTTTGGTACTCCAAAGCCCACTATCGTCAACTTCATCCATCATGATACTCCGGATGTACAAGATAACGAGGATTGACTAGGAGAAACTCGGGTGGTGCAAGAGTCGGTGAGGACAAAAAAAAAAAAAAAGGAGGGAGGGGCGATTTCGAAATCAGGCAAGCATTTTGCCCAAATGCTGATGCAAGTTACAAAATTTCTTTCATGGGTTGAGGACAAAAGGAATTCTAGTATGTAGAGTACCGTGTACATTATATCCTGGAGATAGATTTTGGATGGAGGAGTGCACAGAGTGGGGAAATTAATCTGCTGATCCGTACTTGGCCGTTACCATTCTTACCACAATGCACAACTAAGCTAGGTACCGCTAAACTATTTCTGGTAAGGCGTGTGGGCCTCAGGCCGAACAATCAGGCCCGCCCAACCACGAGCGACGGAACTAAGGACCCACTTTCCTCACACCAGCCAATCCGGAACTGGATCCGGTCATTTTTGCCTCGCAGTGTGTAAAAAAGTTACTTAGCACTAGGGAATCTGATCGGAAGCCCTCTTGTGGTTCTTATATATGCTCCTCCCTACTCCTTCTTTCTGTTCTCCTGCCCAGCTGTCATCCCTCCTCATTCTCTTCTTCTACTTCTTGCTTTCTACCGTTTCCTTTATACCTTAATAAACAAATACCCTTCTCACTCTTTCGTTGTTTATTTCAACTATCTACAATTCCCCTCCCCCCTTTACACCGCCACTATGTCTGCCCGTCCTCAGAACATTGGTGTCAAGGCCATTGAGGTCTACTTCCCTAAGCAAGTATGTGCGACCCATTAGCAACGTTATCGAGAGAAAGAGAGAAGAGAAGAAGAAGATGTACTAACAAGCTATGCAGTGTGTCGAACAAACAGAGCTGGAGAAGTTCGATGGTGTCAGTGAGGGCAAGTACACAATCGGTCTGGGACAGACGAAAATGAGCTTCTGTGATGACCGTGAGGGTATGTTGACCTTGTTTTCTTCTAAAGAAAATTTTATATGTTCTCCCTCGCTAAGTATAGTAATATAGATATCTACTCTGTCGCCTTGACCACTCTCTCCTCCCTCTTCCGCAAATACAACATCGACCCTAAGTCCGTTGGTCGTCTCGAAGTCGGTACTGAGACTCTCCTGGACAAGTCCAAGTCCGTCAAGTCCGTTCTGATGCAGCTTTTTGCTGAGAGTGGAAACTTCAACGTCGAGGGGGTTGACAACGTCAACGCCTGCTACGGAGGTACCAACGCGGTCTTCAACAGCATCAACTGGCTCGAGTCTTCCGCCTGGGATGGAAGAGATGCCGTTGTTGTGTGTGGTGACATTGCCCTGTATGCCGAGGGTGCTGCTCGCCCTACTGGTGGTGCTGGCTGTGTTGCCATGCTCATCGGTCCTGATGCTCCTATTGTCTTTGAGCCCGGTCTTCGTGGGTCTTATGTCACCCACACCTACGATTTCTATAAGCCTGATCTCACCAGCGAATATCCCGTTGTTGATGGTCAGCACTCCCTTCAGTGCTACACTGAGGCTGTTGATGCTTGCTACAAGACCTACGCCGCTCGTGAGAAGACGCTAAAGGAGAAGACTCAGAACGGAACCAACGGTGTGGCCCATGATGAATCCAAGACCCCTTTGGACCGCTTTGACTATATTCTGTTCCACTCCCCTACCTGCAAGTTGGTCCAGAAGTCCTATGGCCGTATGCTTTACAACGATTTCCTGGAGAACCCCACCCACCCCGCTTTCGCTGAAGTCGCCCCTGAGCTGCGTGATCTAGACTACAGCAAGTCTCTCACTGACAAGAACGTCGAGAAGACTTTCATGGGTCTGACCAAGAAGCGCTTCGCTGAGCGTGTGAAGCCCAGCCTTGACGTTGCCACTCTCTGTGGTAACATGTACACCGCCACCGTCTACGCCGGCCTGGCCAGCTTGCTCAGCAACGTCACCTTCGACCCCAGCCAGCCTAAGCGCATTGGACTTTTCTCCTACGGCAGTGGTCTCGCTGCTTCCATGTTCAGCGCGAAGATTGTTGGTGACGTGTCTTACATGGCTGAGAAGCTCGACCTTCACAACCGCCTCAACGCTAGGAATGTCTTGGCTCCCCAGGCCTATGTTGAGGTAAGCAAAAGCTCCCCCCTGGACTCCTTTCCGCCTTGATATATGTGGTTTAACTTTACTAACTATTCTCTTTCCAGATGTGTGCCCTGCGTAAGCAAGCTCACTTGAAGAAGAACTTCAAGCCCTCCGGTAACACGGAGACGCTCTTTCCCAACACCTACTACCTCACTGAGGTGGACGACATGTTCCGCCGCAAGTATGAGGTCAAGGCATGAATAATGGCTAGCGCTTGATGTTAATTTGGACATGATGAGTTTCTTTTTCTTCTTTATTTAGACGATTCATTAGATTCCCCGCAGGGCCGCGTTGTCGTGTTTGGTTGCCTTGATAGAGCTCAGAAACTGGGTTATGCCTGCACATAGTCTCGGTCGATTTTGTTCCTTTGTTTGACTGCATTGGGTTCTCAGGAGGAGCCCAGAAAGGAAAATATTTTCTTGATTTGAGGAGCTGGAATGCTTCCGGATTTATGAGAAGACCTTATTAATTAAATATATTAATCAATTTATTCTATATATGATTCACTGCTATCAAGGTCTTCAAATGTACTTGGGCGAAGTACGGAGTAGATGTGGTTTTAATCCATGTGGCGCTGTTCGGATGACATGCTTAGTCACGTCTAACAACCTAGTTAGTTACTACTAGTTACCTAACTTTAAATGGAACGGTTGTATACCAGCCCTGGTACTACTAACCTCTATCTACTACCTACTATTTACTACCTGTAATTCCTTCACACCCCGATCTACCTTGACAATTCTGAGGATAAAGATAGAAAATATCGCAACACTGCAAAAAATTTGAAACAAGCCATCTGTCAAGAATAGAAACATCGCGAGATATCAGCGTATGGCAGCCCTTTGCACTCCTTCGCGCCAGACGCTGCCTGCAGTGTCCTCCATCATTCCTCCTTTTCTCCTTGTTTTATGCAATTGTCCCTCCTTCTCATCCAATCCATTAATTTAGCCCAAGTTAATTTCTGAAAGCTCTGGATTATTTGTCCGTTTCATTAAAGCCAAGAACGCTGCAGGTGATCGAGGGGAAAGAACCACTCAGGGAGCCTGGCGCCAAACTGGAGGGAAGTCGGCGCCTACTGCAACAAACTCCATTGCCCCGATTCAAGTTTGTCCAAATAATGTATTCTTAGAATGACTCGGATCATCACACTACCGTACCGACTTCTTGGGTCTCTGGGACAGCATCCACTGCCTTGATTGGCCTGACCCGGCGGTTCTTCTTGTTGTTCCACCCATCTCCTGCAGGTCCTGCTATCAACCCTCGGCGCTTGGATTTGTGATCGTGCCTCGAGGACCACCGTTTATCAAGATATGCCAATCGTTAGCTTTATGCTTGCCGCCGACTAATGGGTCTACTACGCGAGATCCTTTTGGTGAAAATCGTGATTAAATTAGCCATGATTATCCAGAAATAGCACGAAACACAAGTGTTGCCGATTATAGAAGCTTTTACAGTTCATGGCGAACCTTTCCCTAGATAGGATCAGTGAAGATCTCCATCAGATCTGAAGAAATCGAGCAGATGCAATTTTTAGCAACAAATTGACGCGCGACTGTTAGATGAAACAGCGTCTGCCAGCTTCATTAGCTCTAAGCTCGTTTGTTTCGCGCATCATCCAAAGAGATGCCGACAATTCATGTGTCCATTGCCTCACCATCACCAATGTAGACAATGGCTCACGATGACTAGCGTCTTTGGCGTCAGTATGGAGATATTTCCACGTTTCATGTGCTGCTATTCTGGTCATGTTTGTCGGTTACTCTTTTTAATTCAGACCGTATGAGCCTCTGATCGAAGAACATTTATATCCAAACAATTCCCTCCCAAGTGTGCAAGAGCTTATCATAACTACTCATACAGACTATGACTCGACTGTGATACCTTGTCCTTGAACAACTATCTTTCACCTTCATTTACTTTCTTTCTTGATTATCAATTGGCGAAGATCGCTCTCGGATTTGTTGTGGAAGCTGGACCTTCCATTTATCTGCAGCACTGAATTACAATCGAACTGTTGCTGCTGCACAATTCAACATTATGGCTTTGGAATACTCATACTATCGGCCAAGCACTCCGCCAGGACTACCATATGAAGGAATGGTTCGAATAACCCACAGTCGCAATGCCTCCGACTCGTCTATATACTCCAACGATTCCTCACCTTGGTCTGCAATCACTTCAGCCACCAGCCCGAGCACTGATTCTCCTCCACGTTATCATCATGGACCAGCCCTTCTTCCCAAGATTAGAGATCAGGATGTGGTCATTGAACCAGCCCCGACCAGTGGACCGCAACGTCATCGTAAAGTGTTATCGAATACCCGGAATCCACCTGGTTTCTTACCGTATCCTCCCAACCGTGCAGCAGTTCAGCGTCATAGTACTGAATGTGCGGACTACTACCCTGTGGCATCCCCAGTCTCGCCCATGTACGCTGATTCGGCATTGGCGTCTCCTGTGAGCATAACATCCTCGCACAAGCGCAAAGTGCCCGGCGCGCATTCTAGATCATGCTCTGCGTCCAGTGTCGATGAGGCAACCTTGGCTCGGTATGGCTATTCCACTTACAGGCAGCTCTCTAAGTACTCTGGACAGCCACAAGGATCCCCTACCGCACCCGTCACCCCAGTCACGCCAAATATCATTGTATACCCACCTTACTCGCAGCCTTCTCCCGTTGGTCATCTCTCGCGCACATCTCGAGCCCGAACCCAGGCCCCACCAGTGCTTCCAGTTTCTCCTTACAGCTATTCCCAAGTTTCGAGTGCCCAGTGCTCACCGGTTGGTTTTGCGCACGGCGTTGATAGAATAAGCCCATCATCTACGACTCTTCTTTCCTACCTGACCGGGCCTACACAGGCGATCAATCTGGTTCGGAACGTAAGCGTGATTCCTACACGAGGGATGCATGACTACTTCTGGTGGGATATCCGGAATTTGCGCAGCTGGTCCTCCTTTTCTCTGTCTACATTCCACTCGATTAACGGCCTCACGAAGCTCCTGAAAACAGCAATCCCGTCACATCTCACCCCAACAGCCGTGATCTCAGGCTCACGCTTATGTCCTGATTCTGAATTCACCTTGGTTGACCTCGTACAAGATATCTATGCTCCACGGGTAAATGCCGCTTTGGCCGTGTCTCAGGGCCCAGATCACCTGGCGCTCTATGCTACGCCTGTCCCACGGATCCATGCCAGTAGGAACTATGGCGGTCCGCATTTCCTTGCAAATTACACTTCAGATACGGAGCGGACGAGCTCGGGTCTGCCCCGTGGACGGCTGGTAGGAATCGTCAAAACTTTCGACCGTTGGAACACCAGTATGCGCACTGAAGCACCTCATCGGCGGGTCGAGTATTTAAATGGTCTAGCACACCTTCAGCGGTGTATGCGCGAACATTCCTGCCGATATGGCTTCATAATCACCGAAATTGAGCTTGTCTGCGTGCGGGCGGGGTGCGATGAGGATGACGACGTGCCTTACTTTGGCTTCCTCGAGGTCTCAGCTCCTATACCCACTAAGCTTGCAGCGAGTCCAGACGAAGGCTACTTGAGACCTTGCTCAGTCCCTTACGGCCACCCTCATTCGCCCACACCGTCCAGCGACAGTTCATTGGCCAGCCAATCTCCTGTCTTAGACGCATATTCTTCACCAGCCCCAGAGGAGCTTGGTGTGCCGATGACGGCAAGCCTAGCTTTATACTTCCTATTAATGCTCTCTAAATCCGTACCTTTGCCATCCCAGCCGTCGTCTCACCTGAATGTTGGCGGACCCGGAGCCCTAACTCGGCAGCGTATCCTCCCTGAAGGGAAGGACAAATGGATTCCAGAACCACAGATTGGAGAAAAACGAGATGCCAAACGAGTGAGAGGCTGGATATGGCCACAAGATGCCTGGCATCGGCGCGAGGGAGGTGGAGCACCACGTTCGCGAGCGACCGGTGTGGAAAGCAAACCAAAAAAATGGCATAAGTAGCCGGGGGTGGGGAACAGAAAAAACAAGCCAGAAAAGCAAAGAAAAGAGGAAGCTGGAATATTCCTCATAATTCTAATGTGTATTCTTCTGATGTTGAACATTTTGTTGTCATAGTAATCTATCTAATCATTCAATCAATTTGTTTCCGACATCCACACGAAGCACAAAAGTGATCTTGTAACTACGACCGACTCAACGTCAAAGACACTATGCAATATCCTAATATACTGCCTAATTTGTACTAACCAAATAACTAACTATCGATAAAGGTAATAATAAGAGTCAAAAATCCCCATAGCCCTACCCCCCAAGGTACTCATGACGCAGATCATGACCAAACCATCATATATTATTGCCATTCTTGGCCCTAAAGGACCTTGGGATCCAAGTACCCCGGAGGCCATCATTTACCACCAGCAAATATATAGAAGCTGTACAGGATTGTCCCCTATATCTGCTAATTCAAAGAAAACGTTTGCTCTTCTGGGTATACCTGAATCTACGAATGACAACCCCTGAACAACCCTAAGAAACTAATACATACCATAAGCGATGGTGTCCAAAACATCCATACCCTCCTCCCCAGACCTCCTCGATGTAATTATCGTCGGCGCCGGGCCATGCGGCCTCGCCGTTGCTGCCAGACTAAAAGAAGAAACACCGTCCGCGCTGTTCACAGACGATGAGCACCAGCGTTACCACTGGATCAACAAGCATAGCGGCCGGATGGCGCTCGTGCAGGCTCGCCATGGCAAGCAGAAAAAGGTCAAAGCAGAGAAATGGCACGGATACACCTCTCGGCAATCCTTCTCGTCTACACATTCAGAGTCTATAGCGGGGTCTCCACCTTCACTGTCCTCGTCCGTTTCGACTGCTTCAGAGGAGACGGAGACTGGCGAGGTGGGGGACGGTTCGCCGTCCATTCTTGTTTTGGATAGTACTGGCGATAGATGGATGGAGCGATGGAATCGGGCTTTTAAGACGTTAGAGATTCAGCAGCTTCGCAGTCCCATGTTCTTTCATGTTGATCCGAGTGATCGGGATGGAATGCTGGCGTATACGCAGGAGATGGGGAGGGATTGTGATCTTTGGGAGATATCTGGGTGTGTGGGGAAGGAGTTGAGCAAGCATAAGAAGAAGAAGAAAATGAGGTCGAAGGCTGTGTGAGTACTTTTTCCTTTTTTTTTTTTTTTTTTCTCTCTGATTACTGTCTTAATCTTGGAGCTGATGGTGAATGGTGCTTCAGGGCTATAGGAGAAGTTGAGATTGATGAAAGGGACCGCAAAGACTATTTCTCGCCTTCTACGGAGCTTTTTGAGGATTACTGCTCTAGCGTCATCGCACGGTATGGTCTTAACACGCCAGGCATGATCCAACAATGTGAGGTCAATAATATCCAGTACGACTACCATGACGAGATGTCGCCTTCCGAGAAGATATTCACGGTTACCACAAATGATGGGGCTGTGTTCTATAGTCGGACGGTTGTGCTGGCCATTGGGCCTGGCAGGACGAAGGTCTTCCCGTTTAAGTTAACCGATGAAGAGGCAAACGGGGCTTGTCATAGTACGGAGATCCGATCATTTCCAAGCCCCAATGTGAAAAGAAAGATCCAGCAACGTCAGCAGACGAACCTGATGGTTGTTGGGGGAGGGCTCTCTTCGGCACAGATAGTGGATATGGCTATCCGGAAGGGAGTAAGCAAGGTGTGGTTCCTGTTAAGGTCTGATTTCAAAGGTAAGTAGTGGGGAGTCAGCTTTTGTCCTCCAATAAGTCTAACAGAAATTACCAGTCAAACACTTCGATATCGACCTGACGTGGATGGGCAAATTCAAAAATTTCGAAAAGGCAGCTTTCTGGTCCGCAGACACGGACGAAGAACGCCTCGAGATGATCAAAACCGCTCGCAATGGAGGCAGCATTACACCGCGGTATCAAAAGATCTTGAAGCAGCATGCAGCCCGCCACCGTGTCTCGATCCACTCTCGTACAATCATTCTCAGCCGTGAGTACTGCCCCATGTCTCAGACATGGCGCCTCACCACTGATCCTCCAATTCCTGACCTCCCTCGCATCGACTACATCTATTTTGCAACAGGCATACAGGCGGACGTGAACGAACTCCCGCTGCTTCAGCAAATGAACCGCGAATATCCGATTGAGACCAAGCAGGGTCTGCCGTGCGTTACGGATGATCTCATGTGGAAGGCGAATTTGCCTTTATTTGTGACTGGACGGCTGGCTGCCCTCCGCCTAGGTCCGGGAGCCCCTAATCTTGAAGGAGCGAGGCTAGGTGCAGAGAGGATCGCATGGGGGATGGAGGAGGTGCTGGGGCAGGGAAAGAGTGAGGATACAGCTGCTGAACGATCGAAAGAGTGTTTCTGTGGCTTGGGAAATCGATATGCTGGGTTAGCTGATGTGAATTGGTAACTTAGCTTTTGTGGCTGACTACCACAGGCAACTTTTAAACTTCTCATCATGTAGAGCCTCACATATGAGCCTCATCGTACAGGGTTGTGCACAGTCCGAGCATTGCATGACCGATTACGAAGTATATGAAGCCGTTCGTTGTTCAAGCGATTCGTATAACGTACTACTTGATACTCGTATTACATACACCTAAAGCAGTCTCTCCGCAGCCTCCGGTTTGAAATAAATGTAATATACAGTGTAATACCAAATATAATACCTGAAGAGTTATCTTCTATTTAATGATGCTGCCTAGGTCGATATAATACCAGCTTCACTGTTGCCTTCTCTTCATCTACGAACCCTCTGCATCCACATGGTTCTTCCAGGCAACCAAGCTTTTCTCAGCATTCTAAGCCTCAGCTTGGTCATCCAGACGTCAGATGGAATCAGCTTCAGACGACACTTGCCATCGACATGCGCGCTTAGCAGTCCTCCAGCTGCGGCGCCTACGCAGCGATTTCTTATCGCTATGAATCCGCCGCGCGTTCGCTGATACTGGTTGATTTGCCTCAATCAAATGTGGGACATGAATCGCCCAGTGCCACACATTTGCAACCTTGCGAGCGGAAACGCCGTGGTTGATGGTGATTTAATTAGCCAGGAAGAAATCATCTTCCGTGCATAGCCCGCACCGCCACATCACAAGCCACATGTGGCGAGTGCATTCACACCCGTTGCTTATTCGGCGAGAAACAACTCTGATTGGTATGTGGAGCATTGTTATGCAGTTGCAATTAGTCCCTGGCTCTATTTTACTTACGCCGGAGTATGTACTCCGGTCACGGATGATAGAGGCAATCCCGCAAATCATATGCTCTATCAAGACAAGAAAAACTATGGATAATTAGCTTTCTCGAAACTATTGGCGAAGGAGGCGCAGCCCACTGGTCTTCGTTACGGCAACTTGGCGTCAAAATTCTGGACTTCGATCAGCCAGACCCGTGTGTTTGCAGTGTTCTCCCGTCCGTAGCGCCGTCCGGACTCCGAGTCTCTATTCGCCGCTTCTCTATGGATTTTAACGCTTTCTACGAGCCACTCAGATTGTCTAATGCGCTATACATCGGCCGTAAGCTATTCCCCCGCGCGCGTCTGGTCGCGTTTGGGAAGTGTTGCAGACGCCAAAGTCGCGCCCTCTCAGGAGAGAGGACGTGGAATGGTTGAGGATACCAAATTCCTTTGGCGGTTATACTCGCTAGTTTATTTGCTCTCGGCAAAGTCAGTTTGGTCATGAAGCTCGTTGGCATGGGTGACAGACCCCGCTCTTGGATTAGAGCCGATCATTGTGACTCGTTGGGGTTCCCCCTTTCGAGCTACGGGGAGATTGTTAAGGAGGCTGTGCAAGTGGGAGTCTGATGCCCATCCATGTTGATGGAACCACTCACACGACCGGACACCCCTGCACCCACCAATATTCCATGGAATTGCTGCTGAGCTTGCAGATATCGACTGCAAGCTCCAGATTCTCCTTAGATGGCTTGGCTGTGACCGTATTTCTGTCGTGTGCTGTTGAGCTGGTACAACTTGGCATTCCTGCTGCTTCGGTGAGAGAGCCGTATCTGGCAAACGAAAATCTTAACAGAAATCTTATAAACAAATTATGATTATACCATTATCTGATTTTTTTTTTTTTTTTTTTTTTTTTTTTTACATTACCCAGTCTCGGCACTTACCTACACAGCCTCCTTGTTAGATAAAAGAACGCACCCTTCCCCATCACCTGGTTTCTGAACATGCCCTTAATTGAGGGGTTAATACTTTTTTATACATATTGATATTCATGTGCCTTTCGTCTGTCCCGGTCAGCAAATAAGCTCAGCGTATTAGTCGCAGAATGCTGACCCCAAACGAAAATCGTCAGGAGGGGTTTTTAAACCCCTTCGCAGGGACCCCTGCAAACAGAGAGGTAATGCCTTCAAGTCACTCACTATGACATACTCGGACGCATATTGATATAGAGAAAAGCAGTCGTCCGTTTCTTCCGGGCCATGGCAAACAGACGTAGCGTCAGCCCAACCATCTTCATTATCACCAGACATGGCGTCAACCCTCAGTCCAGATAGACTATCAGTTCAGAATGGACCCCCTCGATCATCACATTCATCATCACCTTCGCTTGGCGGTGAAACTTTACGGTCAAGAGCAGACTCAACTATCTCTTGCGCAGACACTGTTGTCAGGTCAAGAGCAAACTCTGCAGCTACCACCACCAAAGCTGTATACGATGACGTCTCAGTGGCAGATGCCTTGAATCCGGATGCTCGGAATGAAGATGATTTCATCGTGCAAGATAATAAGTTTGCCTTTTCACCCGGCCAGCTCAATAAGATGCAAAATCCGAAGTCCCTGGCTGCTTTTCAAGCGCTTGGTGGCTTACATGGCCTGGAACGCGGCTTGCGGACCGATTTGGCAGCTGGGTTGTCTGTAGATGAGGGTCACTTAGAAGGCGCCATTAGCTTCCAAGAAGCGACGTCGTCCGGGAACACCCACCCCAAACAACAGTTATCCTCAATTACAGAGATACCTGCACCCGAAACCGACTCACAGTTCCAGGATCGCATACGCATCTTCAGCCAAAACAGATTGCCTGCTCGTAAGTCGACGGGCTTTCTGAAGTTGCTTTGGCTTGCATACAATGATAAAATCATTATCTTGCTCACTATCGCCGCTATTGTATCTCTGTCTCTGGGTATCTATGAGACCGTCAGTGGAGGCTCAGGGGTCGACTGGGTCGAAGGAGTTGCTATCTGCGTTGCGATATTGATTGTCACCGTTGTGACAGCCGCCAACGACTGGCAGAAAGAAAGGCAGTTTGCCAACTTGAACAAACGTGTAAGTATTCTGTCTTGGTGTCTGTGGATTACTGTCTGACAGCCCTAGAACAACGACAGAGAAGTCAAAGCCGTCCGCTCGGGCAAGGTGTCCATGATTTCAATCTTCGATATTACCGTTGGAGATGTTCTTCACCTTGAGCCCGGCGACTCTATCCCTGCTGATGGTGTCCTGATATCCGGTCACGGAATCAAGTGTGACGAGTCGTCCGCTACTGGCGAGTCAGACCAGATGAAGAAAACAGATGGATATGAAGCCTGGCGGCAAATTGCAAACGGTACTGCTACGAAGAAGCTCGATCCTTTCATGATTTCCGGCGGTAAGGTCCTTGAAGGTGTAGGGACCTACCTAGTAACGAGCGTCGGACGGTACTCAACCTATGGGCGCATCCTATTATCATTGCAAGAGAGCAATGATCCGACCCCTTTGCAAGTTAAGTTGGGGAAGCTTGCCAACTGGATCGGCTGGTTGGGCTCTGGGTAAGTTACACAATCCTTTGCTTGTAGACAACATGGCTGACCTCTCCAGCGCCGCAATCATCCTGTTCTTCGCATTGCTTTTTAGATTTATTGCTCAACTCCCGGACAATCCTGGCTCTCCTGCCCACAAGGGAAAGGAATTTGTCGATATTCTCATCGTTGCTGTTACCGTTATTGTCGTCGCCATTCCTGGTTAGCTTTCCATCCTCACATTGCTGCAATAATAGAAATACTGATGAGAAATAGAGGGTCTCCCACTGGCCGTAACTTTAGCACTCGCCTTTGCTACAACAAGGATGGTCAAAGAGAACAACCTTGTGCGCGTCTTTCGTGCTTGCGAGACAATGGGAAACGCCACGGTCATTTGCTCCGATAAAACGGGGACTCTAACCCAAAATAAAATGACTGTGGTCGCGGGGACACTGGGACCAAAGAGCTTCGGACAAGACGACAATTCCAACTCCTCAGTGACCGCAACTGAGATTTTCAAACAACTCTCCTCTAGGATGCGCGACCTGATCATCAAAAGCATCGCACTTAACTCGACCGCCTTTGAGGAGGAAAAGGATGGCGCGAAAGAGTTTATCGGGAGTAAAACTGAAGTAGCATTGCTACAACTGGCTAAAGACAACCTCGGCATGGATGTCACTGCTGAACGTGGATCCGCGGAGATAGTGCAGTTAATTCCCTTTGATTCCGCCCGCAAGTGTATGGGAGTGGTGTACCGGGAGCCTACAGTGGGCTATCGACTTCTCGTCAAGGGGGCTGCTGAGATCATGGCTAGAGCATGCTCGACGAAGATAGCTGATACGGATGGCTCTGACGGCATCGCTGTTGATCAGTTCACCCAGGAGGATAGCCGGAGGATACTCAATACTATTGAATCCTATGCCAACAAATCTCTACGAACGATCGGGCTGGTCTATCGCGATTTCTCAAACCTTTCCAGCTGGCCTCCGAGCTACATCAAGACCTCAGAAGATGATTCAGACGTGGCTCAGTTCGAAGAGCTTTTCCGTGACATGACATGGGTTGGTGTTGTAGGCATCCAAGATCCTCTCAGACCCGAAGTACCTGCAGCTATCGAGAAGTGCCGTACTGCCGGTGTGCAAGTGAAGATGGTCACTGGTGACAACATAGCAACAGCCACCGCCATCGCCTCGTCGTGTGGTATCAAGACAGAAGATGGAATTGTTATGGAAGGCCCTAGGTTCCGCCAGCTGTCGGATGATGAAATGGACCAGGTACTTCCACGTCTTCAAGTTCTGGCCCGCTCATCGCCTGAGGACAAGCGGATCTTGGTAGCACGGCTGAAACATCTGGGAGAAACTGTGGCGGTAACTGGAGACGGTACCAATGATGGCCCTGCATTAAAAACTGCTGATGTTGGCTTCTCCATGGGTATCGCTGGTACAGAAGTTGCCAAGGAAGCCAGCTCAATCATTCTCCTTGATGATAACTTCAGTTCGATTGTAACAGCAATAGCATGGGGTAGAGCTGTGAATGATGCCGTGGCCAAATTCCTCCAGTTCCAGATTACGGTCAACATCACTGCTGTCGTCCTCACCTTTGTTTCGTCCCTCTACAGTAATGAGAATCAAAGTGTCTTGAGCGCAGTGCAGCTTCTTTGGGTTAATCTGATCATGGATACCTTCGCAGCCCTCGCTCTTGCAACTGATGCGCCGACGGAAAAAATCCTCCATCGCAAGCCTGCCCCGAAGAGTGCATCCTTGTTTACTGTGGTCATGTGGAAGATGATCCTCGGACAGGCAGTTTACCAGCTCGCCGTAACTTTCATGCTATATTTCGCCGGAAGCCACATCCTCAAGGATCATCTCAGTGCTGATAATGGACAGAAAGAGCTCGCCACCGTCGTCTTCAACACGTTCGTATGGATGCAGATTTTCAATGAGTTCAACAACCGAAGGCTTGACAACAAGTTTAATATCTTCGAAGGAATGTTTAGGAACTACTGGTTCCTTGGAATCAATTGTATCATGGTCGGCGGCCAAGTTATGATCGTCTATGTCGGAGGTGAGGCTTTCGGCGTGACTCCCCTGAACAGCATCCAGTGGGCTGTTTGTATCATCTGTGCGATCGGTTGTCTCCCGTGGGCTGTGGTTCTCCGCCTGATTCCCGACAAGCCGTTCGGGATCGCGCTTGACTTTGTTGTCAGAACCGTAGCATTAATCCTGCGGCCTATCAGCAAGGCTCTGGGTTTTGTTGGGAAGATGTTCAAGTCTGCTGTGCGACCTATTCAACGGGTTACCAAGCGAGCATTCAACAAACGCCAGAATGAAGACATTGGTAGACCGGACGAAGAGGCTACCGTTATGACAGATCTGAAACGTCTGCAAACCCCTGAGGCACCAACGACTTCGGTGACAGTGCCTCCGATTACTATCACGACCTCTTGACGAATCCAACATACGATATGACTGTCACTGATCTGCCTCACGGCTGCAGGGCAGTTCCCCTCTGTATACTAGTTAACGGATGCACCACATGCATGTTATTGTACATACACATAAAGTGGCTGGGTGGTATGATGTCTTTATGTTGCATAGCGGGTGTTTTGTACTTTTGTTGGCTTTTAGATTAGCGCGCCCATGATTTTTGCGATATACAGATACTCCCATGTAGATAGTTAGCCAGGACTTGTTTGAATCTGAAACTTGCTTTTCAATGCATACCTTGAGCTCCATATATCATAACCGATTTTCGCCTTCTCTCATTTACTTATCTGCTGTGATTATATATATGAGATGATGTTGAGCTGATGGATAAGGAATCAGCACTGTGTTACTATTTCGTATACATATAATATAGAACGTTCAACAAGAATTCTTCAAGTAAGTGAGCAAACTTGAAGCGACCTTGGTACCAAAGCCGCAGATGGGCGTTTACACAGAATGATTAGTACTTGGGTATACTGTGCAGCACTGATTTTATGCCTCAGGCGTCCAGGCCCACCTCCGCACCGCCGCAACGCCGCCCACATCATCATCATCATCATCTCGAAGATATCCAGAGTAGTAGCTCCAACTTTTTCACTTACTTCCTTCACACTGCCCAATTCGACCCGTGCATAAGCCAAGAAGACGGTCAGTGCACCTTGCCCCTATTCCCTATCGGACAGGAAGAGCAACGAGCTGCTACACCTCCTGTCTGTCCCTCTTCTCCCCGCTCCCGTTACCGTCGGACTCGATAATGACGGTGCCTGACCGTGAATGGAACCTAGCTAACATACAAACAGCGCCGGGCTCCTACTCGCTCAACCGTATCCCTAGCCATACCACGGAAAGATCAAGCACACTCCCCTACCATAATCTAAGACCCTCCGAGCCAACTCAACCTCCTGAACCACACTCCGAAACAAACAAAAACATCCGCCATGGCTCAACTCAACTATCGCACAATCAACATCGACGTGCTGGACCCGGAGTCCTCCGTCAACTTTCCCATGGAAACCCTCCTCCCCCCTACCCTCCCTGCCCCGACCACATCCAGCGAAGCCGCAAACGTCGCCGCCCAGGTGCGCCAGCTACTCCGCAGCGGGGATGCCGAGGGAGCTCTGCGCGCTGTCCTCGATACGGCTCCGCTAGGTGGAGATGACCGCGCAAAGGAGGTGCACTTGGCTACCGTTATTGAGGTGTTGCAGGGAATTCGACAGGGCGAGATGATGAGGGTGCTGGAGGGGGTTTGTAATGGACAGGGCGGTTCCGAGCGAGCGGACTGCTTGATGAAGTATTTGTATGTTTTATGTTTCTTCCTTTCTTGTTTTAAAGGCATTTGCTTTTGTGTTCGAGGTTGATGTTGAATGTCTCTGGGTGCTAATTGTTATACTAGGTACAAGGGAATGGCGGCCCCCGGGCCTAGCAGCGGGGCGCAATCGCCTCGCAAATCGGTCTCCCCTCAGAGCACCGGATTCTCGCAGATTCAGGCCAGGAATCTTGGCGAAGGTGGCGGTGGTCAGCAGATGAGTGTCCTGTTGAGCTGGCATGAGAAGTTGGTGGAGGTGGCGGGCACTGGGTCGATTGTCCGTGTGATGACGGACCGGAGAACGGTCTAGTCCGATCGGATTGGGCTCTAGTTCTGAGATAGAGATGAGGGGACAGATAAACGGGTGTATGGGGAATCGTTGATATTCAAATGTTTTTCGTTCGTGCCTGTGTTCATACTTCGCTGTCTTCGCTTTTCTACCCCCCGCAAATGGATGATATCCTAGATTCTAACGGTATAGTATACATACTGAACAACATATAGTTTACAATTCCCTCATCTTATCGCTGATTGGAGAAATCGCCACCACCCAGAATATCCTTCAAATTAACCTCTCCACTACCTCTAGCCAGAGGCTGAGCTTGTCCCTCTCCTTCCTTCCACCCAATCATGTAAATCAATCTGAACGTCGCGGGGATGCCCCTCGACCCTTCTTCCTTGTGCAATTCCCGGTAGATCGCCTCATTGGCAAGCAATACATCACGCGACATCGGCCCCAATTCCCGGTGCAAGATAGCATTGTTCTCGCCCATCGACTGCAAGTCCTGCATGAGAGCAAATGTATCCGGGTATTCCACCACGATGTCCTCCACATCAACCGTGAGCATCTTGAATCCGGCCTTATTCAACAGCCCACCTACATCACGCACATCCGCCAGTGGCGAAACATGCGGACTCACTCCACCCCGTCGCTCCATATCCGCCAGCTGCAACGACGTCCGCAGCTCAAACAATGTATCACCGCCAAACATAGCCGCAATGAACGGACAATCCGGCTTAAGAATAGAGTTTACCTGTGCCAGTAGCGAGGGTAGATCGTTAATCCAGTGAATAGAGAGGGAAGACAGGACGGCATCGAATGTGTTCTCCTTGTAGGGAAGGCTCTCGAGGTCGGGGATGACCTCCCGCTTGATAGAAATCTCCTTGTTGAAGGGCTCGTCCGCATCACGGTGGAGAAGGGATTGCGAGGTGTCGACACAGGTGAGGTTCGAGATGCGGGTTGCGAGGGGTGGTGAGTTTGGGTTGACGGGGTCGATGTCGGGCATTGTTAAGGCGCGAGCAATATTACAGCTGTTTGCGCCGAGGTCGAGCACATTCGGGATGTCTCGTTTTATGTCCTAGATCCCAGATCGTTAACCTCTTGGTTCTCATTGATATGGATGTAACTGTGAAGAGACGCACCAGTAACCGCTCGCATAGCCGCATGGCTACCTCATCTTTGATGTAATCTGTCTTCCGGCTTTCCTCAACATTCTGGGCCGCGCGGTCCTTCTGTATATGTTTTACTTTGCGGTTGAATATTTCTAGGACGGGGTTGCCGGGCGTTTGGCTAGCGTATGTTCTGATAGCTCTGGATGTGAATGTCCGGGGTGAAAATACCGCCGGACGGAGGATTTGGCGGAGAGACATGGCTGTGTCCTGGGGGCTTCAATTGTCCTTTTTGGATCAAGTGAGAGGACTTAGAACATTGCGGTTATGTGGGTATGATGATGTGTGCAAGGTCGAAGAAGTTGCGGCGGAGGTTAGATTTATTTAATGAAAATGCGGGAAGTTTGCGGCGTGACGTCGGCGGAGCTTTCAGACTTAGATAAATTCCATTTCAACTCCGCATTTCGTGCGTTGTCAACAATTCCATCCCCGCGGGCTTGCGCCCATTTTTACGGATTTTTGAAACTATTATGGGTGTTTGTGAGGAACGATTACGACCATATTGGTAAAGACATTGTGGATCTATTAATGGTTGCGTATGTACAAATTGTTAAGAATATCTCCCCCTATTGGGGTAACTGTTTCTGGTCGCGCTATTGTTTCTTTGGATTTGCAAGGCTAATGCATACAAGCTTAGGGCATGACTAACTTGACCATACGCGCTCCGATTTAGCTCCTCAACATGTCGCGTCCTTTCCCTTACGCCTACATCTCCTGTCCATGTGCCGACACCCCCGTTCCCGATCCAGCCAGGAAGCGGAGATCAAGAGAAACTTCCCACAAGTCCAATCCGGAGGACCCCAATGCTCCGGTTCCTCAAGATTATGACTTTGAAGATGAACGCACATTTGACCCGCGATCTCTCCGGTCCAACTTTTCTTTGTACCCGCCGGAACAACTACTATACTGCGAGGACTGCCATCAGATCAAGTGTCCCCGATGTATAACGGAGGAGATTGTATGCTGGTACTGCCCTAACTGTCTGTTTGAGACACCGAGTAGCATGGTTCGGAGTGAGGGGAATCGGTAGGTTGTTGTTCATTGAGAAGTGTATTGGATCACCTTTACCGAATGAATGCTAAGGAGGAGGTCGTTATAGATGCGCCAGAAACTGCTTCAATTGCCCCATATGTACTGCTCCACTCGCGGTTACTACGTTGGAGAATGTCACCGGAGGTGGAAGTCAACAAGGCCCGTGGGTACTATCATGCGGTTATTGCATGTGGACGACTCTAGACATCGGCGTCAAGTTCGATAAGCCCACCAACATCCGCACGCAATTGTCCAAGATGACGGACTCTTCCCGGGGAAGACAAATGTCCAAGACCTTTAGCGACCTCAAGTCCCCGCTATCCACGTATTCTTCGATTGACGATCAATTCCCCTTGCCTAGCGAGATAAGAGGGGATGAGACCAACCCGGCCAACGAGCAATCTTCTGGGCCATTGAATCCAGAGTCACGATTCCAGGCTCTGAAGGGTTTCTACAAGAGTCAGATAGCATCGACCTCCTCATCACCTAACGACCCCCTGGCTGATTTTGGAGCTGGATTCTCCTCCCCGGGGGCCCTGAACCGTATCATGTCCCTGTACACCTCATCATCCCGTCTAGGCAATCTCTACGGCGGCACTAACAAGAAACCGAAATCCAAGCCCCCAGTCATGCGAGAAGCTCTTACAACCAGCGAAGGATTAAGGGTGCCGGCACCCGATACAGAAAATGCACTAATCCGACGCATGGCCTCCGACGACTGCGGATGGGACGGAATGGCTTCCATCGAACAGCGTACATTCCAATCCCCCGACGCACGATTCGTAGAAGACCTCCTCCCGCTACCGGTGCTACTTCGCACAAAACGGTCGAAACGTTGCAAGTCGTGCAAGCATATCCTTGTCAAACCCGAGTTCAAACCGCAATCGACCCGGTTCCGCATCCGCCTCATCGCCCTCAGTTACATACCTTTACCAACCCTCAAACCCCTAGTCCCCAGCCCCTTTGCCGGACTCCCGTCCGTCGCACCCGCCGCCGCGCCAAACCTGGATGCCTTGTCACCGCTGAAAACCGTGCAGCTCCTGCTCACCTTGAAGAATCATATGTTTGACCCGGTGCGGGTGACACTCGCCACGCCGTCGGTGACACCTGGGCGCGTGGCCTCAAAAGTCACCATCCTGTGTCCACAATTCGACATCGGTGCTAACAGCGACGTGTGGGACGAGGCCCTGCAGGGTTCGTCTGCTCCCGGTGACGCGCGCGCCTCCCGATCCGGCACCCTAGGCTCCACCGAGAAAGTCGCAGAGGCCGGAAAAGTGTGGGACAAGGGACGAAACTGGACCACCGTCGTCCTGGAGGTCGTGCCCGGGACATTACCTGGCGGTGGTGCCACAGGACGTAGCCACATGAAACAGCATGATGACGACAACGACGATGATAACGATGGCTCCGATGCCGACTCCGATGCCAATGTGAATGCCCTGGATTGGAGCGGACAAAGTAAGGACCCTAACCAACAGCTCCAGCCCGATGAAGATGTCTTGGAGATCCCTGTCTTTGTGCGGATGGAATGGGACTCCGAGAACCAGATCGATCAGGAGCAATCTGTTGGTAAGGGGCAGAACTCAGACACGGTCAAGAGGGAATTAGCGTATTGGATGGTGTTAGGGGTGGGAAGGATTAGTCCGGAGATGGGATTTTAGATATTGGTGGTTCTTAGATTGGTTGATAGATGATCTTCCCTTTATTTACGTACATACCCTTGTTGTTTTGAATTTCCTGGATGAAACTTAAGTGTCCTACACCTCATTATATATATGGATATACCCCCCCGGGGGTATAGATCTAACAGAAAGACTTTTAGGGCAATACGGACTAAATCCTACTAAACAATAAGCTTAATCGGGACAAGAGAAAATAAACCACGTGCGCAGAAACCTCTACATGAACTACGGGGACGGAACCGGAAGAATTAAACTTGGGGAATAAGCGCAAAAGAAAAAAAGAAAAAGAGGAAAATGAAATAAAGAAATATTTTTTGTTTTTCAACCACGCCGAACAACAGGAAAAGCCCGGACCAAAAGATCATGAATGATATTATCACATCACATCACATCCTCTTTTTTCATTAGGGAACCCTAAACCCGAAGGACCAGATCAAGAAGCTACCCACCACCGCACAGCGCCCGCGGACGCAATGCACAACAAGATATTGCCGTTCCTCCTCGTCCCAAGTTTCCTTCTTCTTTTTTCTTGTCTACTTCAAGAGAAAAAAAAAAGACGTAAGCCCGCGTTCTTGTTCTCGAAAATCCCAGACTTATTTTTCTCTCATTGGCCTAATCACAGGAAAAATATAGAAGACTTTAAAAGGACATAAGGGAGAAAAAAAATTGGCATCTAGAAGTCAGAGGCGCTGCTCTGGGGGAACTCGAAGACGACGTTGCGGCCGGTCAAACGACGGTAGACCTCGCCGTAGGCATCGAGACGGTGGTCAACACCACCACGCTCCTTCTCATCCAGGATGACCTTGAGGGTCTTGCTGCCGTCCTCCTTGGTGCGGATGCGCTTGCCGACGATCTCAACGGGGTAGACCAGGTCGCCGAGGATGGCGTCGTGGACAGCAGTCAGAGTGCGGGAACGGGGACGCTTCTGCTTCTGGTTGGTGCGGGAGTTGACAGAGCGCTTGGGCTTGGGCAGGATGCGGCGCTGAGCAACGAAGAGGACGTGGCGGTCGGAGAACTTCTTCTCGAGCTCACGGGTCAGGCTATTTTTGGCAAATGTTAGTCTCGGGGGATATCTCAATCTAAAAAGGACCAGGTTCTGGATGTGCTCGTACCGCTGCTGGATCTTGTGGAAGCCCTGGAGGAGAGGGACAGGGACGAAGATGATGACAGCCTTCTTGCCGTGGCCGACCTCAACCTGTAATATCAAACCGTCAGATCAACTCTTGCGGGATAAGATTATTCAACTGCGCATATGCGGTTTTTTGCAGGCGCAGGCAATTCTCATGTAGAATCAGAAATTGTTTCTCTGGTCGCCCCCCTCTTTCATTCCAGCCTAGTGATGGACACACAATCATCCTCCATTTGGATTGCACCGCCAGCTGACGCACAAGCACACATGGCTTGATTCCACCATAGGTTCCTTCCCATTCCGACGAATATCACATCACTCCTTCCCACAAATGACCAGAGACAAATTCTGATGCTGCAACGTGCGGTGCCAAATAGATCGGGCAGATCTTACCTCACGGGCAGAGACGAACTGCAGAGGACGAAGGGTGGCCTTCAGGTCCTGTGTGTTGCTCTCCAAGTCGAAGAGAGCGCCGGCGATCGCGTTCTCCAGCTCGGAGGGGTTCTGCCTCGAGGGCGAGTTGAGGGCGATCTTGTTGATAGCAGCCATTTTTGCAGACGAGCGACGGATAGCGGGCTGTGCTGCTGGTGCTGCCTTTCCTTGTCGCGGGTTGTTGGGGGTCGTGGGAATAAATTCGAGGATTGAAACAGAGGTCCGTCCAGCATCCAATTCTGCTCCGTTTGGTGTGGGATCGGAGGCTCGGCGCCTCGCTTAGCGACACGGAGCTTGTCCTCTCCCGGTTAGCGCATTACCCTCCTAGGGAAAGCCTAGTCCCGTGACCTGTCTGCCCTCAATATCAAGAACATTAAAAGAAAGGTTATCTATCAGTTATTACCTAGCAATAGGCTCCATAGAAAACTATTACTCTACTTGGTGCGGATGCTCAATGGCATCCCATCCTATTTGTGATAGCAGGAGGTAACTGAAAAATAGTAAACAATACCCTTACCAAGTTCCTACCAGTACAACATCGGGGAAGCACCTATCCATAATGATAAAGACAAACAAAGACCTCTCGCTGAGTGCCAGAGAATCTGGGGTGTTAAAAAAAAAAAAAAAGGAACAGAACAGAAAATAAAAGGTGCCAAGACCTGGCATGAAGCACAAAACATAAACAAAAACACAGGTTGACGCCGGGATATGAGAAACTACAATGATGACACACCATGCTTTGTGGCACAGCCCCGAAGGTCCTAGGTAATTACTCTGTAATCAAACCTAGTCGCGAGATTGCTGCACGGATGAACAAACATTACGGACTGTAGAGCAGACGCGCAGCCGAAATTAACAAGCACAGCCTTCTTTAGCCGTGGCAGTAGACCGGTCTCCCAGGTTGACTCGTGAGTCCTCCGCCGGACGGCCACCTCCCAAAGTAGTCTGACCCGTACCGGCGCCAGCTCCGCGTCCACTCTTCAAACTGCTCTCTGGGATAGCATTGGCAATTGCGGTGAAGACCTCCACAACATTCACACCTGTCTTAGCGCTAGTCTCGAAGAACAGTAGGCCCTCTTCGTCCGCATATGAACTAGCCTCCCGTGTCGAGACCTTCCGGGCATCTCCAGGCGTGGCATCTTGCTCCTCCTGGGGTTCACCAGCCGCCTCATCTCCGTCAGCGGTAGCAGTAAGAGGCTGCTGTTCGCCATCCACCTGTGGCTCCCCAGAAGCTTCGTTCCCGTCGTTTGTCAAGTCCAGCTTATTGCCGACGAGAGCGATCACAATCCCGGGGCTGGCTTGCCGCTGTAGTTCGGCGACCCAGTGTTTGGCCTTTGTAAGGGAAGATGGTTTGGTGACATCGTAGACTACTAGCGCCGCCTGGGCGTTACGGTAGTACATGGGGGCAAGCGAGGCGAATCGCTCCTGACCGGCTGTATCCCAGATTTCGAACTTGATTGTCCGGGTCGGGAGGGAGCATTTTTGAGTCAGGAAGGCAGCTGGTATGACATCAGCACCCGGAAGAGGTTGCATTAGATGCCGCTCAAAAATCGACAACTTCGGATCTCCTACCTCCAATAGTCGGCTCTTTGTTCTCTTGAAAGTCATTGTTGACAAATCGCAGAACTAGCGATGACTGTTCACGGTCATCCGTTCATCCATTTGTCAGTCTTCCAGGTTACCCGTGTACAACGGCAAGAGGGCGAAGGGAATCAACCGAGGCCGTACCTTTCCAACTGCCGCCTCGCCCAAAAGTACCAGCTTCACGCTACTACTCGGCTTCGGAGTATTTGTGCTAGTTGCCTCAGACATGACAGCAGAGCCCAACGGATGGGTGGCTATACACGATTAGGTTGATTTGCAGGGACGCCAGCACGGGTGGTGATTATCAATCTCGTCGATGATTTCAGCTCGCCAGGGGCGGGTAAGGTCGACAAGAACTTAGAGAGCGGTAAGTAATCAAGGTAGCCTGAAGGAAACGTCAGCCCTTGGGGACACGAGAGAGCCTAAGTTGGAGACCTGAGCAAGGGTCGCGAAAGGAAAAATAGACAAATGAAAGCCAGGGTCACCAACGTACTGCACCAATACCAAGAGAAAATAGCGGTGGGCACAAGTGCACTGTCGCAAGGTACTAGGAAAGATCAATACCCAGTGAGGCGGAGGGAATTAAACGGTCGTCACTTTAGATGATGGAGAGGTCGCCTCAATCCGGCTTAGCGTGGCGCCTTTAGCACGATGGCAGTCACGGGATGTTTCCGCCTTGACGGGTTTCGAATCTACTCAATGACTGCCATTTTGTATTTTCAGCGGGTAACCTCGGACGGTAAATATTAATTTCCTTTCCCCCAATGCTTCATTGAAAACACACTACATGATCTGTGTCGCCCTCTTCTCTCCCTGTTCTTATTTTTAATGGCTCCAACTCATCAATATTGATTGTACAGAATCCATGTCCAGTTCAATGGATGGTGAGACATATCAACTTCCAACTGGCGGAACAGTACCCAACTCTCAATCTCCTATGATTGGCAGGAGATGAATCTTGCCAACGCTAGTCTGGCTTCCGTCTTTGAGGCATGCTGTCAATAATGACAACATATCATGCAGGCTAGGCATGATGGGCCAGTATCCTCCAACGAGAGTCATTGCCAGGGAGTTGGGAACCATTTCCAATGACGCCGGCCCACTGGCGCGGACAACGTTGCACAGCATGATTTGTGCAGATCCCCGGGCCGTAGGCTGTAGCTGCCCAAAATACAAACCACAACAACAATAAGAATAATAATACTCATACTAAATGATTAGCACATGCAACGGGGGCTCGAACACCCTTGATGTTTGCACCAGGATCCACCAAGATAATGCGCTGCTTACAAGAATTCCAGCAAATCAGATGGCTGATACTCAGTGTGCCTCCGCAGCCAGCCCACCCCTCCGGGGGATAATCAACCTACAGCCGTGTCATGGTCTGTGACCCGTTCACAATAGAATCGAGGCTTGTGCCAAACGTTGTCTCTGAAGTTCGATGGGGAAAGAAAAAAAAAAAGAGAAAAAAAAAACTTGAACAGAAGGTTGGAGAAGGCACGCCTGTTTCCATTCTTAAGATGTGCTTGTAATATGATACACATGCACTCAGGACACTATCGCAAAAGTCCCAGTGATAATTGAACAAGATAATGAAATTAGTAGGAAAATGAAGAGAAAAACGGAATGTTTGACCGCGAGGTCGCAAGCTCTAATGTTGGTATCAACCCATGTATCCCAAAGAAACCATCCTGTCTATGTCGAACGCCGAACAAATCCAAAACCCGAAGACGATAGCGAGAGGGTAAAAAAAAAGGCACTTTTGATGAACAGATCGTGGACCTGCGCTGGTTCATGTCGAAGGTGAATTAAAGTTGTAAATGTAAAAGGATCGGGGTCGAAGGTCAACATGGCAGCAGCCATATGAGTCGGAAAGTGATAATGAACGTGACCCCGAAGAGGCGTATTAAAAAGGTTATAGACCCGAAACCAAAAATGTGGACAACGAAGCGAATAGAGTAATGAAACATAGTGTTACAGGAACTAAAACATCTCGTTAGCTCTGAAACGGACAATTGAGAATTGGGGGAAGTCCACTTACAATGAAGATCGACTTCATCAACACGTGAACTCCGCAGACCATGGCGCCAATAAAAACCACAAACTTTTCGCTCGAAACAATATGACATGGTGTGGTTAACCGATGCCTTCATGGCATTTAGTTGGACTGATCCGACTCGTCTGTTTGGACGCCGGTGGTATCGTATCCTCCTCGTCCCATTGTTACAGCTCGAATATCACGAATTTTCATAAGACTCTTTAAGAACAGCGATAGTCAGACGTCACGTTCCCACTGAGATCGAATTTGGGACTAAGGTATAGGAAAGGAGTTGTGGGAAGGAGTACTCACTTAAAGGGTTAAATAGCGACAAGGAGTGCCTTGTGGCCCGTAATCTTCAATAAATAAAGTAATAAAACGCCAGTGGTAAATATTAATGTGCGGTCTGATTATTGATCGATTGTAGCGTCAAGCGAGATACCCAAAAAATCCCAGACAAGGGCGGACGGTATTAATGCAGACAACAGATGATGCAGCTGCAGTTGAGATCGGAAAGGTGATCCTTTTAAGAATGTTCAATGCTCTGGCGCTGGCAAAAATAGGCAGGGCAATGCAGCACAGACAGCGCCGACAAGTAGTAGATCTGTAAGGCAGGAATGTGACGCCGCTAAGATGACCAAGTAAACGGACTGGAAGAATGAGGAAGAGTGGAGCTCCAATCGCAGTCGATGGGTCGAATTTATTTCTCTAATTTTTTTTTTTTAAATTTTCCTTTCCCTTTTTCTTTTCCCGCTCGAGCGCTTGCGACGTTGTTTATTGTGAATTGTCCTGGTATCTTTTCAAATCGTGACAAACTGGCGCGTAGCAGGGAGGTGCTGGATAAATATTGAATCAAGCAATCTGATCAAACCCCGACCCAAGGAGCCAAAATGGATAAGACTATGCAACCAGCAAGGAGGTTGATCCTAGCGATTGAAGAGAGCCACGGAAGTAGAGCTCCGTCTAGTCCGGCGATAACTAAAGATCGAACGAAAGGATAGGGCGTTGGTAACGTCACAAAGGATGATGAGCGGACGTAAGACGAAGAGGACAGGGGCGAAATGTACGAGGAGAGGGAGGAGGGAGGACAGGGAGAGAGTTCCTTATAGGATTAAGGAATGAATGTGTGAAGCGAAAACTTGAAGGGGGGTTTCTGATATATGTAGTACTCCCGCAATGGCCTCAGTTTCTCCTTCAGTTATTATTATTATTCTTCTTCTTTTTTCCTTTTTCTAAAAAAAAAAAAAAAAAAAAAAAAAAAAAAAAAAAAAAAAAAAAAAAAAAAAGAAAAAAAAAAAAAAAAAAAAAAGAAAAGGTTTGGGTCCGATCATCAGTAACCTAAAAAAAAAAATTGAATAAAATAAAACAAATTCAGGAAGGGGGAAAATTAAAACAAGATTAATTAGAGCAAAAAATAAAATCAAATAATATGACTATTTTTTTATTGTTTTTTTAGTTTTATAAATAATAATAGCTGACAGGAACAGGACAAAAAGTCAGAATAATCAAAAATCCAAATACAGAATCATGGTAGCTAGCTCCGTTTAGCATAGCAGCTCCCTCCCGTCCCGGGGGGAAGGAACGCGACAAGCTAGTAGGTTGGGTGTGGATGCGATCCATCGACCCCCTTTCTTTCTTTTTCTTTTCTGGTTGTGTTCTGCGCGCCGTCCCAAGGTTCCTGTCCCAACGTTTGACTGACGGCCACTGTTCCAGGCACCTGGAAGGTAAGGTATTATTCCCAGTAATTACAGTAATTTCTCATTGTCTCTCTCCCCTTGCCCTATCTCATCGCTTCATTGATGAGTGTGGTTCTTACTACCTGGGGTAATTCTGACCGTTTCAGGCTTGTTTCTTCCTATCTTATTTGTCCTGACTAAATTCAAGGGACTCAGCACTTCAGCTGATGGCTGAATTTTCAGGACAGCCACGGGATCGTTCGGAGTCATCACAACCTAGGTTCCCTACTACTAGGGTAGGAGGCCGTCTGTTACGAATAGAATCTAGCCTGAAAGTAGTATGGTAACGGTGGAAGCCTCTGTAATACGACAGCGTCCCATAGCTACCGACCTACCACTACAAATGGGGAAAGGAAACAAGGGAAGAAAATCGGAGCTCTCCACCAGAGTGCACCGTATACAGGTAATACTACTTGGTTAATTAAAAGCTACCTAACCTTCTGAGAACCGACTTCTCGGACACAGCGGACTGGCTTGTTGCAGGGTGTGAGTGGGGAACCTTACAGCCGCGTCCAGGAACCGCGGATGGATCCGAACCAACACCAATGGGGCTTGTCTCGATTGCCCCCGTCTCGCGTGGTGTTTTGGGGGGTCAGTGGCCTACTCCGTAGTTATTCCTCCAAGCCCTATACTATTCCCTTAAAAACTCCTTTGGCTAGGCTTCTGTATTTTTTTTTGTACCCAATCTAGCTTACTCTTACCCGATTGATCGTCTTGATGTAATCCGGTTTCTAAATTTTCAGACGGAATACCTAACGTGAGGTACCAATACTGGTACATGAAAGGCAATTTTCCCTTTAGACATGGATGCGTAGTGTATGGACACCTGAACAAGAGCTGTCCATGCAGAGACATGTACTCTGACTGCATGTACATATCTACTCTACTTCAACAAATGAGGACAGGTTAATCACTAGTAAATGTATGTGGCGCCATGTTTGATAGGTAAGGTCTGCACAAAGTACCGGGTCAAAGCCTAAGGCACCGGAATTAGTAGGGTATCTGTTAGGGTAGTCGGTCGTACCTTTAGTACTCCGTAAGTTATAGGTACGAGCTAAGGTACGTACTGTAAATAGAGGTTCTCCATAGAACCAATCCAGAAGCTTTTTCTACCCGGTACCTGCTGTAGTCGCCTACTAAGTCTCGGGAGACTATCGTAACCAAGATCATTGTTTATTGATTCGATACTTCCATTCTAGTTTGATCCACTTGCTCCCCTAACTGATTCGGTGGCGATTGGCTATTTGCCGAGTTGAGCTCTTGTTTGATGATGTATGGATGTTTACGATTTTGTATTGCATTGCCATCAAAGAGGGAAGAGCTTTTGACCGTGTCAAACAGAGTACATCTAGTTATTTCATTGTTGCCAAATTTGCCTCAGTCTGTATTATTCTATCTTTTTTGTTTGAAAACAAAAAACACCTTTTCATTTCCTTCCCTTATTCCCCGGTCTCCAGGGAAATCAGGGCTACCTGAGCAATAGGGGCACCGGTGGATACTTCTCATAGCGATCAATGATCCGGTAAACCCACAGTTACCCGCCCCGTTACGTATTATATGCGACCATCATTCTTCTCACGACCTTCTAGTCCTTCTAGCGTACCGTCCGTCTGTTTCTCCCCGCGACCACCAGAACAAGTTATGGATTTTCTCCGTCTGTCCTCCAGATCAGGTCATGGTTTACCTCCCATGACTCTGGCCTTCTAGATTTTCTCTCCAGTTCCACTGGAATTTCCTCTGGGGTAACGCCGCTGATCGACTGATGTACCCTGATTTACCTCCATTGATTGTACATAGTGCTACTCCGTACTAAGTTGGGTTAACTCCTGAAGGTGGGCCCCAGAATATTCGTAGAACGTATGGAAACCTGTAATTTACCACTCCACAATTGACCACCCACTGAGCCACGCCACAATGGAGCAGAGTATCTCCAACGGAAGATGGCGGCAGAATGACAGAGTTCTGCCGAGTTGGCTCAAATTTCCAGCCACAGGATTCACACTGCAGGCTGTGGGTTCTCTTTGTTCAGGCCTGTCCTAGACCAGATATTAACGGAAACGTTTAGTGTTTGAAAGGGCTCGCTTAGTTAGTAGTCATATTAGCGGCGACATATTTCAAATCCAACAGGACATCCGTTTGGATCTCAAGTGATCAATTGAGTATCTAGGTACTTTGACCATGATGGTCAAAGAAAAGCCACCTGGCAAGCCCATCTGTCAAATCAGACCAAGAGGCGTTGCAACGGGCTTGTACCTAGTTAATCACCCAGCGAAGAGTTACATCGTTCCAATGAGAGGAAAGTGACATGTAAATTGGACGACGCTAGTGCTTCAGATGGGGCGTACCTTTTTGTCGCCTCCCGGACAATGAACATATACATAATCAAGCCCAAACAGGCTACTTGACAGAATACATGGTTTCAGACGAACTCGTTATCATCCTCGATACGGAGTACGTGACAGTACAAGCAGATTGCCAACAGGAACAAGGTGATTCCAGAATCCTTCTGGAAGTCCATCCGAATGGTGCGGTACCATGGTTCCATCGCAGATCGTGCCATGAGCTTATGGGGCCTCCCTATGCTGGATATGGAGACGTGTTGTCTTGCTTTTCTTGTTTAGGTTACAGAGAGGAGACTCCCACCCTAGCCTTCTAGGGTATTATAGTCGATCGACTGACTCAGATAATACAGCTAAGACGACACTAGAAACTGGAGGACAAAGGAAGGAGTCTAAAGAACCGTTGGACTTGCCCACTTCTAGGCCGGGGTGGGGAGTTGGCTGTTGGTTCCGTTTCCGCGCCCATCAAACAGGCATGGTCTATTACTGCTAAAGGTAAATAATTGTGGTATTATTCGTGGTTATTAGATAATTATTGAGGCTGCTAGACGACCCTCCGCTGCAAGTTAGCGCGCAATCAGGGGAATTGTTGTGGATCAATCGGTTACTGCCAAGGCCATAGGTTACTACGTACATTTAAACAATAAAAACCGGTGCTGCATGATTGTGAGCATGAACATGGCTATATTTGAAGAGTTTGTCTTGTTAAAATACCACAAGTCTACTGGTATATACAATCGAGCTCAAAGCCACTATGGTGTCGCTAACAATGGTAGTCGATATATTTTGGACAGATGTTTGTTTAGTGAAAGGAAAGATGGCCTCAACATCCACTGACAGACAGAAATAAATCATCAAAGGTTCGAACAGATTATAACAGGAGCTGTATAATCTCCTAGTATATTCTTTTCTTCAATAGATCTCTATTACAAATAGCAAATATAGATCTAGATGCATCAAATCCAACCTCATGGGAAAGTATCATCAACCAAGCCATGACAGTACAAAAGTACCTTGTGAGGAGTACGATGAACCTCCAAGGTATGTACATCCTCACACACACAGATAATTCATAGCCACAAACATTCTTCAATAAGCTGCTACTGTGCCACAATTGATGGGTCAGATTGATCATCTATCATTGACCTTCCATGTCGAGACATCGGCGCGTACTCCGAGGATACCTCATCTTTCGCGGAACCAGAATCCTGGGAAGGCGAAATCAGAGAAAAAAGTTTGCTGTGATCATCGGGACACATCCGGACGAATCAGATGCATGATACTCCCCGCCACAGGTAGGGATAGTGCGGTATTGTCAATCATCCATGTGTCTCCTCGCGTCTGGATACATATCCACTATGAAGCCACAATCCACTCCCATGCAGCCTGTCGGTCATCGATTGTTAGGTTATCCATCGGATCGACGTGAAGACTGTGTCCGACGTACTACCGATCGAAGCCGTGGAGTTGTCTGTTTCCTCCCCTGTCGGCAATATGTATGCAACCTGTTTGTATGTAAGGGGGGGAGGGCATTCCAGAGCTGCAGCTGCACGATTATCATCGATCTATGTAGCGACGCCACTCCTCAGGGCCCTTGAAACCTTGGTGTCCAGGATTCTGGTCTTGCAACTTTCTGTGTATATTCCGATTATTTGTGGCTGGGTGTGGTAGTAGTACTTTGTTCTGTACAGTACTTTTGTTTTGATTTTTATGAAGTGTTTGTTATCTTTCCCACCCACCCACTCATCATGCCCCCGACTGCCACGCATGCCTTGGGTCACCTCATCAAATCCCATCACAAACATGCCCAATGACCAGCACTATACCGTGCTATATCAGAACTGGGATATCGCTGATCGACGGTTCTGGATCGCATGGCACCAAGACTGTGGAAACGGTCGCACGGGTGGTTTGAATCTGAATCGACGATGTCAACGGCAAATGGGGACCATCATGATACTATTACCGTAACCATTCGCCTGGTTGGGTAAGAATTGCGATGGATGGGCTGACGGTACCCAATAGTCAGGGCCAAACGTCGCAGGTGATAAACAATAGGCTGAAGACGGAGAGTTTTGGACACCCTACGGAGTAGACAGGAGAAGTAAGGTCTGGCCCGAGACGGGGAAGGGGAACTGAGGTTCCAGAATGGCGGGTGGATGCGTTAGCTTCCTTCGTCCTGGACTTGCCTGGTAGAGACAGCTACTAATAACTATATGGAGGTATGTATGACTAGGGATGTTTGACATGATCTACATTCCTAGAGAGTCCAGCAGACTCCGTCACCGATAGAGCAATACAATAACCAGACTATTCAAACGATCCTCAGACGGCGTGGAAAAACTATAGGAAGACTACAGATAGGACAATCCAAGTTGTCCATGAGATAGGTAATAACCACTAAGGCTGGCCGGCTCTAATTTTTTAAATTACATGGGATTTTCGATCCACTATCTGATTGGTAATGGCCTTACCGATCAGTTCCCCCTTCTAGAATTCCATCCCGTGGCTTTTGACGCTAAAAGTCCGGCTGCATTTCCGCGCTGTTACTAGTGAACCCAAGCCCGGGATACATACATGTGAGGCTCCCACCAAAGTAAAGGTTTCTTGGTAATCTGTACGAACCAGGGAGTGGAGCTTGTCCTTCTGCTTCCGCTTTGGCCCCGAATGATAGGATCTCCGAGGTTCTATTCCCGCTTAGTCGGTACTATTAGAGGTACCAGTTTGGGACCAGTGTGGTTGCTGAGAGGATAAAATATATTAATTATATGTGAGGAAATTTTCAACATGACAGGCTGATATTATATATATATTTTCAGACTTATCTAGAGAGATCGTCTCATCCCAGTGTAAAATCCATGAGTCCAAGAGGGGGGAAGTGATTTGGTGTGGGGGTTGAGCAAAAGAATGTGATTGATCTACAATGCAGAAAAAGCAAAAGAGGTTGGCCGTCTGAAAAAAAAAAGTTATTACCCAGTTTTTCTTTTCCCCGACATCACCGATAGATTGGAAAATGAGGGAAAATCCAAAAGCCACAAGATTACTTTGCTACATGTTTCGAACTTACTGCAGAAATATGCAAACAATATACATTCCAATTGTCATCAACTTTCCCCTGTTCCAATCCTATCCAACCAATAATCAATAGTGCAGCAAGGCAAAGGTCTCCTGCCTGGCGATCAGACCTCTTCGCCCCAATTCCTGGCTTTTGTTGTTGCACAACTGATCGGTAGATCTTGGGTACCTACATGGTCCATCTTCGACCTGAGACGATCGTCTGCAGAAATGAGGTACCGGCAACCAGGCACAGCATACCCGCCCTGCGAGGACTGAGGCACGGTCCAGACCTTGTCCCTTCAGACATAATTCATGATTCATTGGGGTACCCCAGCCATTGATTGTCGTGCAAATGCAATGATCCGGGGCATTTGGAATGGATCATGTAGCAACATTCTGTTGGTGTCGTGTGCTCTGTTTGTGAAGGTCCAGTTATGGGTGTGGCGATTGGACAGGTCACTCTGGTGGTGATTTGCCACTCTTAGTCCTTTCCGGGCAATTTCCTTCAGCCTTGAGGGCTGTCGGCTAAGGAAGAGTATTCCAAATGCACCGGAGATCCATGTTCTCGATATGAAAAGGTAAATCTCATATCATTTTCTAGGGTGGAATTCTTCTCTCATGGTTTCTGATATTAGTATATATTCTATTATAGTATTGAAAGGACATGAAGTGACAAATGATATTTGTCGTTATGCTAGTATTACAGTCCATCTATCTAGGCTTTTCAATTATTCACTCCTAAAGTTAGAAGTGGCAACATATAAACAAGGTGGTCGAGTGGTTAATACAATAGACTTGAATCAACATAGTGCCATACAAGACCGGTGCGCTCAATCGCGTCCTTGACTTTTTTTTTTTTTTTTTTTTTTTCCGTATTTCCCCCCAAGTTTATATCACAGTAGTAATATTGGCTGATTGAGCACCAAGGGAAAATGTATATGATGATACTGAACTGTTAGTTAAGGAGCGGCCGAACTAGTAATCAGTCATACATTGCAAACTAGGACTATAAGTCAAACCATTAGGATAGGTTAGGCAGGGATAACGTGATTGATAAATGACTAGTATATTATGCCCCAGCACTAGTAACCCCTGACTGTGAAACTTCTGAGACACCACGCCATCATGATCCATTATCATTTTCGTGTGTCAAAATGCAATTATATGCCATTTCGAACTTAGAAAACGCATTAGCGAGTGTGCTTAAGACAAGCAGAAGAAGCAGTTATACTCACCTGCTCATCTGTCTGGCAGACCATTACACGCGGTCCACTAGCACCTACCTTGGAGATATCCATCACCGTCTGGTCGTCGGACGGCCCTTTGTCATTAGCTGATGCGTCAATAGCTACCCCCAGGCACTGGCATTTCTCGACGACAGTTTTCCTCAGTAAGGCACTCTTCTCACCAATCCCACCGGCGAAAATGAGTGCATCAACTTTTCCTTCTAGCTTGACAAAGTAATTACCTATATACCCCAGAATACGGTCAACTAGAATGTCGAAAGCAAGCTTATGCTCCGGACCTGGAGGATTCTCAACGGCTATCTGGGCAAAATCTGTAGTTCCAGTGAGCGCTTTCCAGCCGGATTTCTTGTTCAGGATTTCTTCGGCCTAGATGGACCTAAGTCAGCTAGCTGTTTGCTTCTTCCACACAGTCTTAGTGACTTACCGTGCTAATATGCATTTCTTTAGTGCTCGCAGGGCTCAACTTTCCTGCCTCGCTAGTGTAATGAAACACGAGCCTGCCAAGGACGCGTTAACCATCAGTCTTAGAGCCACCGTTTTGATAATACTCACGATGGGTCAATATCACCACTACGGGTGGCACCAGGTAAGCCAGCCAAGGGTGTAAGCCCCATCCTAAGAAGATCTGTCAGCATGTCTTTCCCACAATGGACGAAGATCATTCTTACGATGTGTCAATGGACTTGCCCTCCTTGATTGCGCATACAGAAGCACCGCTTCCAATATGCATGGCAATCATATTAGTCTGCTCCACTGGCTTGCCCAGAAATTGAGCTACCGAACGCAGGATGAAGGAATAACTAATGCCATGAAACCCGTACTTCCGAAGACCATTTGCTTTCGCGGTGTCCTGGTTAATTGGATACGTCTTTACATAGTCGGGCAGAGTCTGATGGAAGGCAGAGTCGAAGAATGTGATACTTTTCACCGAAGGTAGTTCCTTTCTACAGAGTCGAATGATCTCCAAAGCAGAAAAGTTGTGTCTGTCGCCAGTCAGAAACACACCCTGATCGAAAGGGCATGGGCACTACATACAGCGGGGCTAAATCCTCGAGTTTCTCCAAGTGGTGATAGGTTTCATTGGTGATAACTACCGATCGCTCATAGTCTCCACCATGAACAACCCGATGACAAATGAATGCCAGATCATCACTGCTAGTAACCTCGGATAGGTTAGGATCAGAGAAACATCTCTGCAGAAGGAACTTGAACGCATCCTGAGGCGTGCTCAGTTTCTCCTTGAGCTGCTCTTTGTGGTTCGTCGATCCCCGAGTGTATTTCAGCGTTGCCGGAGGAGCTGTGATCCCCGAAATCTGTGCATTGGCGACGACTTTTGGTGGCTGTTCAAAGGTGTAGAAGGTAATCTTCACCGAAGATGATCCGGCATTAACTGAGAGGATAGATTTGCGTGTCATATTGGAGGCGGCAGGATCGGGAGAGTTGAACCGAAACATGCCATATCCACTGGGCTTCCAGGCTTCCAGGTAAATAAATAATCGGTCTGTGATTCTTGATGCCCATATCTTTCATAATTCACAACTGAAAGGGACCATTTTATTTGTTCGTTGTGGTGGGCCAATTTTCCTGTTGGGGTGCAGCCGGTGATGTCAAAGAACTTGCATGGTGACGTAGTTTGGGAACCCGACATCATGGACCTGGAACTACAGCCTCGAAAGAAGTATTTCTGGTGAACCCTACGAGATTCTGGATCTACTTAAACCAAGGATTGGTAAAGGCTGAGATTGTGGAATCCCATCCTTTCATACGTCTGAAACCAGAGGAAAACTATTAGAACTTGAGCATCGTCCCCAAGATTTGCAGTTTTATTCTCCATATCCATCTATTGATCCCTTGGCGCGATCCACACTATCAACGAACTCTATACCAAACAAGCATTATCAACGTATTAAATACATTTCACACATCTGCGGATCACTAACCATGCTGGGAGAGATAATCGATAGGCCTAATCCTAAGGCTGAGCCGTCGCACATTCCGGATGTCGTTGAACAGCTGCAAGTCCAGCTCGACCTGGCTTCCTTAGATCAATCTACTTCCGATGCTTTATTGAAATTTCGCCGAGCAGCTGCTTACATTGCAGCAGGTGAGCTTTGATAACTCTATACTCTTAAGACACCCGCTTATGTTCTCTAGCGATGATTTTTCTGCAGGACAATGTGTTGTTGAAGCGCGATCTAAAACATGATGACATCAAGCCTCGACTACTTGGTGAGATCCTCTGAAGCTTTGTATACATCTAGGTAGGAACATATCAGCTCATTCAATACCATATTTCCAGGTCACTGGGGAACATGTCCTGGGCTTATCCTCGTATATTCCCATTTGAACTATATCGTCAAGAAGCGAAACCTAGACATGTTGTATGTCGTCGGACCGGGGCATGGTGCACCAGGTCTACTTGCTTCGCTATGGCTGGAGGGTTCATTGGGGAAGTTCTACCCACAGTATTCTCGAGACAAGGAAGGTCTCAAGAATCTCATCTCCACTTTTAGTACCTCTGGTGGTTTGCCAAGGTTGGACTTCTCTCAGTGAATTAGTATGCCGAGCTTGAGCTAACCGTTTCTATTCAGCCATATTAACGCCGAGACCCCGGGAGCCATCCATGAAGGTGGCGAGTTGGGTTATGCGTTAGCTGTATCCTTTGGTGCAGTCATGGATAATCCGGATCTCATTGTCACTTGCGTGGTCGGTGATGGAGAAGCAGAAACCGGTCCAACAGCGACGTGAGTTCATAGACGATCTACCTGGGTAAAGTGCACTACTGATGGAAACAGTTCCTGGCATGCAATCAAGTACATTGACCCAGCGGAATCGGGAGCAGTCTTACCAATTTTGCATGTCAATGGATTCAAAATCAGCGAGCGCACCATCTTTGGCTGCATGGACAACAAAGAGTTAACTTCTCTTTTCACGGGACATGGTTACCAAGTGCGCATTGTTGAGAGTCTAGACGATATTGATACTGATCTCCATTGCTCCATGAATTGGGCGATTGGGGAAATTCATAAGATTCAGCAAGCAGCTCGCTCTGGGAAGCCGATCATGAAACCCCGGTGGCCCATGATAGTGCTGCGCACACCTAAGGGCTGGTCAGGACCCAAGGAGCTGCACGGGCAATTTATTGAGGGGTCGTTCCATTCACACCAGGTTCCTCTACCTAATGCGAAGAAGGACAAGGAAGAACTCCAGGCGCTTCAAAAATGGCTATCTTCCTACAACCCACATGAACTCTTTACCGAGACAGGAGATGTTATTGATGAAGTCAAGATGATCATTCCCTCGGATGACTCCAAGAAGCTCGGTCAACGTTTTGAGGCATACAAAGCCTACGAGCCACCTAATCTTCCGGATTGGAGGGCTTTCTGTGTAGAGAAAGGTGCGCAAGAAAGCTCGATGAAGACAATTGGAGAATTCATAGATAAGGTTTTCATCCAAAACCCACACAGTGTCCGACTGTTCTCGCCGGATGAGTTAGAGAGTAATAAGTTGGATGCCGCTCTCGCGCATACTGGGCGGAACTTCCAATGGGACCAGTACTCCAACGCGAAGGGTGGTCGTGTTATTGAAGTACTGAGTGAACATATGTGTCAAGGTTTCCTTCAGGGCTACACTTTGACTGGGCGTGTGGGCCTCTTTCCCTCTTACGAAAGTTTCTTGGGTATTGTCCACACTATGATGGTGCAATACGCCAAGTTCATGAAGATGGTACCTACCCCTTGCCTACATCCCATTGATTGGCTCTCCTTAACCAGAGTGATAAACAACTAGGCCCGAGAAACAGGGTGGCACAAAGATGTAGCCAGCATCAACTACATTGAGACCAGTACCTGGACCCGACAGGAACACAACGGCTTCTCTCACCAGAACCCATCATTCATCGGAAACGTTCTCAAGCTAAAGCCTAATGCCGCACGTGTCTACCTACCGCCGGACGCCAATACTTTCTTAACAACCGTTCACCATTGCTTAAAATCTAAGAATTACATCAATCTCATGGTTGGCTCAAAGCAGCCGACGCCCGTTTATTTATCACCTGAAGAAGCTGAAAGCCACTGCAGAGCTGGCGCATCGATCTGGAAATTCTGTAGTACAAATGACGGACTTGATCCAGACGTTGTCCTTGTGGGAGTCGGTGTTGAAGTGATGTTTGAGGTCATCTACGCCGCTGCAATTCTGCGCCAGCGCTGCCCTGAACTTCGTGTTCGGGTGATCAACGTGACAGACCTGATGATATTAGAAAACGAGGGGGCCCACCCGCATGCTTTAACAACCGATTCCTTTGATAACCTTTTCACCTCCGACAAACCAATCCATTTCAACTACCACGGATATGTGACCGAGTTGCAAGGCCTACTTTTCGGCCGGCCTCGTCTAGAGCGTGTGAGCATTGCCGGGTACATCGAGGAGGGAAGCACCACGACGCCGTTTGACATGATGCTCGTGAACAAGACCTCCCGCTTCCATGTTGCCCAGGCCGCCGTTAAAGGGGCAGCGAAGCGAAACGAGAAGGTTCGGCTCCGTGAGCAGGAGCTGAGCACAGAGCTGAACCACAACATTGTAGAGACACAGAAGTATATCTACGCAAACCGCAAAGGTAAGTTATCTCTTCATTGTCTGCTTTTGGTTCCCCTGGCTGATTCGGTGTAGACCCTGATGACATGTATGAGATGCCACAATTTTAATGAGTCCATGGTCTAGAGGAACAACCAGGGGGTTACATGGCTACACCAACAACCCAGTTGAATAAAAACGTTATCGCATGATCGATCTACTTTGTAGTAGTTGCTTACAGTAAAAAGAGATTGCTTATAACTTCGAGTGAGGAGCAGTCACGTGTGTACTCTTCTTACATATCTAAATGAGTGTGTTTTTCAATGGTTAGGTAACTGGCTGGTATTTTCTGGATTGTCGACCTTGTGATTAGCCTTCGACCATGCTCATTAACTCTCTACTATTACTAGTACTCGTAGTCGCTTTCACTCTCAGCCTCGCCTCCCTTTACTTGTTAACATTGCTTTTCTCTCTTCCTCCTCACATATTGTCGACTACGCTTGATAAAGCTGTGTGTATATCATCAATCAGACATTAGAAAAATGCGCCTCACGCACGATGATTATACGGTCGCATGGATCTATGCCCTGCCACTAGAAAAGACTGCTGCGAAGGCTATGCTGGATATGTTACACCACTTATTGCCTCAGACAGAAAACGATTATAATAATTATGCCCTCGGAAGTATTAATGGTCATAATATTGTGGTGGCCTGTTTACCATCCGGTGTATATGGAACAATAGCCGCCTCAACGGTGATATCTCAGCTGTGCTCCACCTTTCCAAGGATTCAGTTTGGATTGATGGTTGGAATCGGAGGGGGAGTTCCTAGTGCTAGGACTGACATTCGCCTCGGCGACGTTGTAGTGAGCAGGCCAACGCCTACTTCCTGTGGCGTGATACAATATGATTACGGCAAATTCATGCATAACGGGTGATTCCAGCACACAGGCTCTCTCAATAAACCCCCCCGAGTTTTATTAACCGCCATCTCTCAGATTCAGAGCGATGATATAATGGGGAACCGACCGGTTCACGACATAATATCGAGTACCTTGCTCAAGAACCAAGCAATGCAGGAACAGTTCTCTCGACCAGAAGAAGATCTATTATTTCATGCTCAATATACCCACCAGGCGGGCGCCCTAGACTGTTCCAACTGTGATCGTGGGAAGGTAATAGCTTGAGCTCCGAGACCGATCGATGGCCATACATTCATTACGGCTTAATCGCTTCGGGGGATCAGGTTATAAAAGATGCTACTACCCGCGATACCATTGCGCAAGAGAGTGGCCTCGGTGTTCTCTGTTTTGAAATGGAGGCGGCTGGTCTAATGGACCAGCTACCGTCTCTTGTGATCCGCGGTATCTGTGATTACAGTGACTCCCATAAGAACTAAAGTCGGCAAGGATATGCCGCCATTGTGGCTGCTGCCTCTGCTAAGGCTCTCTTATCCGTGGTTCCGGTCCACTACCACCATCAACACAAGCTGAAATTACGCAAAATGAAGGGGGAAACCTGGATGGTTCCTTTCAGAAAGAACCCGCTTTTCATAGGCCGCGATTCCGAAATTGCAGAACTTGAGGGACGCATTGAGAATTCGGAGGGACCGTCCAAGGTTGCGATCTGTGGGTTGGGTGGAGTTGGAAAGATCCAAATTGCACTTGAGCTGGCCTATCGTTTACAGAGCAGGTACTCAGATTACTCAGTTTTCTGGATTCCATGTACGAGCCACGAAAGTATGGAACAAGCCTACATGGATCTGGCACAGATATTAGGAATTTATAATATAAAGCCTGCAGAGGCGAAAAACAGCGTGAAGGCTTATTTTAGCCAGAGAAATGGACGATGGCTTCTAATCTTTGATAATGCGGACGATATAGATATGTGGATCCAAAGTTGCACCGGTAACGCCAACCCAGTGCTGGTCGATTTTCTGCCTCAGAGTGATCAAGGCCGTATTCTATTCACGGCTCGGACTCGGAAGCTAGCTGTAAAGCTGGCGTCCTCTAATGTGATAGATATTTCCGAGCCCGATATAGTAGAAACTGCCACGAAAATCCTTGGCAGTCTATTGATTAAGAAAGGTTTACTTGATGACAGGATTGCAACCAAGGCTCTGATCGAACGGCTAGCCTTTCTTCCTCTTGCAATAGCCCAAGCAGCGGCATATTTCAATGAAAATGATATTGTGCTTAGGGAATACGTTACGCTCCTGCAGGAACCGGAGCCAGAGGTGATTGAGCTGCTGAGCGAAGACTTTGGAGATGGGGAGCAATATAAATACGCGAATCTCGTTGCTACTACCTGGTTAATATCATTTCAACAGATTCAAAGATTGAACCAGTTAGCAGCAGAGTATCTATCATTTATGGCATGTATAAGTCCCCGCGATATCCCACAGTCATTGCTTCCTTCGGCCATATCAAAAAAGGAGAAGGTTGAAGCAATCGGCCTCCTTAAAGGGTTCTCATTCATAAATGAGCAGGCCGAGGGTCTCCTGAGCCTCCATCGACTCGTATATTATGCAACTCGAAACTGGATGAGAAAGAACCAACAGCTTGACCCATTTATTCAGAAAGCTGCAGACCAGCTCAGTCTTGTCTTTCCAACTGAAGAGCATAATAATCGAAAATTGTGGAGACAGTATCTACCTCACGCTGTAGCATTGATTAGTCAACGTGAGTTCTGGAAGCAACAGAAAATATGTGCTACATTGCTCGGAAAGGTCGCGTTGTGTCTGTATCGGAATGGAAGATATAGTGAAGCAGAAGACCCAGTGTTACGGGCAATGGACATCAACATACAGATCCTAGGACGGGAAAATACTTCTACTCTGGATAGGATGGCTAGACTTGCATGGATATACATGAAGCAGGGCCGATGGAAGGACGCAGAACAACTACAAGTAGACGTGCTGGCGGCTGGTAAGAGAGTTCTAGGACCAAAGAATCCTGATACTCTGACCAGTATGTCTGACTTAGCGTGCACTTACCGTGAGCAAGGTCGAGAGGAAGAATCAGAAAAACTACAGATACAGACGCTGGCAGCCCTCAAGGAGACACTAGGACTAGAAAATGCAGAAAGAAACTCTGACGTGTATGAAAAATCTAACGTTTATATACCGGCACCAGAAGCGCTGGAAAGAAGCAGAGGACCTTGAGCTGCGAGTTATAAAGCTCCGTAAGCGAGTACTACGTTCAGATCATCCAGACACAGTGACTGCCATGAACAATATGGCAATTATATATGGTGGGCAGGATAGATGGACGGAGGCAGAAGAACTTGGGGCACAGGTAATAGAGGCACGAAAAACCATCCTTGGTGAAGAACATCCTGACACTTTGGCAAGCATAGATATTCTGGCGTGGCTGCACTCGGGTCAGAGACGATGGAGGGATGCAGAGGAGCTAGAGATTCAGATCTTAAAGACCCGCGAGCGTGTACTAGGGCCAGAGCATCCAGACACATTGGCCACTATGCACGATCTAGCCCTTACTTTGAAATCTCAACAGAAAGTTAGAGATGCTTTGGCCTTAATGGAAAACTGTGTTACGCTCCGGATAAGGTATTAGGACTCAATCATCTAGACACGCTATCCTCCTCCCATAACTTGAGTGAATTCAAAAAAGCAGACCACCTATTAGATACGAACCGACAAGTGTCTGACCAAGTGGAAAGTGGACCATCTATGAAAGCAATCTCCATGGATTTAGTGATCACTGCATCAGATACCAAGCACATTAACAGGGCTAAAGCTTTAACGACCCTTATAAGATGGCTACTCGAAAACCATCCTCTCCTCATTGCCTCCAGAAGCATTCCATCTGTGTCCCAAAGCCACGACTTGCGAGAAGTTGATTGAGTGATGGCCATGATTGGTCGAAATTTAGGAATCAACACACCTAGAATGAACGGCTCGCTTTCAGAATTTCGAGGATGCTAATATGGCAAATGTCGCCATATTAAACTGACGATTCTATATCTTAAACCTTGGAGAGGTACTATTCTATTGGGACAGTTAGCTGCAGACTACGCAGGCTTGTATTGGGGAGAGACAGAGTTCCTGTCGCCATGTTGGCCATAATGTCCAATTCCCTCGCCTGTTTACTCTCGCGGCAGTGTATTGCAGAAGAATCTATTATTCCTATCTTAATCCCCCTTCTTCTTCCCCATCTTGTCGTTGCAGGACTCGCCTGCGTACGACGTGTGCATTTGTCTGTACAGAATAAAATTGAATGGGTCAACACTCTGCTGATCTGCGAACCCCCACTGACCCATTGATAGCGTTTTAAGCCACACGCCGACGCGTTAGTAGTTGGAGATTAATCGTCAGCGAATCTTCAGGTTCAGACCTCTATGTTGTGAGATGTACAACGACTGTGGAATTTTCTTTTTCATCGGCGATTGTGTGATTTTGACTGTCCATTGGGTAGTCTAGGGGCTTATATTCTCTGGTGGCTTGTTTGAAATGACGCGACTCCGCAAGTCAACGATAGAGAGAATAGGCCTGTCACATGAGAGTGATCGTAACACTTTTACATGATTGAGCCCGCCTTTTTTTTTTTTTTTTTTTTTTGGGAGGGGGGCCAACGCGACATTGTTGCAATATAGACTAGTATCGTGGTGGTAACGTAAAGCGGCTGCTATACCTTCTCTTCTTCCTTTTTCTTATGATGCGAGTCGAGCTGAGCTAAGCTAAGAATTAGAACCAAAACATAGGCTAAACTTTCCCTTCAAGCCATTCCATATCCTCCGGATGCTCTTTCATATTGTGAAGCTCTTACTTAGGGATACCTCGAGCCCTGCGAAGCCTTGTCCCGACAGTTTCCCGCACAGGGGGCCTCTCTTGCTCATATGGTTATGGAGTGAAAGGCAGCTCTTTGAGCTCGTCTTGTACATACTTATATTGGAGTAGCTCTGGCATAGGCTTGCTGTATGCAAAAAATAAATAGCACTATCATCAAAGGGAGACGGAGGAAATAATCATACAATTGCTCTCCTATCCACTCGTAGCTTTTAATTGGGATGTCATCTTCAGTAGAAGCATTGCCATAATCGACAAGAAAGAAATATGGTCGACTGGTATAGCCAAACTCGTCAAGATATGTATACCAGCGGTGTACACCAGGCTCAAATTCAACATCCCAAGTGTGCTTGCAGATACAATCGAGCATTGATATAAGTTTATCGCCGTATGGATCTTCATCTCCAGCCACGCCATCTAACGGAACCAGGTGCGTCAGGGTTTGAACCATATGCGAACTGGAGATGGTTCAAGGGGAGGTAGCCCCGGGTCTTCTGGGGCTCTTGAAACTAACCCCATGGCTGTTTATGTGTGTCCGGGTAAGGCAAGTCGAAATGAAGAATCGATGAGCTGACCCCAGATGATGAGATTCACGGCGCTTAACGAACTGAGTATACTATACAGTAGAGAGCGGGGCTTCTTGAGGTCAGGTGTCATATAGCTTTGCGTCTGGACGGCAGAATTTTGAATTTCCTCTCTATCTGTTTTATAGTGATTATTTATTGTGCTATGAAAACAGGTACTAATCTTGGTAGCACAATAAGCTGTGCTGTTAGAAGGATGGTGGATGCATATTTACTAAATACAGCTTAAAGGTTCTTCCGACCGCCAAACTTTCAATCGCCCCCGCCCTTTTCTGATCTGACGATAAATCTCCCTAAATATTTAAGTATTTGCGGATCCACGATTTATGCCGGGCCTTTAATGTTCAATGGAATGGATGGCTTTGAGTACATCTCGTCTCCGTCAACTGGAAGATTAAGTTAAACCACTGCAGCGCTTCAAGATCGCAGGCCTAGCGTCATTTCCAGACCTTCAGATGTCAGTAAAAGGCCAAGGCGTACCGGCTAAGAACTTTTTGATGAATAACCCGGCACATTCACATTCACAGGGTCTTATATAAGGCGCAGCCCACGTGTGAATAGCATAAAGTGACAGTTCCATTGTATAGTGGATTAGCTGATGTCTTTCAAGGTAGGTCTCAAGGTTCTCCTAATCCGGTTAGACCGAGAGACTTTTGCCAAGACATACAGCGCCTCAGGCCCACTTCTGAATCCATAGAACGTTCAACAAACATCGACACTCCTTCTGCCATTCATTATCCATTTATCTCAAGATGTAACATGCACCACTCCCTTTGCAATTACACCTTCGCTTTACTAAACCATAGGGGCTCAACTATGGATACAATTATTCAAAAACAAGATAGATACCTTCTTCTCTGCCAAGCTCTAATGAAAGCTTCGCACTTGCTGAGAATCAGGACCAATGGCCAATGTCCAGCACCGTTGTGAGAGACAAAAGCTGTGGCCTACGTGATTCAGCCTCAGTTACACGCCTGACTCTATCGGCATAAAGGATCTGATATAGCGCCACGATCCTACATACAGTACAACATGACTGGTCACTGGAGAGCTGCACGGTCTAACGGATTTATCTCCGATACTCTCATGAAACTGTTACGAGATGCCCTAAACCCAATATGGCGGACCTTGCGAGTACTTTCAGGCGCAGGGCCGAACTCCGAACGGAGGACGTTGGAGCCTTCGACCAATGTGCCGAATGAAGTTGCGGCCCGAATAAAGAGATTATCCATGGGGTTCAATCAGAATGCGTCTTGCAACGGGTGTTCCCCGCTGTATTCCACTGTTACGTCAAATGCGAGCCCGGGTTATTGGATCCATCCGGATCCCGTTTTTGTGTCTATGGCCCTGTAAGAATTTGAAGATTTTCACGACAAAGGAATATATCCTGTCTGACTCGTCTCGCTTTTCTCTTCCTTGTGATTCATACTAAATGGGCTTCTTGCTCAGCCACTCGTTTACTTGACTCTTGACGTGTTTCTTTATCAGTCCCCAAGTATAGGTGGGCCGTTGCCTAGTCGTTCATTCAGATATAAGATATTATTGTGCCTTTCGCATCAGTCTTTTCAACTCAGTATTACAACTGCCTGTGATCAGCCACACTTACATTCCCATTGGCACCGGGCCAATTGAACCCTACAAACCGCAGATTCCCTCAATCATCTTAATATGTCGGCCGATCAAGAGTTTGAATTCAAGAAGTGGCTCTCCAGGAGCTGCCATCCTATCATAGATGGCATGGATACTGCGTACGGCTATCAGCCGTCGCTGGCTGCAGGCGTCGTCTTCCTCGTTCTCTTTGGTCTCTCGATGATCGTTCACACAATCCAGTTTACCTGGAAAAGAACCTGGTGGTGTGCGGTCTTCAGTATTGGTTGTCTGAGTGCGTAACGTCCCAACCTCCAGTAAACCGAATAATATACTGATGTTAAACCAACACAGCGGAGGTTCTAGGCTGGGCTGGACGTACCTGGTCTTCAGAATGTCCCTACAACATGACAGCCTTCCTGATGCAAATTTCCACCCTAATCATCGGTTAGCAACCTACCAAACACAGAACCCTCAATCTGGCCATCCCAAAGGGAAAAAGGGCACTAACCAGTCAACTTAGCTCCCACATTCTTCACAGCAGGCATTTACGTCCTCCTTGGCCGCTTCATCCAAATCCTCGGCCGCGACTCCTCCATCCTCAGCCCTAAAATGTACCTCTGGATCTTCTGCACCTGCGACGTCATCTCGCTCGTCATCCAAGCCATAGGCGGCGGCATCGCCTCCGCCGAAACGAACAAGGAAGACGGCGACACAGCTCCCGGCACCCACATCATGGTCGCCGGTATCGTCTTCCAACTGTTCTCGATTACCGTCTTCGTCGCCTGCGCCGCCGATTTCGTCCGCCGCGCCCTCCGTCGTCGTCTTCTGCAGAGCGTGAGCGGATCCATCACCCCCCTGTTCGCCGCCATGGTCTTCTCCGTGCTCTGTATCTACGTCCGAAGCATCTACCGTACCATCGAGTTGTCACAGGGTTGGACTGGTTATCTGATTACCCGGGAGAAGTACTTCATTGCGCTTGATGGCGCGATGATGGTGGCTGCTGTTGGCGTGTTCAATATCTTCCATCCCGGTTGGTTGATGCCGAGTACCAAGGCTATGCAGTATGACCGGGAGATAATGTCTGAGGATGGTTATGGCCATACTACTGAACTTCGGTGAAGTACTGCGTTCCTTTAGCCTTTCCTTTAATGTTTTGTTTTCACGTCTTGGTTGGCGAGTGCTTAGATTCTAGATCGTTGGTCTTTAAGGGTAACGACTATAATGTTTCAATATATAATTGAATTAGAAACCTGTTAAGCATATACTTTCAGGTCAATTTCGTGAAGATTCATTAACCACAAAAACGCTCGAGAGAACAACTAGAGATACAAAAAGAGAAGGTATAATGGACGATAGAAGGAAAAAGACGGAAACAGAAGAGAATAGAATCGGATATAGCCTGAAGCGCCAAAGCTAAACATCATTCCGAAGAAATAAGGTGAAAAGGTCGTAACAGGGTTTCCTCATCCGTACCAGGTCATCAAGGGGGAAACCTAAAAGCACTACTTTTCGTCGTGGTCACATTTCATAAACCCAAATCCTAGGTTCACCAACCGAGCAATCATACTCCATCAACGGCCTCGATCCAACCAAAAGTCGCTCCAACAGCCAAAATGGCGACGGCCCAGATTGAACCCCAAGCGGACGCACCCTCGATGCTAATTCCCTCGATGGTTCCTGCCAACTGGACAATGGTGTTACTGAGAAGCATGACTGCAAGAAGTACCGTTCGCGAGATAAGAACTCTCGTCTTAGGCGAGAGTGCGCCCCAGGTCTTCCGATAAACTGCACAGGCGAGGTACTCGCCCTCGTGCGATGCGGGGTTCTTCTCGGTCGATTCGGTCCTCTTAGACGCGGCCGCGCCAGTGGAACTAACGAAAAGGAGATCTCTCGCCGCCCACCCGGCTGGAAGGAGGGCGAGGAAGAGGGTTGGCAGACCCGCGGGACCGGCGTGAACGGCGCCAATGTCAGGGATGTTTTCGAAGTGGAGGACTAGTTGTGTTGGGAACCAGGTCGCGTAGCTTAGGTATAGGATGACAGTCAGAATTGATGTCGCGGCGATAGTGGTGTAGATGGTTGTCGCGCGGTCCTGAAGGATTGAACGGTTGCGGACTGTATCGGAGGGAGCATGCGACAGGTCGTGCACGCAAGTCGGCTTGCGCAGGAGTACAAAGGGGACCGAGGTCGAGAATAAGATGATCACATAAGAGATCAAGACCGTAGTGGGGCGGATGTTGTAAAAAGATGCCAGGAGTGCGTAGGTGGGGAGGTGAGTAAGGAAGATGAATGATGACACATCTCGTCCTGCAGGAGTTGGTCAGCCCTCTTTTGTAGGTATTTCAAAAGTAAGATATACTCACCATCAAAGCCCAAAACCCAGGCTAACCCAACCTCTATTGCCTTCCAAGCCGTCAAACCCCCCACTTCCCACCATGCCTCAAGATGTCTGCTCACGCCGCCTAGCTCGCCAAGGGTATCCCCAGACGTTAAACTGAAGAATCCAGCACTCAGTACCAGGCTACTCAGGACGACCAACACAAAGCGCGCTGACTGGGGAATCCGTTCCAACGGAGTCTTCTGGCGCAATTCGTTTGCCGGCTCGGTATCTGCGGTCGCCGTTACAGCAGATAAGACTTCCTTCTTGAGAGGTGGCATGGTTGGATGGGTATTTTGTGTTAGTAGTACCAAATCTGGCGAGCTTATAAGTTGATGGAGGATTGAACTGGAGGTGAGCCCAATGGCAAGCTGAAGAAATTTGTTGTAGATGTAGAATATATTCATGGATATTCATGGAGGCTGGGGGGCTGATTTTCTGGCGAGCGGTGAGCATGTGATGATGTCACGGATTTCCTGATACCCCCAACCTGTCAGAACATCCGGTATCCCTGTCTTCTACTACTTAGTAGTACGTAGGTAGTAGTATGTGATATCATAGGTTTAGTATGTACTTGCTCCCTTATGTCACCGACAGGTTAAGTAGTATATATCCCATAATTACAGTGCTTTCCAATTAGGCAGCATATGATAGCTTTAACCCTGGATCCGCTTTCCCTGTGCTTCAGTCGTCCTCATCATCTTTCTGGCCCTCCACCACCGAGAACTCAGCAACACCGTTGTCGCGACCCTTGGGATCCCGCATAGCAAGCTGGTATTTGCCCTGATTCCAAAGATCTTTGATCGTAAGCTCACGGGTTCGTCCAAGACTCTCAATGTCACCAATACGCTCCAATGTTCCCTCCAGATGCTTGTCAAATCCTTCCCAAGAACAGATGTCTCGGAAAGCATTCTGCATAGGAACGGAATCGGCTCGGACCATAGCCCGAGAATCGATCGTAAAGATGTTATCATGGTCGTAACTTTGGATGAAGTCTGCTCTTGTCATAATTTCCCGCGCTTTATGCAGCGGTATCTGTGGTAAAATATGGCCAATCTCTGGGTCATAAGTTTTCTCCATCTCCTTCTCCTTGTCGACAAGCGCTTTGGCGAGAACCATTGCAGCTGACTGTCATCATCTTTAGTTAGAGCGTTCTCATAATATCCTGAGGCCCTTATTGTACTTACAGAGTACTTCTGCTCATCCATGACGTCGTCATCCATTTCCGGTCCAAGAATCCAGCATTTGTTGAGGAACCATCTCTTTTCTGCCTCACAGATGCTATCACATAGTTTCATGTAATCTTTGGCCTTTGCCACCCGGTTCAGGAAGGATAAACGTCCACCAACTTTGTCGTATATTTCTTCAAGTACTTCGTGAGATAATTCCTCGCCAAAGTACTGTCTGCGATACCTCCGTAGAGCGTCTATCGCTCGTCCCTTGGGTAGATCCGAAACAGGGATGACTTCCATCCTGGTGGCGTACCGCTTGAGGCGTTCATACACCCAGTAATCATCACTGTTGAGGACTATAATTTCGGTATTGTCAGGGCCTATATTGAAAGCGCAAAAGAAAAGGCGTAGCTTACCTGTCGTCACCAAGTTGCTAGCCGCCCATTGTTCCGCTCTCTGCTGAATCATTTCCAGGAGATCCTGACCGTCATGATCATCCCTGACCAGGTGAGTGCTATTGATGATTAATATCAAAGCGGGTAATCCCTCACGCCGACGCGCAAGAGCCACCTTCTCTAACTTGTTGAATGCGCGCTCGATGTCCAAGAGAGGGGTAGTATCTCGAGGACCCTTAATACTGAAAAGACTCCCAATGTAGCTAGCACCATCTGTCAGTTTCGTTGCAGAAAGGAGGTTCACCAAGTAACCTACTCTTCATGGAACTCATAGTCTAACGCCTTTCCAAGCCTGACCCGGAAAATCTCAAGATCACCATGTGCTTCAAACATAGCACAACCTTCCCCATCAATTTTGCGCATCCCTTCCAGAAGCATAGATGTCTTTCCAGTGCCCTTCTCACCGATGAGCAGGAAATAACGGCCACCAGCGCCACCAGCAATGATTCGATCAATTCTGGGTTGTTCGTCACGGACGACCCAGTGCTCCTCATGATGATACTGATGCTTGCCAGATTCTACACCTGCAACTTCGAGTGCTGGATCGCCCGGCTTGAAGGCATTCTCCATCTTTTCCAAAATCAGATACTTGTAGTACCGGTGGTACGAGTAGCCCGCGGCACTGGGAAATCGTCAGTAAGCGACAAAGCGCAGCATTGGAGGCCGCTAGGGCAGCATACCCTAGGACGGCAATAGAAGCAAAAGTGGTGGCGGCCGTCTCCATCATTTTGAGAATAGTAGATCTGAAATTTGGCTCTGAGTCGTTGCCGTTGGATCGGGCTCCGTCATCTCCTGCATCCTGCTCCAGGGGGTTTGGGGCAGCTTGGAAGGAGCCCTGCGAGAAATGCATTCCCGATTTATATGGAGCTACTCCATTGGCTCTCAACGGTCTCGACAGGCTAAAGTGGCCCGGAGAGAATATTGGCAGGGATCGTGGAACATGTCGGTACACCGGCATCGCTTATATACACTGCAGATTAAGCGAATGCCACGGATGGTATCAATGCAATGGATATTCTGCCTAACAATAATAAAATAAAAATGATTACAGACGTCAAAGGCAGATAAGGTTGAAGATTCCAAAGATTGTAAGAAAATTACGCGCGTCGACTATAGTGATAGGGGAAAGATGAATGACGTAGTGGATACATGAAAAGGAGAACTGGCGAGTAAACAATCAAACACCGATTGAATCCCAACACAGAGCCTCAAAGAAAGATGAAGATAAAGGAGAGTCGGCCAGTGGGAATCGAATAAGAGAGGAAAGACAGCACAAACACAAAAAGAAGGTGAGGTGGAAAGCTTGGACCCAATCTTTCAATTGCCAGACAAAGATATTCTCCGGTGCTGCGCCCCCGATCGCATGGAGATCAACTGTGGCTTGGCATGGCTCTAATTTGTTGAGAAGTGTGGCTGATTTCGAGGTCGGTAACTCTGCCGAAGTGTCGGTAAGTCAATCGGAAAACTTCCATTGAAGAGGGAAAGAGTTAAAACATGTTAAATATTGAGAGTACAACGTGACAACCGTCGCATGGAGATATGTCTTCAACAATTAATCCACCTGACGTAGACTCCTTTACTTACCCTGGATGCACTTGTTCACACTTTCGGTACCTACCTCAGATTCCTCAAAAGTGGCATTTCGAATGACTCAAGACGAGAATAGAGTGGTCTATGAATACACCCACGATCTACAATTAGGTAGAGAGAGTACTCTGTATTGTACTTTAGCCCAAATTAAAGAAAATACAGCTCTATTTGGGACCACGGAGTATACGGAGTAGGTGTTAGGACATTACGACATAACGTGGCACCAAAGAAAAGCGAACGACGTACGGAGTACGGGGACTCGAATTGATAAATTACATTATTCATGAGAAAGATACTCTGTCCCAAGAGTGGATATGGTTCAAGTTGGGGTCGATTGAAATGTTTGTGTGGAGATCTTGATACATTTTTTTTTTTTTTTACCTGAATAACTTTTCCTAATGTAATTCCTATTACCATACCCATTCCTCCGCCCCGAGGACATCCGAGGGTATTCCGCGCGAAATTTTCTCTTTGCCCGGCTTCCCCATTGCTTTCTCCAGCTTCAACCTTTTTGCATCCTGTCATTATTTTCCATATTTGGGGTATTGTTCTGTTTCCCTTCATTCGTCTGGGTACGGGGTTTGTTTTACTATATTCAATTGCCCTTGTACTTGTATACCGTACCTTTTTTTGATTTCTTATTTTCATTCTACATTCTTCCCCGACGCTTTCAACTTTTTCCCTTTTCCTCTTTTTCCTACTTTCTTGCCCCAACCGGGTCTGAAGCTCAAGACATTCTGTCAGGTTGTAGCTTCAGCTTTAAGCCTTATATTTTCTTTTGAAACCTACTTTTATTACCAATACATCGATCATAATGGCCCAGACCAATGGTGAGTTGGAGCACTCGAAAGGTAAGTGTTCATTTGTGATCTTGCCAATTCACAGTGTAGAAGGTGCGATAGCCTAACCGTCATAGCAGAGACTCCGGAGCAACTTACCAACGGAAACCACCCCGAGGGAGCCCAGGAAGAGGAGCAGAATGGAGGTATGTCACGTCACAATTGTGATACTTGTGTTATTGTTTGAAGCCTGACATTGGTCGTCCGAATGGAAAGGCCTTTTCCAGATCTCCGTGAAGCTTCCTCACGAGCCTTATAAGATCCAGGTGATGGTGGGTGTTTGATACCAGTTGACATCTATATGACCGCAGAGATTTGATGGATTGCCTAACTGTTCTGTCCCTCCGTAGGTGTCAAGCCAGGAGCAAGTTCAGGATGTCCGACAGTCAATTGTCGAGCTTCCCAGCACCTTTCAGTATACTTGCTTCCACCTGGAATTTAACGGCAGCCGCATCAATGACTTTGTCGAACTGTCTGAAGTTCCCGATTTAAAGGCTGATTCGGAAATTGTCCTTGTGGAAGACCCATATACTGAGAAGGAATCTCGCATGCACGTTATCCGAATGAGGGAGCTGGTCGGAGCTGCAGGCGACCGTGTCGACAACCTCCAGGGTATCAGCGCCGGTCTTTCGCTGCACGATTCCATCTCCGAGGAAGCCGCTGCTGGAGAGACCGCGGAGAAGGAGCACTCGTTGTCCAAATATGACATTACTGGCTCACCGTCTCTCAACACTATCCTCCCTAGAGCAGAGGCTCCTCTTCCCAAGACCGTGAAGTCAATTTCGCTATCCCCATGGAACCCTGTCCCCTACCATCTCCGTCAGAAGGGTCACCTGCTCTACCTCCAGGTCACCACCAACGAGGGAGAGCAATTCCAGATTACTTCTCACGTTTCTGGCTTCTTCGTGAACAAGTGCTCCAATGCCAGGTTCGATCCTTTCCCCAAGCCCATGCCAAAGAAGGGCAGCGCCCACTCTCTTCTTACTCTGATCTCTCACTTGTCTCCTTCTTTCAACACCTCCTTCGAAGCGCTGCAGGAGGCCAACAACAAGAAGGACCTTTTGACTACTTTCCCCTTCCAGAACGCTATCCCCAACAGCCCATGGCTCGTTGCTCCTCCTTCGTCCAGTGTGAATGCCCATCAGCCTGATATCACACGGTCACAAGAGAACTATTTGATCTCCGGTGTCGACAACGCGGAAACATTGCGAGACTGGAATGAGGAGTTCCAGACCACGCGGGAGTTGCCTCGTGACACCGTTCAGGACCGTGTTTTCCGAGAGCGCTTGACCTCCAAGCTGTTCGCGGATTATAATGAGGCCGCGGCTCGCGGTGCCGTTTTGGTCGCCAAGGGTGAAGTCGCTCCCCTCAACCCCACTGAGGGTCGCGATGCTCAGATCTTTGTGTACAACAACATCTTCTATTCCTTCGGCGCTGACGGTGTCGGAACTTTCGCGTCTGAGGGCGGCGACGAAGCTGCTCGCGTAGCCGTCGGTAAGGACGTTGTAGGAATTAAGGCAGTCAACCAGCTAGATATTAACGGCCTGTTTACACCCGGAACCATCGTCGTGGATTATCTTGGAAAGCGTATTGTCGGCCAAAGTATTGTGCCTGGTATCTTCAAGCAGCGCGAACCTGGTGAGCACCAGATCGATTACGGTGGTGTTGAAGGCAAGGACGTCGTGGCTACCCATCCCGACTTTGTCCCTGTCTTTGAAAAGCTCTCTAAGGCTCTCCGGATTAAGAAGCACGCTGTCTGGGATAAGGAAGGAAAGCGTCATGATCTCGAAGGCAGTGTTGAGACCAAGGGCTTGCTTGGTACAGACGGCAGAAAATACGTGCTCGACCTCTACCGCGTCACTCCTTTGGATGCCATGTGGCAGGAAGAAGAAGGAAGCGATGCCTACCCTCATAACATGTCGGTTTTGAGATTGGAACTTGTTGAATCCTACTGGAGACACAAGATGAGTCAGTATGTGAAGGCTGAGGTTGAGCGCCGTCGCGCCGCCAAGGCTGAGGAAGCTGCCTCTAAGGAGAAGTCTGAAGAGAATGCTGAATCTAAGGAAGGTTCCGAAGAGAAGGGTGAAGAGGCAATGGACCAGGAGCGGGTTGACATCTCTGGGTTCTCTCTTGCCTTGAACCCTGACATCTGCAGTGGCCAAATCCCCCAGACTGATGAAGAGAAGGAGCAGTGGGCTCAGGACGAGAAGGAGGTCCGTGAGACATGCGACTTCCTCCGTTCCAAGGTGATGCCTGAGATGATACAGGATCTGCATGACGGTGATGTTGGCTTCCCCATGGACGGACAATCTCTTAGTCAGCTTCTACACAAGCGTGGTATCAATATCCGCTACCTTGGCAAGTTGGCTCAAATGTCCAAGGAGAAGGGCGCCCGTCTGGATGCTTTGACCATCCTTCTTGTCCAGGAAATGATTGCTCGTGCCTTCAAGCACATTGCCAACGGTTACTTGCGCAACGTGGCCGCGCCATTTACCGCCTCCTGCATTGCCCACCTCCTGAACTGTCTCCTGGGTGCCGATGTCAACTCGAACCCTCAAGCCGATATCGACGCATCTCTGCGGGAGATCTATCCAGAGGCTGACTTCTCTTTTGAGAAGGTTACTCCGGCAACTCTGCGGGCTGAGATTGAGAAGCAGGTCTCTATCCGGTACCGTTTTACCCTTGAGGCTGAGTGGTTCAACTCCTTGAGGCACCTGCAGCTTCTTCGTGATATCTCCATCAAGCTTGGTCTTCAGCTTAGTGCCCGCGAGTATGCTTTTGCCAAGTCCCAACTTCCCGCTAAGGCTCCCGCCACCAACGCTGCCAGCCAAGACGAAGGCAAAAAGAAGAAGAAGAAGGGCGGCGATTCTAAGTCTCCGGCTCGTGCTGCCTCTCCAGAGAAGCCTGTTGTCACCATCGTTCCTGACGACATTGTCAACATTGTGCCTCTAGTGAAGGACGCTTCTCCCCGAAGCTCCCTTGCTGAAGAGGCCTTGGAAGCTGGACGTATCTCCCTCATGCAGAACCAGAAGCAGCTGGGCCAGGAGCTCATTCTGGAATCTCTGTCCCTACATGAGCAGATCTACGGCATCCTTCACCCAGAAGTTGCCAAGCTCTACCACCAGCTGTCCATGCTTTACTATCAGACGGATGAGAAGGAAGCTGCTGTGGAGCTGGCTCGTAAGGCTGTTATCGTCACCGAGCGCACTCTCGGCGTTGATTCGGCCGACACTATTTTGAGCTACCTTAACCTTAGTCTGTTTGAGCATGCCTCTGGAAACACCAAGACTGCCCTAGTTTATATTAAGCACGCCATGGATCTGTGGAAGATTATCTATGGACCCAACCACCCCGATTCCATCACCACCATGAACAACGCTGCTGTGATGCTGCAGCACCTCAAGCAGTACTCAGACTCTCGGAAGTGGTTCGAGGCTTCGTTGACCGTGTGCGAGTCCCTCTTTGGCAGGCAATCCATCAACACTGCGACTATCTTGTTCCAGCTGGCACAAGCTCTTGCCCTTGACCAAGACTCCAAGGGAGCTGTTGGCAAGATGCGCGATGCCTACAACATCTTCCTTAGCCAGTTGGGTCCTGAGGACCGCAACACAAAGGAAGCTGAGACGTGGCTGGAGCAGCTCACCCAGAATGCCGTCTCTATCGCCAAGCACGCCAAGGACATCCAGGCTCGTCGCCTGCGCCGTATCAATATGAACACACGGACTCTTGGTACTAAGGTCCAGCCTCAAGTCGGCCAGTCCGCACCTTCTGCATCCGGAACCAGTTCTGCCAACCCTTCTTTGGACTCGCGAAGTATTGATGAATTGCTGAAGTTCATCGAAGGTGGTGATGCCAGCTCCTCGCGGTCCAAGCAGAAGAAGCGTGCTGCAGCTAGCAACCCCAAGCTTCGTGGCTCGAAGAAGTCATCAGCTTGAACATATCTATAATTCCTATCATGTTCGGTTAAAAAAATGTACCGGTCCCTTTCTTGACTTTTTACTTCTATGCCTTAACTGTGTTAAGACCACTATATATGAACGTCATTTTAAAAGAGCGGGATACGTCGGATAAGCGGGATACCTGATTATTATATATTTTCTTCTAGAAACCTCTCTACTCTTTCACCAGTCGGTGTTCCATGTTATTTGTTTCTTTTTTGGCATGATCTAAACCCCACCGACCTTCGCATAGCGAGCTCGAGTGATATACATGCTAATTGTGATGTGTTCTATGTACCATACATGACGATGAATGCATATATAATGAAATTATGCACTTTCTGGACCTTTATCATAATAATTTTCAATTATTTCCAAGTTCTCGTGTTCTATGATGCAGTACTACTATCTTCAATGGGATGGAAAAACTGTTGTTCCAATAGCTGCATTAGTGACCGGCGCTTTACCGCTCTGGGAACCCTCAATTTATCCAATGTTTACATCTTTTGGTGATGATCATAGCTACTCCTCCGACCAGCCTACAAAGCTGCATTTTCAAGGCCTACGAGCCATCTAATTATTGTATATTTTGGTTATATTATACTTGGCTGTCCAACATCAACTCTCTAATTAACTCTTCTGTGACATGCCCCAGAGGTCTTGATATCCTCGAGCAACCCGCGTCGCAAGCAGACAAGAACATAGATAATCAATGAGCTCCGTTAGACGCAGCAGCACAGGTAACCACTTCCGACGCTATGGTTAGAACCCGATATTGAAGGCGACACTGATTAGTGCTCTTCGTGAGAAGAAGTGAGACGATTGGCGCAACATGGAAGACATACGACCGACCGCGAAATGGGCAAATCGCATGTTGCGCCCTTTAAATTCTATTTATCATCGACTAGAAAAACATAACGAGATTCTTACGAGCATCGCACATTCGAAACTAAAGGAAAGAGAGGATGCAGGCACTAGTGGGCGCATCCGACCCTCCAGGGTGACCTGTGCGGAGGAGAGGTGCTCTTACTCGGACGAAGAACCTGGCGATCCCGCCTGGGTTCCTGGGAAACCGATCAGACGACGAATACGGCATAATTACTCGAGCAGAGGGCAAAGGAACGGGGCGCGAAGACGCAGCAGGCTGTCGATTCACAGCCCAGAGAGGCAAAAAACTCTACCCGGTGCGATCGAGATTGCGACACCCCTCATTACTGGAAAAACAAAACAGCCTATGGAGCCGTCGTCGATTCGGAAACAGCTTTTTAGAAATTCTTTACCTACAAATAACATCGGAGCAACCGAGCAACGGAGGGCGACGCGAACGAACAATAGCAGTTACCCTGCTTACCAGGGATCATGGAAGGAAGTGCTCGACCTTTCGGGAGATACGGGACTTGTGGATATCGCACACTTTTTGGATAGAATATTTATCAAGTTTTTGAGTAAGACCAGGAACAATCCTGTGCCCTCGCCAAACCAACAGCCAAGCCGGGGAGCCCGGTCCTTGTTGACTATGGCCGCGCGACGTCTCCCTGATTTTATTGCAGAAGAGCAAAGGATACAAGATGAGCTGGAGGAGGATTGTGATGTAGATATGTGTGATGCATATTTTACTGAACTCGAGGCCCATTATGCTCCAAGTGGCAATGGATGGCTGCCCCTACGCGAAGCCGTACGTGCTCAGGGTATTCGACTGGTCTCTGAGATGATACACAAGGGTTGGATCACTAAAGTCGCCGCATGTCGACTTCTGGAAGAATGTGTGAGCCATGGTGAAATTGACGCCTTCGAGCTATTATTGTCTAAACAACTGACAACCGTTAACACATATAATTACCCAACGGCGTTCGATCCTCACAGGCCATCAACCCATTGCGATGATCCTGTCCATATCCTGGGAACTTATTACGCAAAATTTATTGGAAGCCGCTCGTTCATCTTTGACGAACTGGCAAAACTCCTTTCACGTGGAGCCATGCCGCCGGAGTGGATGGTCACTAATCTGTGGAAGTGCTGTGTAGATGGGGCAATAAAAGCTCTATCAACCGAAAGTGTTGACTCAGCTGCTGCAACACGACTGATCGAAGCTGTGATACTTTCGGCTGGTGGTATCTCCCAGGCTTCAGGTGGGCTCGTATCTCACGGGAAGGCTTTAGGTACACTACGTGGCCGTCTAAAGGACACCCGTGCCTCCGCGGCGAATACGGCAAGTCTACCCAAAGACCAGTCGCCCTGCCCTGTTCCAATCCAAGATGCCCTGAACAATCTCACTTCAAGTCTTATTACTGCGCTATGTGGAATGTATATAGCACGGTCGCAACCCACAGGTGCCGGTGATAACGTGATCGGTGTGAAGTTCAGAGACACGTTGAGGCATTTGGCATTTACCATTCAGCGGGCTATCGGGATGGGACAATCATGCGAGGCTGAAAGAACGACTCTTCATTCACTGCGCCGTGGGTATGTCTTAGTAGGCGACTGTATGCTGCAGTGTGGTGAGGTGTCATCGTTGGAACCCATCGGCCCGTCGGACTCTATCTCGAGGAAGACTCTGGACATGTTTTTCTTATCATTAGCGTGTCAGCATGACATGGTCAAAGAATTAGCAGATCTGGCCCGACGGGTTGTCAAGTTCTACGAGCGCACGCACAAGATCAGCCAAACTAGGGTATCCTCGGGGGTTCGGTCCAAAGTTTCACAACTTGCTGGGCTGACGAAACTCCATGGTTTCTCTTCGCTCCTTGCGAAGGTAGCGGCCGAAACTGCCATGGGACTCGCCGAGTCTACTCTGGATGCCGATGACCATACCTGGGCGATTGAGGTCCAACAGGATGCGGTTCTACTTCAGCAAGGACAGAACCCGAAACAGAACCCCGCATCTGGCTGTGAAGCCATAGGTGATAGCGCTGATTTGTATCGATGGGAGGAAAGCATCGGTGAGTGGGTGGCCAGCACACCTGCAGCCAAATCGAAATCTACTCAGTCAAGTATCGCCAAAGGATATTCTACTCGGTCACCAACCATTGCGTGCTCGACAAGTAGCATATCGTCCAGTTCTAGCCCCTCACAGGATGCTGCCTCCAGCGTCACATCATCTGCGCCATCTGTCTCAGCTAAAAGAGCTTTCAAGGCCGCAGGAGTTGGCTCTAAGTCATGCAAGAGGCTTCGCTCAACCCCTGTGGAAAGCCAAACCCGTGATTCACCAATGGCGACGGCGCTCCCGCTTGCAGGATCCCCGATAGCCGCCCGGACCAGGGCAGCACGTGGGGCCTTCAAGGACTCAGTCCAACCGAAAGTTCCGAAAGCGTGCCCTATCAATACTTCATTCCCTACAACCAAGGTGGAAGTGGTCATTATCAATAAGAACGTTTCAGCCTTAGATCCCATGACTCGCAGGCGTCATTCCCGAACTACGGACGAGCGTATCGACTTGAGGCGTAGAAAATCGCTTTCGGCCACGTTGGAGCATCGGAGTGCTGGTAAACAAGCAAGTGCACCACCCATAACAAGGCGGACGATTCCTTGCTCGCAGGATGACGATAGTGATGACGAACTGAGCTTTTTGTGAGAGCCTTTGTCAATTGGCCGTAGAACCCCCTCCCATCTTATGCCTGACGAATAGTAAAGTTTTGGTCACTCGCTCTTTTCTTGCTGTCATTGGCACTGGAAGTTTATCAAGGTGTTTCAGGATTATTCTCAATTTTTTTCTCTCTCATTTTCTTTTCTTTCGAAGGTGTTACTTTGGATATTTTGATCTGGTAGTGTATGATACCCGGGCATTCGTCGGATGTTTGGACGGTTCGATTTTTCTTTTCTTTTCTTTTCTTTTCTTTTCTTTTTTTTTTTTTTTGGTTTTTTTTGGAATCCTTTTAATTGCACAATGGTTGGATTAGCCTGGACTAGTTGGCGCCAAAGATAGAATGGAATCTATTTGACACAACCTCCGACCCTCCCCCGACCGGGAGTCAGTGAGCCTTTTGACATGGCAACGGAGCTGTTGGGGACGGAGCGCTTTTGTAAATTAACGGGTTGTGCATTTCCGGCGCGCCACTCAGAGGACCGGGCGGAAAGAATGTCTTAGACTCGATGGAGACTTGTGTTGGGGTCTGTGGCCACAAAGTAGTAATAATCATATCTCCCCGTCACTCGTTCCGCGGGGATCAAACGATACACTTTAATTTCCTTTTGGGGAAATCTCCGGTTAAATGGCGTCGTGCATTTAATATATACTCTGTACAGATGGACCTGGACGGAAGTTGGAACTAGGGTTGGACTAGACAAGGGTCTCTCCGTTAGTGAGGATGAATAGCATTGTTTAGGTAGTGGCAGTACGTACTACGTCTGCAAGTCTAAGCGATTGATAAGATTTCCCATTGTTATGTAGGCATTGTTTGTTTGTACCGCGTCCCCCCCCGATGAGGTACCCAAGGTACGTACTGTGTAAGTGGGCGGCTTTCCCATGGTTCAGTCAGGTACACTGAAAGTTTCTGAACCACATAATGTTCTTGTCAATGCGTGACAAGATTAACAATGGGAAATGCATGTCTCATGAGAATGAATCCTCTTGTGTGTTCAAAGTGGACCAACGGTATAAGCGGTTAACTATTAGCTTGGTAATAAATCGTTCTAATATACCAGCTTCGGTATCCCTAAGCAATTTCCCGGTTGCCAAGACGGCGAGAATTTGTTTCGGTAGATTAAGTTCTCATTCCATGTGATGAGTCAGATTTTTGACAGGGGAAATAAAAAGTAAAATGCACTTGCAGAGAAGATGTAACATGAAGTGCTTGAGATATGTACTAGTAGGACAGGAGAGATCGATCTGCCGTGAAGGTGACGATGCAGGAACATACATACCAAAGTGGTACTTATGTATGTACAATACATACCACAGATGTAGTATGTACATAGTAAAAAGTATTTGTATGACTGGTTGAGCGATCATGGATGAATGTGGAGGGATTTTGAACCCAATCACCATATTTTATTTTGTTTAAGTTCATTCATTTATTTGTTTTTTTAAGTTTCCTTTTTACTTAATTATTATTTTAATTTTCCTTTCCAGAGTCCGCACATATTTCTCTAGTAGACATCCGGACTACTTACTACTACGTACTAGTAAACTAAAAATCGACCAAAAATTGAGAACCCACTTTGGGCTTTTACCCGACCCGCTTCCTCTCTCGCGCTCTCTCATTCTCTCCCTCTCAAGCGCTCTATCGCTTGTCTTCCCCACTCGACTGAGCCACTCTTCTCGCCTCTCGACCTGAGCAAGTTTAAATTAGCTCCCACTACTATGTATGAGTTAAGATTGGTCCGCGGGTGCAAGGAGGTCCCGACAAATGCAAGCCTGCCGAGCCCTTGAGATCTCGTCGCCTACAACCCCCGTTGTTTCATCGTCGAGCCACTCAGCGGGCGTTCTGCCATTGCCGCCACCATATCGTCGCCGCGTTGCGCCCACTCAAGGGATGAGCGCTGAGAGACACCGTCATGGCTCGACCGCACACTCCTCTTCACAGAGAAGTCTATCGATATCATGTCGTCTCCATAAGTGGGCCCAAAAATGCCTCCCAAGATTTTCCTTTTCCTCCGTCCCCGCCGTCCCTGACCCAAAAGAAATGAAAATGCCTTGAACTCTTTCCTGTTTCTCTCCTGATCACCATCTCTCCTTTCTGTCCCTGCGAACAGTTGCGGGTTTTCGTTCTCTATTTTTGATTCTTGGCAGAGATCCTGTGGGTTTCTTGCGACTAGTTCTTCGTTTACCTTTGACAGCTGCAAGACTTTGAAAACTTGAGAGGAAAAAAAAAAGAAGTGACTGGTTCACCTCACCAACTCTCTCTCACATTCCTTTCGTTGCCAGCCGACCCGTGGCAATCCACACAACCAAACATTCAAGTTCCGATCAGGATCCGTTGCTGCTGGGACCTGCCTTCTCAACAAAGGATTGAATCCTCTGTGTCGTTCTTTGATCCGCAGTCCGATTGTCTCCTGCCTAGTGTAAAGAGAGGATAGCTGGACGGCAACAAGGCCATTGTCTTCATTCATTTCCTGGCCCTAACAACAATAGGAATCCCGTATCGGATCATAAATCCCTGGATCTCTCGTTGCCCACCTGCTACTGATCATCACATCGTGGCTGGGTTGACGAGTTAACTGGAAGTCTTTCCTTCGTCGATCGCTGGTTCCGGGTATCTCTATCTGCTGAGCTGGTCTCGCATCAATTCTCAAGTCTTGAAGTTCGTTTGTTGACCATAGAGTCTTCTTTCTTTTATTTTCGTTGCTTCCGCTAGGGAAGCCTTTTGGTAACCATGAGTCACCTACTTTTCTGTCTGTCCCTGGTAGGACTTTCTTCCGCAACTGTTCTTGATAAGCGTGGTGGCGACTGGATGATCTACGAAATAGTCAACGATGACCTCGCGCGCATCACGCTCATGGTTCTCGGCCTTATGGCAGCGTTCATCTATGTTTGGAAGATGGGTTTTCGGATCTCACACCATTTGAGACGATTGGCAAGTTTCAATAATTCAGGACAGCGCTACTTCAGATCGCCCCATGAGACATTGTCGTTCCTGAAAAACCATGTCATCTATGCCCCCTTGTTTCGCAATCGGCATAACCGGGAATTTCAGCTGTCACGGGCTGTCAACATGGGCACCTTGCCCAGTCGCTTCCATGCATTTATCCTTATCGGCATCATCGCCATGAACGTGACCGTTTGCGTTGTAACTGTTCCCTATAAGAAGGAGGAGAGCTCTGTTGCCGGCGTCATCCGAAACCGCACCGGCACCATGGCCACAGTGAATTTGATTCCTCTTGTGCTGCTGGCCGGCAGAAACAACCCCCTGATCAAACTGCTCGAGGTACCCTTCGACACTTATAACCTGATCCACCGCTGGCTTGCCCGGATCGTTGTTTGCGAGACTCTTGCCCATGTCTTCGCCTGGGCGATCCCCAAGGCTCAGAAAAGTACGTCCCCTGGACCCCATGATCTACGATGTCAATCTTGGGCGCTAACTATTGCTTAGTCGGCTGGAGTGCCGTTGGAAAGGGTCTTGGACATAGCAATTTCCTCCTGGTCGGCTTGATTGTAAGTTATTTTACCTGACGAGCCTTATGAGTTTCTGCTTACCTAGCTGCAGGCTACGGCTGCATTCGTGGGGCTCGTAGTACATTCCCCATCCCCCATCCGCCATGCATTCTATGAAACTTTCCTCCACCTGCACATTATCATGGCCGCGCTCTCAATGGGTTTCCTGTGGGTTCATCTCAATGGGCTTCCCGCACAGACATACTTGCTTGTTGCCATCATTTTCTGGGCTCTCGAGCGAGCTTCGAGACTTGCTATCCTTCTGTACCGCAACTGTGGCAGGAGATCCACTACGGCCTTGGTGGAGGCCCTTCCTGGGGACGCGATGAGAATTACACTGAGGATGGCGCGGCCTTGGACCTTCCAGCCGGGCCAGCACATCTATCTATACATTCCTACCGTTGGATGGTGGTCTTCGCACCCGTTCTCCGTCGGTTGGAGCGAAGCGGAAGAGCTCGTTGCTGACGAGAAGGGACTTCCCATGACCCGGCAAGACATGTTCGGTAAAAAGCACACCAGCTTGTCCCTGCTGGTTCGTCGTCGGACCGGTTTCACTAACAAGCTGTTCCAACGGGCCCTGAGCTCTCCCAACAGTCAAGTCACGTTGCGAGCTTTCGCCGAGGGACCTTATGGCAGCATTCATTCCATGGACTCCTACGGTACAGTTGTTCTGTTTGCGGGTGGTGTTGGAATCACCCACCAAGTACCATTTGTGCGTCACCTGGTCCAAGGATATGCAGAGGGCACCGTTGCGGCGCGGCGCGTGACTCTCGTTTGGATTATTCAATCCCCAGAACACCTCGAATGGATTCGCCCGTGGATGACCAGCATCTTGGCCATGGATCGCCGCCGAGAGGTTCTGCGTATCATGTTGTTCGTTACCCGTCCCCGCAATACTAAAGAAATCCAGAGCCCAAGCTCTACAGTTCAGATGTTCCCCGGCCGACCAAACATCGACACTCTGATCGGAATGGAGGTTGAGTCCCAAGTGGGTGCGATGGGCGTGCTTGTTTGCGGAAATGGTGGCCTTAGTGACGACGTTCGGCGAGTCTGCCGCAAGCGACAGAATCAAACGCAGGTCGACTACATCGAGGAAAGTTTCACCTGGTAGACGCACGAAATGGCTGACTAGAGTCTCGCGCTCTGTCCATTCCTTTTCTTACGTCTTGCATTCCTGCGTTTTCTGCAAACCTACGTGGGAAAATCTTTAGTATATACACACACACACACACAAAATATGTATCTTGGTTCGTTACTGGTTGCTTTTATTGGCGATAGGGCGGTATACTATACGGTGTGGTTGTGTTTCGGATGGAGCCTTTGTTTTCCAACTGCACATATCAATGCCCGTGTAGTCGTCCATTAGACTATGGATCTGTGCCTTAGTTCCCGCTGTAACTTGCGCTTGTAATGCATGACTAGTGCTTATCTGCTGAATTCCTAAGAAGGTGCTGGAACTGTCAAGGGAACAGAAGCTCTTGATAATTCCCTGATTACATACGTTGCGGGAAAAACACACTTTTTGACAGCTTAGAAATCAAAGATCGGAAGTGGGGCCGGAGCATTGACGGGCCATGGCATCATTGATTCCCCATTAATCATCTATCCGCGGGGTCATTGGTTCAAGAGTTCCGGACGATGCTTTTTATACCAGCTGTTCCTTCGATTTCTTTTCGTCCCTCAATTTCAATTCTTTATCGCTACAACCGCCTAAATCACTTGACGAGCTTTCGCTCCAGATATTCCACCAAGATGAGCCAACCCGATATCACTTTGTACACCTGCCAGACTCCCAATGGAATCAAGATCTCCATTGCGCTAGAAGAGCTGGGGTGCGTTTGGAATTTAATCACATCGTCATTGGAATAAATTGGCTAACACAAGCCCTAGACTTCCCTATAAGGTAGAAAATATTGATATAAGCAAAAACACCCAGAAAGAGCCGTATGTGACCTTCTAGCCAGAACGTGGAACAGGAGCATTGCTAATTCCGCTTAGCTGGTTCCTTGAGATCAATCCCAATGGCCGCATTCCTGCTTTGACCGACACGTTCTCTGATGGTCAAAAGATTCGTCTGTTCGAATCTGGCGGCATTCTCACCTATCTTGCCGAGCAATATGACAAGGACTACAAGATCTCTTACCCTAAGGGTACTCGCGAGTACTACGAAATGACCAATTGGTTGTACTTCCAGAACGCTGGCGTGGGCCCCATGCAAGGTCAGGCAAACCATTTCGTCCGTTATGCACCCGAGCGCATCGAATACGGCATGACTCGGTATACCAATGAGACGAGGCGGCTGTATGGCGTTCTTGATGAGCACCTTGCCAGCTCCAAGTCAGGATACCTCGTCGGTGATCACATCTCGCTTGCGGATATTTCGCACTGGGGATGGGTTGCGGCTGCTGGTTGGGCCGGTGTCAATATTGAAGAGTTCCCGCACTTAAAGGCGTGGGAGGAGCGTATGGCTGCTCGGGAGGGCGTCGAGAAGGGTCGTCATGTCCCAACGCCTCATACCATTAAGGAGCGTCTTAAGGACCAGAAAACTATGGAAGAGGACGCGGCTAAAGCCCGCCAGTGGATTATGCAGGGCATGAAGGCTGACGCTAAGCATTAAAAGATATTACTTTCTGGCAGGGTGTGTGACTCGTGAGATTCATAATCTAATTATTATATCTATGTTAGCCATGTGAATAGAAGTCAGTGTCATTTATTTCGCAAGTACGGAGTATTCTCTTATCATTCTTCCTTTCCTTCACGGAAACTCCTAAGGCTTAGTCATCACTCCTCACGTGGATACAAAAGCTTGCCACCTCGCCTGCCAGTCCGCATTGATATCACCTTACTTTTTCACTCTCATTGTCATTTTCATTAATAGCCACTAATCCTGTTACTCATATCGCAAGGCAATAGATTAACTTCGTTTGCAGTGCAAGTCCAGGAAAAATGGCCTGGCGTAATCAAGGAGTCACAGGCTCCAACAACGTCCCTCTGGGCCGGAGACGGTTTGGTGGTGATGATCCCGCAGATGAGGATAGCCGTACGGCAACTCCTTCCTCTGTCGGGGAGCACAAGCGTGGCAGAAGTCCTGTCCGAGGTATGTTGCTCTCGCCATTGACCTTGTCTCGATTCAGATGTGTGGAAATTCTAACTGACTTTGCTCTAGCTGACCCTCCAGCTGACGGGGTCAAGAAGCGCAAGAAGCGCAACCGTTGGGGCGATGCGCAAGAGAATAAGGCTGCCGGTCTCATGGGCTTGCCCACGATGATCATGGCAAACTTCACCAATGAGCAGCTTGAAGCTTATACGCTTCATCTCCGTATTGAGGAAATTAGCCAAAAGCTTCGCATCAACGATGTCGTCCCAGCGGATGGTGACAGGTACGCTCTCCCTTCGGTTCGTGTGACCATGATCTCGGCATAGCTAACTCATCTTTGAATTGCAGGTCTCCGTCGCCTCCTCCGCAGTACGATAACTTTGGCAGGCGTGTAAACACTAGAGAATACCGTTACCGGAAGCGCCTTGAGGATGAGCGGCACAAGCTCGTTGAGAAGGCCATGAAGACTATTCCTAACTACCACCCGCCTTCTGACTACAGACGTCCTACCAAGACTCAGGAGAAGGTCTACGTTCCAGTGAATGACTATCCAGAAATTAACTTCAGTATGATAACTAACCCTCTAACTCCTAACCATTCCTGTGTTGTGTACTTCAAGACTCTTTGCTCGAGTCGGGCTCGTAAGAAAGACATCGCCCGTCGGTGCCTTTTCGGCTCGCTTCTTGCTAACCCTTGCTACGTGATGTTGAACATTTTATCATTGCTCTCCCATTTCTTTCTAATAACAGCTTGAACTAACACTTAGCTTTCTGCTACCTTTTAAAGTTGGCTTACTCATAGGACCCCGTGGTAATACCTTGAAGAAGATGGAAACCGAATCCGGTGCCAAGATTGCTATTCGTGGCAAGGGCTCCGTCAAGGAAGGAAAGGGACGATCTGACGCCGCTCACGCTAGCAACCAGGAAGAAGACCTCCATTGTTTGATCATGGCAGACACTGAAGAAAAGGTTAACAAGGCAAAGAAACTCGTGCATAACGTTATTGAGACGGTACGCTCTTCACCATCTCCTCATCTCTATGTTAACAAATTACTAATCACAATGAACAGGCTGCTTCAATTCCTGAGGGTCAGAACGAGCTCAAGAGGAACCAGCTTCGAGAACTTGCCGCTCTTAACGGTACCCTGCGTGATGACGAGAACCAAGCTTGCCAAAACTGTGAGTACATCTTGTGCACTGCAGCTTGTTCAGTTTTTCTGACTCTTTCTAGGTGGCCAAATCGGACATCGCAAGTATGACTGTCCAGAACAGCGCAACTTTACCGCCAACATCATCTGTCGTGTTTGTGGCAACGCTGGTCACATGGCTCGTGATTGTCCTGACCGCCAGAGAGGCACCGACTGGCGTAACAATGGTGGTTACGGTGGTGCTGGTGGCCGTAGAGCTATTGGTGGAGGCGACGCTGTCGACCGTGAGATGGAGGTAAGTGCCAACTTGCCCTCGAATTGAGCAATTGAATATATACTGACACAGATTTCTTTTTAGCAACTCATGCAAGAGTTGTCGGGAGGAGCTCCAGGTGAAGATGGCCACATCCCTCGCCGCATCGAAGCTGGTCCCGATCAGGGTTACGACGACCGTGATGCGAAGCCGTGGCAGCGTGGGCCACCGCCCAGTGATGTGGCTCCTTGGCAGCAGAGTGGCCGAGACAACCGCTCCCGTGACGACTATGGATCGCGTGACCAGGGAAGCGCACCCCCATGGGCTCAGAGTAGCCGTGGAGGTGATTATGGGTATGGCTCGCATGGTGGCTACGGAGCCCCTGGCGCTGCACCCTGGCAACAGCAGCAGCAGCAGCAAGCCCCTCCGCCCCCTCCGGGTGGACAGGCTGCGTATGGTTATGGCGCCTATGGGGGATATGCTCCTCCTGTTCCGGGCATGGGCGCTCCGGGAGCTTCTTCCTCTAGCATGGGAGTGCCTCCTCCTCCACCGGGTATGCCGCCTATGTACTACGGCTCCGGTGGCAGCCCACCACCACCACCCCCTCCTCCCGGTGAAGGACCACCACCTCCTGTATGCCCCCCTCGGACCTCTACTTTCAAGGTGAATGCCTTACTAACCTTTGTTATAGCCCCCGAGTGAGCAACCTCCTCCCCCCCCACCCGCTTAAGGGGACACGGTATCGTACTTTACCTATTTTCTCGTGTTAGGTGCAAGCTAGGGAAAATGTGGAAAACGGCTTAGTTTGATAGTAGGGTGAGGGGCGTTACTAACAATTGTATTCTGTAGTTTGCTGAGGTCGTAGGCCTCTTCATAGTAGTTCGCTAATTCATACTTATCTTGTGTAAGCGTCTGAAATACATTTTCTTCGTATTCTTAAAAGCAGTCATATGTTCGTATCTATTTGAATGATATCGGCAAGGTATGTCTCAAAAAAGAAGCATATATGAATAGACCCATCAGAGCACGGAGCTCTGTCTAGAAAACTTCACTTTGGTAGGATGACCGCAGTCAATGGCATCGGCAAAAATAGTTGGCATGGGCATTACCTGAAGCACACAGCCACAAGACCCACAAGACCCAAATGAATATATGCCATGTCAGAATTGGCATCATATGTGAAATTAAACGAGTGGTGAAGTGCCTTAGAACTCGATTCAATGCCGAAAAGAGGATTATCTTTCTTTTATTCCACCATAGGCTGTACCTATTACCCCACACCCTATACATTAACTCCGTCCTTTCCACTATTTAAACCCCTCTCTTCCCCCTTTTGCATTTCATACTCCTCTTAAGCCGAGCATCGATGACGACATTATGGATGTATCCATGAGACTCAGTGGAGTCTTAAGATTATGGCCAGTCATCAGATGTTGAAAGATGTATCAAGCAAAATATATGCAGTCCGCAAAATTGATACCAGTCTCACTCCATTACGTCGCGATATATTAAGTTAATGGAATGAGAGCAACGAGAGCAGCGAACCTTATTCGACTCTAGTCTCTTACAGATTCCTAGTGCGTCGACTAGAAAACGCAGGGGATATCCTCCAACGCCATCACTCTGTTAGTATAGCGGGGTGCCATCAGTTCGTCTTTGTAGATTTCTACAAAGACTAAGACAGCTATCTAGAATACCGCTCCGGCTATGGCTGAATCCAGAGCCACGACCTATAGCAAATCTCAGTCCACCGGTACGGTGCTGACCGATTGAAAGCACCGCTTAGCGTTCACTATAACGGCTGTGTTAAGCAAATCAATGCCATTTCGTCAAGGAATCCCCATTTCAGCCGACGACTTCTACACTCATATCTTCGGGTGACATTACCTTAGATTCGGTGGTAAGAACCTCAGTCTGGCGGACTTCTCTCATCTCTCTTCTATATAGCTTATCAGAACATTCATGCAATTCTCATCATGAATTCATATCCGACTACTATATGGGTGCTTGGCTACCCTCTGTGGTATCTCTGTGCGAGCAAGATACCCTTACGGCCGCCTTCATCATCCTGCGGAAGCAATAACAAATGAGCAGTTGCCCATTTGCCTCACCAGCTAAAGGAACGGAGAATAACACCACATCAGTCAAGCTGAAAGTGGTTCGAATGAAAAACAGGCCAGAGCCCTTAGTAGAATCTTGAGTGACAGGAAGTCATCGAACCTCCAAAGCCCGACTCGAAGGGCTTCGTATGACTTTTTGCGAGAGTCGCAACGTTCTTATTACTTTTAAAATTTGCTATATCATGGATAGCAGCTAACTATCCTCGAAACAAACGATGCCTTTGGACGAATCAAAAATTGCGTAATGTACACTCTTAACAACACTCAATAGCAACGGTACAGTACGATCCTAGAGGAGATACCCAAAGATGGACTTTGCAACTTGTCCAAGGACGAACCTAAACAAACGGCTTCAGAGCAAGTGCGAGAACCTAGGATTTGACTTAAGTAGGATCTGGGACATTGCTATTACAGCTCTGAGCCACAGCTTTCAGACTATTCCGTGACTCGACTTCTGATCAGTGACGAAGCTGTAAGAGCAGAGACTAGAGCTATGCGGTGGTTAAGAATTGTCATAAGAGCCTAGTCTATATATTGAGCCCGTTTCTTTTAGTCCGGGACGAGCTTAGAGATCACCACCGGTTCATTTCACAGACCTTGTTAATGATTACTGAAAGCGAATGGGCCCCAGATTCCTGGGTGAGAATAGGCTGAGCCAACGCGGCAGTCCTGACGGAAGTCTCTGATCAGTTGCTACGAATGATTATCTAGCGAACGGTACAACCGATGGCGCAAATATCTTCGTCAACCTCTCATGCGAGAGTTTTACCTCATGGTCTACACGCGTACAATGCTCAAGGTGAGCTATGAGAACCACCGTCAGACTCTCGAACAATTCGGCGCTGGTGTATTCAATAGTCATACAAATAATAAAATCATTCTTCTTAACCGTGAGTAATAAAAAACCATCATCACTGGTGTATGCATTGACTGAGGACTGTATTTTGAAATCCTATCTGGCAAACCCATTTATGTCCGACTACGAATCCAGTCGTCTGCACCACCCCGCCTTACCTTCGAAGGCCTTGACCTGCTATACTTAAGACTACTAGTACAGTAGCTAAACAATTACCATAGCCTACCAAGACTGGTGTGGACCATACAACATCATCGTCCCTGCCTACAGGCTACGAGCAGCTGGCGGCGCAGTTGTCACGCCCGAACCGAATCACCCTCACTAAGGTCAATGTTGATCACCAACAGGACATTGCTAAGGCATACAGCTGCTTTGCTTTTTGGCAGACAGTACGCTGCACCTAGAAACATATGCGAAGGAGTGGATTTCGATATGACTTTCCTAGGCTCGTGTTTGGTGTTGTATCAGTCAGGCCGCTTCACCATCAGAGCAACTGCACTAGTCATCCTTTCCTTTTGAAGCTCACTCGTCTATATGTTGACAATCTCCCACCTCAATCAGTTCCACAGCTGCGGCCTTTGGGGCCACTTGATTCTTTTGATAATGGATGTGCCACCGAGAAGGTCGATTTGGAACTCCTAGGGAGCTCACCTCCCAACCAAATACGCGAAAAAGAAAAGAACCTCCTATTTCGGCACAACGTGCATTGAGATGTATCTGCTTGTGTGGACTATTGTGATTGGACCTATCCATGCCGCCCACCTGACTTATTGGACTCAATAGTGATGTGTTCGTACTCAGAAGTAGGAATAGTTTTTATACATGGTCCCTTGCTAGTTAACGAACATTATATCATCGAGTTGAAGAAAGAAAAAGGAGATCCTGTTACTGCATACTACGTACTACTCAAATTCCCCTTTCGGGGATTTAAATTTTATCGATAAGACTACACAATTTGATTGGTTCAATCTAAGTGGGAACACCGCCTTTGCGCGGTCAACTTTTTCTGCCGCAAAATTTAGAAGAATTTCATGAAGCATCCAGAAAAGCCAACAGATTGGAACAGATAGCAATGGCGCCCTCTCGCTCCCCAGAGCCTGTGTCAGACGGCTCTCACGAGCTCTCTGACTCTTCAGACGTTGAGCAAACGGAGTTGCAAAACCGCGCGCCCAAAAGAAGACGTCTATCGGAGTCTTCAGTGGACTCCTATGTTGCTCCGGTGCCGCTCCCCACCCTCTCTCGTATCAAGAAGAAAGATGCAAAGGATGACAAGCCTACCACAACCACGGAGAATGACAACCCTGTCTTGATTCGCGATGCCCTTGAAATTGGACTGCAGGATGAGGAGTCTTCGTTCAAGGCACTCAATGTTTCGCCGTGGCTGGTGGGCTCTTTGACGACTATGGCGGTTAGAAAGCCCACGGCCATTCAAAAAGCTTGTATACCAGAGATTCTGAAGGGAAGAGATTGCATTGGAGGTAGCCGGACAGGTTCAGGAAAGACAATTGCCTTTGCGGTTCCTATCTTGCAGAAATGGGCACAAGATCCGTTTGGTATTTTCGCGGTCGTGTTGACTCCCACTAGGTACATCGCCAGTTACTAAAATATTTTCTTATAGGCTACGATACTAATCATTTTTTCTTAGAGAACTTGCGTTACAAATCTACGAACAAATCAAGGCGATTTCGGCACCTCAGAGCATGAAGCCACTTTTGATCACGGGAGGAACAGATATGCGATCCCAAGCACTCGCCCTCTCACAGCGACCCCATGTTGTGATTGCGACTCCCGGTCGACTCGCAGACCACATCAATACATCTGGTGAAGATACGGTGCGTGGACTAAAGCGCGTTCGCATGGTCGTTCTTGATGAAGCCGATCGACTTCTGGCTCCCGGCCCAGGAAGCATGCTTCCTGACGTAGAAACCTGTCTATCTGCTCTTCCACCGTCCAGCGAACGCCAAACGCTCCTGTTCACTGCAACATTGACCCCCGAAGTGCGCGCACTCAAGTCTATGCCTCGCGCTGAAAACAAACCGCCGGTCTTTGTTACTGAGATCTCGACCGAGAATAAAGGCACAATCCCTCCAACCCTCAAACAAACCTACCTCAAGGTCCCCATGACGCACCGCGAGGCCTTCTTACACGTGCTCTTGTCTACGGAAGGGAACTCCACTAAGCCAGCAATTGTCTTTTGCAACCATACTAAGACTGCCGATCTCCTAGAGCGGATGCTCCGCCGTCTTTCCCATCGAGTCACCTCACTACATAGTCTTCTACCCCAGTCTGAACGTAACTCTAACCTGGCGCGTTTCCGTGCTTCGGCTGCCCGGATCCTGGTAGCGACCGACGTCGCGTCTCGTGGTCTGGATATCCCGTCGGTCAGTCTGGTGATCAACTTTGATGTACCGCGCAATCCGGACGACTATGTCCACCGTGTTGGTCGTACTGCCCGTGCGGGACGCCACGGTGAAGCGGTTACCCTAGTTGGACAACGAGACGTGCAACTGGTGTTAGCGATCGAGGAGCGAGTGGAGCGACAGATGGAAGAATGGAGCGAGGAAGGTGTCAGTATTGAAGGACGGGTGGTGCGCGGCGGCGTGCTCAAGGAAGTTGGAGAGGCTAAACGAGAAGCCACTGGAGAGATCGAGGAGGGTCGCGACGTGTTAGGGCGGAAGCGGAATAAGCTGAAGAAGGTACGGTAGGCTTCATCAGAGGCATGGATAGATTGTACATATATCGAGGATGTCTTTATTATAATGATATGATTGTTCTTCAGCGATGTTTTGGTTAATTGGGCCGGTTTACGTTAGAGTCGGCCTAGTACTGTTTTTCTTATTTTATTTTATTTTTTTTTTTAAAAAAAAAATAAAATTTTCATTCCGACATCTACTCTTAACTCCTAGGATAGGAGTCATCCTTGACTGGCAATCCCGGATCTACTACTCTTTTCCCCCCAAAGGTACCTCCAGTACTCCGGATAAGGGTCTCCTACGTTTGAGGATGTCAATCCAGCTATCATTGAAATGAAATTCACATGAAGTCAATCCACATGAGATGTTTCGTGAAGAGAATCCAGACTATTCCGCCAAGACAGAATAGTTGACGAACCTCTCCTGACGGCAACGTTCTCGAAACGCCGCCAATAGCCCAACCATGGTGGGAAATAGTAGGATTTAAGTTTCGGCTATTGTTGTTTCTATGGGGAATGTACATCGTATGACTGACTGGACTGTCAGCGATCACAGTGGAGTCGGCCTGTTGGTACTGCGTCGGCTGATCCCGGTGTTTTACCTCTTCCAGACTGGACAGGAACAAGAAAAGGAAGGAGGATAAAGTGAGATGGTATGTACATTGTCCTGTACTTTTGGGGGAGAAGAGAAATCTCAAACCGAACCAAGTTTCCAGAGTACTCCTGAGTTCCTGGGGATGGGGAAAGAATTTGCCAAGACCGAACGAACACCGGGGAGGCATGAGAAGTTATTATAATTTGTATGGGATGATGGTGCATCTCCAACAGCCAAGGTCAATAGTGAGGGAGTAATTACATGAGAAGTACTACGCCGGTGGAAAACCTTGACCGGGGGGTCAGGTGACAAGGAACCATTCTCCGCGGGTAAAACGTGACTGGATTCGACGACGCCCCCGAATACTTGTGAATCACAGAATACGACGTAACTCCGTCTACTCATCTCCTGGCTGCTGTCGAACAGGGACCCTCCGGGGACTGCAAATTCTGATTCATCGCATGACTTCGGATGCATGTCTCCAAATCTAAGCGCCCCTCTTTTTCTCCAGGGCCAGTCTGATTTCCCAGAGTTTCGGATCGGCATTAGTTCGAATGGGAACCCAGATGGGAACGAGGCATCAAGAAGGGCTAAGCATGGGATGGGATGGGGGGATGAACATCATCATTCCTCCGGCATACCTTTAGTCTCCCCTCATTTGTGATTTTTCTTTTTTTTTCTTGCCCAGCCTTTGAGAATCCAGTGGTCAAAGCACGTTCCAAGGAGGAAGCCATGCACTGTCACTTTTGCCCTGGCTCTCCACCCGTTGCCTAGATGAGGAAACTCGAGTGACGGAGGCACTGACGAGTCTCGTTGCTGGACGGAGGGCGGATCTTCGGCAGTGTCCGACCTCTTGGGAGTGGAGCGCTTTGGTGCCGTTGCCGAGAGTCGAGACAAATAGGAAAGAGAGGGGACAAGAAGGGGGCAAAAATGAAAGAACAAGGGAAGGTAGAAGCAGGGAATACTGAATAGGCAACCTCTACATTCGAGTGAAACTACTTACTTACCCCCCGACGATGAGATCATGGTGGGCAGAGTCAACTCCTGTATCTACTCGGAGTAGGTAGATCGTAAGTCGACGGAGGATCTCGATTGATTGATGTACCTGTACCCCATGACATTTGGGAGGAAGGATTGGTCTCTAACTATGTTCCCCGGTGAGGGAGGCGATCAAAGTCAATTATATTAAAAAGAAGAAATGGAAAAAGAAAGGAAAAGAATGTCAGACACTGATGGGACAAATCGTATTATTTTATTTCTTTTATTCTTTATGTTAGATTGTAAACTAGTTGTCTTTCCCCCTCCATCGATGTCCAGTAAATAAAGTGGATTTTTTGTTGGCCTCTTATTTTTGTTCCTTTGCCTGGCTTTAACCCCAAAAGAGAAGTTTCTACGCTCAAACCGTCTGACCCTCTTTTTTTTTTTTTTTTTTTTTTTTCTTGGTTGGAGTTCCTCCTCTTCTCTCACTCTGGACCCTCCCGAGGCCGCCTTTTCCTTTTTCTTTCTTTCTTTCTTTCTTTTTTTTTTAATTTTTTTTTTTCCTTTTTTTAATTTTTTCCCCCTTCTTATTAACATCCTGTTCTTTTGCCCAATTTTTTTAGTAAATAATTTTACCTCACATCTTCCCACCCTCAGCCCCCTTCCTCCTTCTTACTTGTCTACCTTCTGGTTATCTCTTTATCCATCGTCAATTTCCTTTATGTCACTCCTTCCGCTGGCCCTCTTGCTAACTTCTGGCCTTATTCGCACGTCCCTACTAACTCCCTAGCCGCGCGTTTCTTGCGCTTGAAGTTATCAATCACCCCGCCGGAAAAAATCTTGAATATATTTTTTTTTTATTTTGGATTTTATTTTTCCGGCGGCTACTATCAACCTTGAGGGTTTTGGGGTGAACAAGGGCAGAAAAAAAAAAGGATTTAAAAAACAAAAAAAAAAAAGAGGTCCGCCATCATCGGGGTCGGCACTTGGGATTGATATCAGTTACGAAATTTTTTGTTAAACATTTTCAACTACTCTATTTCCCAAGGCCCCGTGTGTATCTCAATACACGCAAAAAGGGACACCACTTTTTTTTTATATCTTTTATTTTCTTGAAGGTCAAGGGGACAGGCATATTTCCCCTCAAATAGAATCCAATGGTCTCCATGGTTGAGACCTCCAATCCCAATCCAAATGACGCCGCCATGGATACGGTTGTCCCTAAAACTGAACCTGCTGTACTGGAGGGATCCATCAGTTCAGCGGTGTCAACCCCCGAGGCTGAAGGCGAGATCTTGACGCAAGATGTAGCCCAGACGCAGAAACGAAAGGGTGGAAGAAAACCTGTACGTAAGACCTATTCCCTTTCCCCCCTTTATATTACTCTATTTTTTTATTTTTTATTCTACCCGCCATGTGGTGTGTGTGATGGCAATCCGGGGCCCCGCATTACGGTTATCATTATCATCGCTCATTATGTTTCTGATTCGATTGATCGCTTCTCTTATCTTTGCCCACCCCTGTACCTTTTCTTTTGTTTGTTTGTTTATTATTTATTTTTATTATGCCCCTTACCTATACTGGCTTATCATGATCTTGATCTATTGCCCTTATCGTCATGATCGCCCGGCTTAATTGTTTAAGCTTCTTTTAAGTTAACCCTCGTCCTAGATCTATGCGACCTCTGAGGAACGGAAGCAACGCAACCGTCAGGCCCAGGCTGCCTTCCGCGAACGGCGCACCGAGTACATCCGTCAGCTCGAGTCCACTATCAAGCGCAATGAAGAGTCCCTGCAGACCTTGCAACAGAACCATCGCACCGCCGCTGATGAGTGTTTGATGCTGCGATATAAGAATTCCCTGTTGGAACGCATCTTACTTGAGAAAGGTTAGTCATCCTGTCTTGCCCTTTGTGAAACACATCACCCAAACAGAGGGAGTAAAACAGAATATGGATTGACCATACATAGGGATTGATGTCCAAGCAGAACTACGCTTGAAGGCTGGCGCTCCGGGCCCGAAGCCCAACCCCATGGCGGGGAAACCCCCCTCATCCTTGGAGCGCGCAGCGTTGAACCGAAATTCTGCCCAGAGGCATCCCACTGGAATCGCGCCGAAGGGAGAGCCTTTTGGAATGCCGCAGCCTCGTGACGGAGCGTACGGCATCCCCTCTCCCCAGTTTCAGGCCACGCCTCCGTCTCACGTCTCGTCGCCCTCCCATGCCAAGTCGCCCGGGTTTGCTTTCCAAGGAGCCATGTCCCCAGCTGGAGTCGACCCTCAGCAGGCGGCACAACACTCGCGCCTGTCGCACTCGAGGAATCTCAGCCAAACATCGCCTCCCATGAGCGTCGCCCAGTCCGAAACCACCGACCCAAAGTCTGCTCTGCCGGGCGGTGCTGGCCCCAGAGGACCCCGTGTTGCTTCGGCATATTACCCGTCGCCATTCCAAAAGCACTATGATCAGCTTGGTAGGCCTTCCCGTTCCGACGATGGTTGGGTAGAGAGTTGGTGACTAACCATAACTTCTAGAACAAGAGTATGACGCTCAGGCCGACCTAATCGATGAGGAGCATGAATCATCTGTGGGCGCCTCGCCGTACGTGTCTGGCTTTAACGCTGCCGCATCGGTTCCTGGCTCTCACTCCATGGGCCACCATAGTCTTCCGCAATTCAATCCACATTCGGGAGAAGGATCCAATGGAGCATATAACAATACGAACCAGCTCCTGGGAAACTATGAGCCCATGCTCGATGCAGATCCCTTTGGGTTGAGTGCGAGCATGCACTTCCAGACCCCCTTCAGCTACGAACAAAATAATACCCGTCACTAAACACCACTTTCCGTCTCTACTCTCGGTCCACTACTTCGGCTATCCCGTGTTAATTTTTTTTTTCCCCTACTTCCCCTTTATTCTTCTAGTCGTCTGCGACCGGTCGAGGAAATATACCCATAGGAAACAAGGATAAGAACTGATTTTACTCTGATTCGCATCCGGCTTCGTTCTGGCATCCCTCGGCATGGCATCGGAAGACAAAAGTGATTTTCAAGCATTGCCCGGCGTTCTGCGGTTGATACCATTTGCTTGTGTTGGTTGTTGATTGAAAAAGAGATGCTTGTGAGGTTTCAAAAAGATAGTTTGTTGGTGTACATGATGCGCATACGTGTGAAGCTTCCGAAGAGGACTGCCGAGCAGTCTTGATTCTCTGGACATATATTGTTATGCTGGGTTATGAGGTGGCGTGGCTTGTTTATTTTTACTTTTCTATTTTTTATGTTTATTTTCTTTCTGTTGTACGTTGCATTATTTTTGTTTTCTGTCTTTGTCTTTGGTGTATTGCGGTTTCAAGAAAAAGAAAGGAAAAAAATTACTTCGTTGTTAATGATTTATACTATTATGGGTTGAAGATAGATGGATGGATGGATGGATGGATGTATTAGGGTTTTACTACTAAAGACGTTGAGACAAGGGGGATATGATTGGAAGGGAGAAATACCACCTTGTACTGCTACCTACCATACCTACCATTACTGCGTACTTACTGTACTGTTCAACGACATCATGGATCATCATAGGCGGAAGAAAGTGACGTAGACCTAGTTGGAAGAAAGATTGCCAGTTGACGTTGATCGCTCATGATGCCATCTGCAAGCCCCGCGTGACGCCATTGCCGGGCTAAAGCCCTAGCTGTCGACCAATCACAACACGCATACCTAAATTCGCTTAGCGAGCAAGCACACCTTACCGGATTGGGGCAGAGCAACCACAAACGTTTGTCTCCAACTCCTCAAGTCATCATCCACCCGATCAACCCCCCTTCCCTTAAACTCCCCATCCCATCCATTTAGGAGAGGCCGGATACCTACGTCGTCTAGGTTTCTGCCTTGCTCGTCGCCTTCTCCCGCCCTTTTTTCGTACCGAATTGCTGCGATAACGGAGAGCCTTCCCCGGAAGGCCCCTCATAAAACCAGGCGTCATGACGGACGTCCGGTCCAAGGTACGTGCGAGAGAGCTTTCTATATTGCGGGAATGGTGTTTAGGAGCTACTGTTATCCTCGGCCTTTTGGGTTTCGAAGTCAAATCGATGGGAAAGTCAATTGGTGGGGATGAAGAGTGCTCTAATGAAGAATTTACTTGGTGAAGAGAGGGGCGGGAAAAATACGAAAAAAGAAAAAAAAAAAGTTGAAGAAAAGTGAAAGGCAATGCTGACGAATGTCTCATATGTAGAACCTTTACGAGCTTCTTGGTAATTCATACCCTTCCTGAGTTGCGCCCTATGGATTTTCTTTGATCTTTCATGCTGCGATTGTCAAATCCTTCCGCTGTCAAGTTATTACATCATCTAACGCGCTTGCGCGATTCGCTGTTGCAGGCAATGATCCCGAGTTAGACCCCAGCAAACCCCCCGCTCCTCCCACGAAAGCTATCGACAAGCCCGCACCCCGTGTAGGCAAGCGTGATGCCCCCAAGGAGGCTCCCAGCCAGCCCCGTGCCGGCCAGAGCTCTCGCCGTGGTAACTTCTCTGGCAATGAGGCCGGTATGTCATAGTCTCTTCTACTTTGTTTTGGCGTTACCCGGGTCTTCCGGCTAATCTCGGCTCCGTATAGCTTTCCGTGACCGCAACGCTGGCCGCAACCAGAACCGCGAGAAGCCCACCGATGAGAGGGAAGGTGGCGCCCGCCGTGGCGGACGTCCCCGTAACGACCGCCAGTCCCGCACCGGTCAGACGTAAGGCTCCCCCCTCCCTCTGCTTGGAGTATTACAGGCGATGTGGGTTTGCTGGGATTGTTCGAAACTGACATATGTTCCACTGCAGTGACACTGGAAAGAAGGTGAACCAGGGCTGGGGTGGCCAGAGCGGCGAGAAGGAATTGGACGATGAGCGCGCCGGTGAGAAGATCGCCCAGGCCGACGAGAACGAGCCCCAGACTCCCGCCGAGGAGGCCGAGCCTGCTGACAAGGCCAAGTCGTATAACGACTACCTTGTTGAGAAGGCCGCTGCCGGTGACTTCAGCGCCAAGGCCGTCCGTGCCGCCAACGAGGGTTCCAAGGCTGATTCCAAGTGGGCCAACGCCAAGGAATTCAAGCGTGAAGAGGACGACGACTACATCAAGGGTTCCTCTGACAAGGCCAAGCGTGAGAAGGCTCGCAAGGAGAAGAACATCCTTGAGGTCGACATGCGCTTTGTCGAGGCTCCCCGTGGCAGCAGCGGTCCCCGTGGCCGTGGCGGCCGTGGCGGCCGTGGTGCCCGTGGTGGCCGTGGTAATGGTCCCCGCGGCGAGCGCACTGAGCGCAGCGCTCCTGTCACCGTGGACGAGAAGAACTTCCCCAGCCTTGGCGGCAAATAAATACAGTCAGTCTCATAGCGGGGGGGGTATTCTACCGGCACACATCGACGCCGGTCCATTGAAAGGTCGAAAACGAAAAGAATCTTGAAGAAACCCTTACGATGCCTCTTCCTGGAAAGTGACGTGATATGGATTGCGGGAAATGACACGAGACGAAATCCTTCGGTCCTCGCATTTAGGTTTAAAATGGCCCCGATGTAATTTGATTTGAATGTCAAAAAATAGGAAAGTGAGAATTCAAAACACAAAAAAAGTTCCTCTAGGAGGGATTACAGGTGTGAACCTGTAGTTGTCTCCGTTTCTTAAACTGGTGATGGTAGACGTAGCATCCTTCGGGATCTCAATCTGCAGAATGTACTCCATACGAAGTGCTACAAGTAAAGAGACATATCAAGACCACAAAAAATCCCAAACTCCAAGCACCCAAACTCAGACCCCCAAACCATACAATACAATAACAAATAAGCCCATAAACAACTAATCACCCAACTACTACGCAGCCACTCTTACCCCAAAACCCTCTTTACCCAATTCATAAACCCCAAAAACCCCCCTCCACATCGCCACCAACCCAGCCCTAACCACCTCCTCCTCCACGCCCTGAATCCCCGATACATTCCCCCGATCCCCAAGATCAATAAACCCGCCCTGATCCAGCCCCCACAGCGCCTCCTTCACCCAAACCCGACAACTCATCTCCTCCCGAAACAGCGACGAATACGCCGTCCTCGGCACATTCCCCAGACACTCCTCCAGCGCCCCGCGCAACATCTCCACATCGTCAATAACGTCCACCTTGACGGCTGCGATGACCGGCTGTGATTGGGACTCGAGCAGATTGGCGGGGGCCCTATTGTAGGACCAGACTCGGCGTGGTGCTTTTTCGTCTGTGAGATCGTGTTTCGTGCCCTGGGTTAGGGGGCCGTGGGTGTTGGTTGTGTACAGGGACCAGTGGAATGTGGATGGTGTGGAGCGGGCTTGGAGGAGTATGTAGAGGGTTGAGGGAGTTAGGGTGTTCATGTCTTTTTCTTTTGTGAGTCTTTCTTTTTTGGTTCTTGTTCTTTTTTTTTTTTTTTTTTTTTCTGGGGTGCGTTTTGGAGGTGCTGTTTGTTGGTGATGTATGGAGGTATGTATGTTGAGGTTTGTGAAAACAGAGGTATGTATCTGTAGATAGGTAGATAGATAGATAAACGTGTATAGGTAAGAAATGAGTGAACTCGGATTCGAGATTGCTTTTTATACGGCTAGTGATCGTGCGCTTATATGTGTTCGCTGTATATCATGACCTGGTTATTGGTTGTCTAGGGTTCTTTTCGGGTGATTTGCATAGTGGCTTGGAATGGGTGATTGGGGCTGTTTCTACACTGTAAGTGATTTGCTTGTGATTTTCCTTCCTTGTGGAAGGTGAGTAGGAGAGGTAATGAGGGTATTGTACTTATCTTTTTTCTTCTTTGTTTGGCTACGCCATGGACAGAGAGGATTCCACGGCATGCATACCATCAACGAGAAACACTTCCCACCCTACCTGCCAAACGGACTATAACTCCTTCTTCCCAGAGACACCCAAGTGAAGATCGCCACACATCCTAATAGGGTTATTAACCCCCAAGCGCTAGACGGGCCGAGCGAAACTCCAATCTTTTCTGCTCAAGAACGGCAAGGCAGAACCATCTATAAGGTTAGTGATGAGCCGAGCCGCCTCGACGGTGGATATGTGGCCATACCCACGCTACGCAGGTGTATGGGGCAGTCCAGATCCATCAAGCAAAGAGCGAATCAGGGCCATTGGGGGCAGGGGAATATGCCGTGTTGCATGTGTTTGGCCATGGCATATTTTCCATTGCGTGCAGGGATGGACGCTTGAGCACAAAGCTTCAGTCGAGGCAGCCAATCCGGCCCCGGACGGGTTTCTTTGTTTGTTTGCGCGCACTTGATGTGCACAGACACGGACAGTGCGGGCGTTACATCCTGGATTAGCAAACTATGAGCGTTTCAGGCTGTGGTCTGTCGTCTTCTGGGATAGACTTGTCTTGTCTTATTCCTGGCGCTGCTGGGTACGGGTTGCAGGTAGATGGGTGTGTTATCAGGTTGGGTGTCGTGGCAATGGGAGGTCATGATTGTGAGAAGATAGGGTGATTGGTCGATCTTCTGGTATGGTATTGTTAGTGATCGGGTTCTTGGTGGGTCATACGCTATGAAACTTGAGGCTGCTCGTGATTTTGATATGGTTGCGCAGGTGACTTCCCGAAACGGAAGTCGGAGTATAGGACCAAGTGTCATTCACGTCTCTTCTTCTAGTTTCGATTATTCCTCATCCTCTAATTGCTGATTACGATCAGTTGATCAATATGTCTCTTCGCTACGTCTACATACTTCAGTTGGACTCTTTCACATGCCTCATCAGAAACACACCAGGTTCACATCCAACCAGTCTGAAACCCAGTATATTCCTCGAGACTCCACCACCACAAACTATATATAGAAAAAGAATCTACATCCAGACCTATGGTTTGAATCATGAACCGCCAAGGGAACATTAAAAGTCTCAAAAGACCTGAAATAAACGAAACATGAACCAACGGGCATAAAATGTAAGTCCCCACAACCTTCCGATTATACTTTCATAGCCTCAAACAATTTCCTAGTGACCCATGTAGTTGAAGTCTAGTCAAGAGTCCAGACTCTAGTTCGCCGCCGTGTCGGCGCCGGCATTTGTGGACAAGACATTCAATCATAATATATCAGTTTTGCTCCAGGTCTGTTATAGAGTTCTTTAGGGCTGCATTGAGGTAGAGCCGATTATAAACTGGCTCTGTTCTAGTACTGGATATGCATTGTTGTTGGTGATTATGCGAACATTACTGATCGACGAACAGTGTACATAACAGATAAATGATCAATATGCGAGCAGTTGCAGTAGACCCTTGAAGCTTATATAAGTATCTTGTTGCCCCGTACCATAGCTTTAGGTTGGGACATCATTATCAAAGGTGCTAAGATCCATCTCTCCAAGCTCAGCCAGCTCTTAGCAACCCTTTACATACACCAACGAGATAGGATCTATATAAGAAATCCAAAAGATTACAGCTCTACCCTCTCCGATTCATACCCGCCAAACTTAAACTTTTCCGCCGCTTTCGCTGCCATGGCCTCCCACTGGCTGAGCGTCTCAGCAGACGCTACCGAGCCATCTCCGAAGCCAGGCTTTCTGTCAAGGAAGGCTAAGCCCTCCATCGCCCGACCCTCACAGGCACGCTGAAGAGCTAAAAAGGCGAAATGGCCCCCGATCACCGGTCGAGCAAAGAAGTTTGGCCCTGGGAACTCGCCCTTGCCTTCAGTATTGTGCAGATCAGTGAAGGGCAAGTCGGTCACCGTTTCGTTCACCCATTTGGCGACAGACTCGAGGATCTCACTACGCACGTCCTCACTAGCGACAGCCATAGAGAAGAATTCCCAGTCCGTTTTGGTGTACAGGTGGCGGCTGTCCAAAGGAAGACCGTACTTTTGCCGTACGTAGTGATACCAAATAGACTGCTTCTGGTAGATGTGATGTGGGACAAATCCTCTCTTCCCGGAGTGCCAATGGAGTGTCTTTTGGCTGCCATGTGCAGGGGAAACATCGGTGCCCTCCAGGTGGAAGCAAAGCTGGGCATCCGCATACAGGTTATAAATCGTAGTCCAAGATCCGTACCAGTCATAGGCAAGTTTAGCATGCGTGCCGTCTCGAGACATGCCGAATTCTTCCCACTTTGCGATGTAGGTATCGGCGATATTCTGTATCTGAGTTAGAAGATTCCCATTCTCAAGTCTCATTGATTGTACTAACCTTGTAATATGATGCATTCGCCTTGTGTCCAGCCACTTCAGCTAGCTTGCTCATGGCATTGATACCGATGATGCCCTTAAGGGCAAGGTTCGTCTGAAGAGCAAGCCAGCCAGCGAAATCGTCCGTGGAAACTACATTCGTCAGCTACCCAAATCTTCTCATAAAACAAGAGTGTTCTTACGTTGGTTAGCAGGCTCCAGAGAGAATTCCACTAGGTAACTGGTCCATTGAGTCCAGATATTGTAACTGCGTTGAACCCATTTCTCAGCCAAGTGCTCGCCTTGGGCACCACCGCCCCATCTTCCGTCTTGCTTATCAATTCCTCCAAGGGCTTGAAGACTATCCAGAGGGAAGTAGCCTGAGTTCTTGTCGGATGTTTGAGGGGCTGTACCCCGTGTAGACCAAACGGAGGCCGCCGCCGAGTCCGCAGAATAACGCAAGGAATTCACAACAGCCAAGCCCATGATGAGAAGGTTGCCACACTCCTCTACAGGCATGTACTCATCGTTGCCGTCTGGATGACCGGTGGCGTTGGGGAAGTGTGTTCCCAGGTCATGCATAGCGTACTTGTTCGGATATTGTCCACTCGACATATGTTCAATCAGTGGCTCGAGGAGGTAGGCCAGCCACCGTGGGTTCGTGTAAAGGAAGAATGGGAATGAAGGGAAAATAACGTCGATGGTTTGGAAATTACCGTTTGAAGAAATTTCCTTCAGGAACAAAATCGGGTTCTCAGGTGTCCCCGCAAAGGTGGTTGCTCCCATAACCTGTCGGGCTGAAAGCGCTACGATATCCACATAGTCGTAAGCTCCCGACTGATAGGCATCCTGGGCCAGTTGTTCCGAATAATCGGAGGCCAACGTGCCCGCATTAGCCAAATCATGGTAGTGGAAGCTAAGCAGGGCCTCTTCATTGGAGAACCAAGATCTCCAGAGAGGCCGCATCAAGGTAAGCCCGCGTGAAGATGCATATTGGACGACCGGATCTTGGATTAGGGCAAGGGTAAAAGTCACGCTGTCGCTAGCAGGGCCTGATTTCTTCGGGGGGACGAAAGATTTGGAGAACGCAAAGACCGGTTCTCGGTCACCAACGGCACGGAAAGCGCTATCATTCTCGTTGCGCAAGACTCCCTCGGCGGCAAATCCTCGCCGCACAGCCACGGCTTCTCCGGATTGGAATTGAACGTCCTACTCTCAATGTTAGCCGAGGCATTTAGGATTCGCGGCGACGCTCATCCAAGGGGCACGAACAGCAGGACCAGTAAAGTGGAGGGTACCCCATTCTGCCCGGTCACGGATCTCCGATAGCAGCAGCTCTGTTTCTCTCTTGAATCGCCATCTCTGGAGAGTAGGCTTGCTGCCTTTGGCGTCAAAACCATCGTATTGCCAGGTGATTTTACTACCCGCATCTCCGCTTACCCAGCGGCCATTGACATCCATATAAACATTGACACCCACATCACCATGGACGTGGATTGTCACATACGAAGCCGGGATTGACTGCCGCAGAGTCGATGTAGGCGTAATGGGAGACAGGAAAGAAACGGTGATCTCAAGCGGAGTAGAAGCCGATGTATCCAGGTCGATGCGGTAGGTCAGGTTAGTAGTAGACGCATCGTAGTTGGCTCCAAGGTAAACTGGAAACGCTACGTCCGGTGAACTAAGCTATGTTAGGAATTATAGGCAAAGGCCTTGATTGGTCTGGGTATGCACCTACTCGGAGTCGGAAGACAGGGATTCATGGGGCTTGCCCAACAACGGATACACGGCCCCCGTACTAGGAACGTGTGCCATCAAGGAGAGGCCAACCTCCTCTCCAGTATAAAACATGGGCCATTTGGACCACGGTGCCTCACGAGCATTACCGAACCAAGTGCTGAGGTAAGGATTCCGCACAATCAGCGGTAGGACAGGCGGAGTCAGTGTAGATGCCGTACTGACTGCCGCCTGAAGGGCAGCTGTCAGTACTGCAAAGGATAAACGCATCACGGTGGTGTTTGGTTGATCACGAGTGATGGGGAAGCGAAAGAAAGAGTGCAATACAGAAGCAGGAGAGGGGATGTGAGAGGTGTGAGAGGTGTGAGAGGTATGCAGGCACCGACCACGTGCAAACCCCGTGATGCAATGGTGTCGGAGAGGATCCCAAACAGTAATGATCTACTCCAATCCCATTTACCTGGGGTAAAGGATTCTCTACCTTGGATATCCTAAGGGATATAACAATATGCAAGGTAGTAAAAGGTCGAGTAAAAAGGAATGAAGAGAGGTGGTGATATGTAAGCGCAATGCTCAGGCAGAGTGGTGTAGGATTTGGTGGTCCATTGAGTTGGCGTTTCTTTGAAACATCAAAATGCGGGGAAAGCTTTCGCACTTGGGCTGTCACGGGGTAAGAGAAAGCCCTTCGAAGGCCAATAGGAGCGAGGCAGTTTTAGGGCGAGTTCGATGTAGAATTGTAAACACATTGGATAGATCAATTGACCGAGTCCGCTTAGACCTCCATCTACATCAGAAAAAGGCCGATGATGTCATTACTCAGGACTGATCAATATGAAATCATCATGCCCCTCTTAGTACACGAAAGAAAGCAATATATTGTCGAGTATGACTATATTGTAAACCCACCCAGGCATTACTGTCTCTCGCTCTTTTATTTTTTTTATTTTATTTTTATTTTTTATTTTTCAGTTCCCTATTCCGTGTCTGAGGATGTCTCGGTACTTATCGAATTGCCACTTTATGTAGAGCCCACGACTGTATCTTACTTTTAGATGCTAGACTTCTAACCATAAACGATGGGTAGATACGCCCAAGCTAACTGTAGGACTAATCGATTAGTCTAGATAGATGTCATGCTAATATAGTATAGCACAGAAGGGTTATTGCTTGTCATTGTAGTAAAGAGCATATCTATAGAGGAGTAACATATTCTTGTAAGTTGTAATCTTCTACTACACTATCTCGTATAAGATTCCACCAAGCCATCCCCTCTCAGACCCCAATATTTTTATTTACCCTACATACACCTTAAACCGTATGCCGTAGAAAATTTACTGGATACTCCAAATTATATCTACCCGTACCTCGCTGTTTGACAGCTTTAAGTATCGATCTCTTGCATACTGTCCCTGGGCGGTGGGGCGGAGTAGCACGTGCAGGACGAATCTAGACCCAAGCAGGCAGTGGCAGAGATTTAAATCGGAACCAACAAACAGTATTAGTTATGTTTGTTGACCCCTCGATGGCTGGGAAGAGTCGCGCGAGGCGCGAGTCTAGAGCTTTGTTATATCTACAATTAGCATATGCTTTTAATATTCATATTCAGGTTCCTATCTCTTCGCTAGACATTGTACGTGTATCACGTTGCGATCTTGGGGCTCCCCACAGTAGTCAAATGCCAGTCACTGCTCGGAAATACTGAAGTCAGAAGGGCCACATGTTGCGCATTCCACGTCTTAGTACCACATTCTGACTTGACTGGCTCACATCCTTGTGCAGTTGGGATCTAGAGGGGTTGATGAAGATTCGCTACGCGGAAATCTGCAGTGGTTGATGCGGCTTGCATGGCGCTCCGTTTGCCTGTTGTTCATGGTGCCAGATCTATTTGTAGATTACTAGAAGATGGACGAAAGTATGGAAGTGCCCCCATGTTTTCCGTAATGTTTAACAATTTGGTAGAAAAGAGAAATTAGGGAGTTGAATGGGGATATGCGAGAAGTGGATATCACACGTCGCGGGGAGGTGGAAAATGGAACTAAGTCACGTCTCCCTCCGAAACGGCTTGGGAATAGCGCGAGATACACCAAACTACAACGCGGTTTACCTCCCACGCGACAATTCGACTACCACCTTACCTTGCAAGACCGGAAGGACAAGTCGTGTTAACCTTCTTGTTCATATCGTCTTGCTTCTCTCATTTTTACTTCCTTCCATCCATCTCCCTCAACGTCAACAAAATACCTTCTCCTCCCATAATTGCTTCTGGAACCCTAACTTGTCTTCCGCTCTCCGTACGGGTTCCTACTCGAACCCCAAATTCCTCCCATCTACCCTCCTGCTACTACTCTTTCCTTCTGATTAACGCCCCCAATAATTTCCGGAATGTACCCAACTACCCTGCACCCCAGCCCCGTCAAAGACGGGAGGCGCGTTCTCGGTGAAAAGACCGCAAACGCGTGTCTGTCATCCACTCATCATCGGCCCGATGTTTCGCCCAGCAAACGCCCGCTCCTCGAAGCACCTTCTCCCCCAAAGCTCCTTTCATCTCCTTTATTTGCTGGCCAAAAACGCACAATTGATCAGGTAAACGAAGACCAAGCGAACAATGACAACGTGCAGGCTCAACATGGCGAGTCTCGGGCGGAAACACAAACGGTGCACGACGTGCATGATGAAGCTTGCACACACTCTACAGCTCACAAGGATGATCGGGTATGTTGAAGGAACACTTTTAGTGACGTTTGAAGAGTCTCAAACTTGGATTGGGGCTGATTATCTGGGGTAGCCGAACCAACAACAAGCAGACGCGATGGAGCCGGACGTAGCTCCATCACGGGAGTCAGATAAACAACAACCACAATCACCAACACACTCCACACCGCTTGCTCGAAGCTCTAGTCAAGAAAGTGAAGCAAGTTCAACACGAACCGTTCCTGAGGACCCTGAAACGCGCAAGTTGTTTATCCAAAAAGTCAGTGTGGTTGATCTGCCGTTTTCCTAAACCGGTCTAACCGCACGGAACAGAAAGCAAGCCTTCTTCGGAACCGAATCCAAAATGCCATGCGTCACGTTAAAAACCCTCAATTTGATCGCCGCCTGTCAGAACTAGAGGCCCACAGTCGCAAATTCCCGCGTCTATCACTCCCCGAGACGCTCACGCCCAGCCACCAGAAGGAAGTGGTGACACCGCGCCGACAAGACGAAGACATTATGCCCTCCTCTGTCACACCGCGTGCTCTTCAACCCGCTGTAGAGTTCAAGCCGAGGACCGAACCATCATCTATCCCTCTCGGACTATCTTCGCCTCCCCTATCGACCGAGAATGACAGTTCTCAAGACCCTATGAAAACGCCCACACAAAGTCATCGCAGAACAGACACGGCAGAGACTCTGATGCAACTCAGCAGTCCTCCAGCTACTGTGTCGCGAACCGGGCGCGACAGAATGATTGGAGAGATCGACGAGCAAGAAGATGACATCGAAGGAAACCAAGCAGAGAAACAGGCCGTCACACCATCTCAACGGGGAGATGCTGTTGACGGGCTCCTGAAGCTCATGAACACTGCGGATAAACGTGAAACCGCGAATACTTGGACTGGCTGATTTTGACTTCTGACGATGAGATGACCGTTCCGTCTGCTTAGATTGTATACTATATTTCCATAATCCTGTATACAGGACTAGATGCATTAACCATCTAGGATACTGAGGGCATCCCGACGCGTCTACTGACAATGACGTGCTCGCTTCATCCACTGTCTCCACAGACAAGAGTGAGGAAGCATTACCGGAACTCGAGACTATCGTATGACGAGTTTCTTGATGCCTCTCTTTCCATTGCCTTCAGGCAATGGTAATTAGTCAATGATACCACATACTATTCAACGAGTGTATTGATGTCACGCTCGCATGTATCAAAGCTTCCATAGCACATAGAACTCAATATACCAATTTCAGAGCACCAACGCGAAGTTCCTGGCTTCGATCACTTAGAGTACCACGATCCGCATTCTTTGTTATTTGTGTGTTGGCAGTTCGACGCAGATCAAGACATTGCCAGGGGGTGTAGATTGGATTGAATACAGGCCGAGTTCCATGTACTAACCAGAAGTGCTCACAAAGGAAAGATGAGAATTATACTTCATATAAATTACCCTTGGTCTAGATCATTCCTACTATGCTCCCTTAACCTCCGGTTCCATACTCCAAGGACTTTAAGAGAGCCTTTTGAAGTTTTGGGTTGCAAAAAGGCTATCTGTATAGCCAAGTACGCCACCCATCCCTTTGCGCTTTAACACGCCTAACTAACTTTTCAAGCTGCAGATTAATAAGAGACTCTCCAAAACAGTTGGGGAAGACGCTTCCCCGCTTTGGGGAACAACATATTGGGGATCACATTTTGGGGAAATTATATAAGAATATCATAGATTCTTGAGTATGATCTTTCCCCTAGGTAATACTAATTACCTGTATATAACAGTACTAATCTATCCTAGCCACAATCTTTAAGCACTATTGTTCCAATCATGGCACCCACAACCATGAAAGCCATCCAAATCCAACAATACAACGAACCTTACCATATTTCCGAGGTGCCCATCCCCAAACCAAAGCCACACCAGGTTCTAATCCGCATCCAAGCCGCGGGGTTCTGCCATACGGACCTCATGGCATTGAACAATGAGTTCAACACAAAGCTGCCCTTCATCGGATCTCATGAGCCTGCCGGGATCATCGAAGAGGTAGGATCGGAGGCTACGGGCTTCCGGCAAGGTGATAGAGTGGGTTGTATCAATTTCGACAGCGTCTGTGGTGGGTTACAAGGATAATTAATAGACAACGTGCTGTTTATCTCTAATGCTTATAACCTTGTGTAGGTAAATGCGCGGACTGTAAAGCGGGTCTCCCGATTTACTGCGATGCGCCTTTGATGAAGGGTATTACGACAGATGGCGGCTGGGCTGAGTATATGGCTGCGTATGTGGTGAGGTTTCAAATATACCTTCGGATGCATTTAGTTTATCTAATAAGGTTATGGTGATACTCTAGTGACGCTCGCTTTTTGGTCAAACTCCCAGATGACATGGAGTTCAAGGTAGCTGCGCCGTTGATGTGCGCGGGTATTAGTATCTATGGGGGGATTGTTCGAGCAGACGTCCCCAAGGGCGGGTCTATTGGGATTGTTGGGATCGGTGGATTGGGCCATCTTGGGACGCAGATTGCTAAGTGCATGGTAAGATTACTTTGGATGTCATTGTCAGTATCTTAGATTAGTTCACTAAGCAGTTACGGAGGATACAGGGTTACAAGGTGGCGGCAATAGACGTGAAGCAGTCCGCTCTAGATGTAGTAGCATCTTATGAGCATAGCCCCGATGCTTTGATCCTGGCTACGGATCCAGTTGAGAAGTCCATGGACAAGGTCAATGGGATGGCTTCCTCAGATTACCCCGGACTGGATGCCACCGTGCTTGCGACGGATCATCCAGCTGCGTTTGAGCTGGCGGCGGCTCTGACCAGGAAACATGGGACTATGGTGCTTTTGGGTCAGCCTGAGAAGGGGATCACCATGTCTTATCAGACGGTCATCTACAAGGATATCAAGCTGGTTGGTTCATTGGTGGCTGATACTGCGCAGGCGCAGGAGCTGGTTGAGTTGTTCCATCGGAACAGGCTTCACGTTGAGATCACGGAGTGGAAGATGGAGGAAGTTGAGCAGATGAGGCAGTGGTATTGCTCGGGGGCATCTAGTGGGAAGAATGTCATAGTTATGGACTAGTAGTATGCATGTACATACATGATGTATCCATGTATGTACAAAGCGATCGCACTGCATAAGGATGCATGTCACTCACTACTTAGTAGTACTTGTAGTAGAAAAGCCGCGGCGATCGGCTTTTGCTCGGCATCTCCGCCCAGTCACAGAAAAGGGTCTCGCCATCAACTGATTATTCATTCACATGATAACCATTTGTTCCACCGTCACAAAAACATCCTTCGGTTCTTTTTTTTTTTTTTTTTTGCTTCTCTTCTCGATACAACAACCCCTTTACTCGGTTCCTTCAATTTCTCAGATCTCTTAACGGCACGAGTAAAGGTCGACTACCATCTGCAACGCATTTCCCTCCAAGTCTCCCCCTCCCCCGCCTTTCGGAAATCATGTCCACCCCATCGGCATTGCCCATCAATGCGGGCGATCCCCAACAGAACGACTCTGTGCCCGCTACCACCACAACAGAAAATGCTAAGACGGCGACGACCACCGCAGCGGCTGTCTCAGAGACACCAGCGCAAACTGCAGACAAGCTACAAGCGCAACCTCAGCAACCGAAACAAGCAATTGACGATGACGATGACGACGACGAATCGGACCTGGATGAATTGGACGGTAAGTTTGGAGTATCATCTTTAAAACAAGTAGAAAACCAAAATTAAACAGCAATGCCCAAAAGATGTCCTCGACGACTTCAACAAGCCGAAACCCGCCCCCGCCCCCGCCCCTGCCCCCAGCGCTCCATCTCAACCTGCGACCGCACCGGAAGCCAAGGATTTCGACGAAGAAACATTCATGAAAATGCTTGAAAACGACATGGCAAGCATGATGAACCACGCTGCAAAGGAGTCCGGGACATCGGACGACAAGGGCTTCGAGGACACCATCAACCAGGGCGCGGACGCCTTCACGAAGCAACTAGAGGAGAGCGGGATCCCGCCCGGTGACTTTATCAAGCAGCTTTTGGCGGATGTAATGGCTGAAGAAGAGAGTGGAGGAGATGCTACCGCCGGAGCTGCAGCAGCACCATCGACCGGCAGTGCTGGGTCTTCATCTGGTGGGGCTGGCGCTGGGGCGCCGCCTGAGTCGTTTAATGATGCTATTCAGCAGACGATTAAGCGTATGCAGGAGTCCGGGGATAAAGCTACGGCGGCAGCGTCGGAACCTAATTCGGACGATATGCTGGCGAAGATGATTAAGGCAATTGCGGCCGGCGCAGATATTGAAGAGGAGGATGGGGGCTTTATGAATATGGTTGCGGCAATGATGGAGCAGTTGTCGAACAAGGAAATGCTGTATGAGCCGATGAAGGAGCTGAATGGGAAGTTTGGGCCCTGGCTGGTGGAGAACAAGGGTAAGGGGAAGTTTTCCGATGAGGAAATGGAGCGGTTTGAGAAGCAGGCGACTCTTGCATCGCAGATTGTGGCCAAGTTTGAAGAGCCAGGTTACACGGATGAAGATCCCAAGTGTCGCGACTATGTGTGGCAGAAGATGCAGGAGGTATGTGGTCCCTTTCGTTCTGGGTCTGTTAGGTAATGCTTAGTACTGACCGGGTGCAGATGCAAGCTGCCGGAAGTCCGCCGGAAGAGCTCGTCGCGAACCCTTTCAGCGATGACAACGGAGGTCCTACCGGTATGCCGGACTGCCCCCAGCAATAAAGACTTGATCTGGAAACTTCGACCCTCCAGTGACATTTTCCCCGTCTCGCTGCAAAGTGGTGCTTGCAGACCCCATTTTTCATGGCACACCGGATGCATCTGGTGTTGACATCTTCTGTACATATAACATTTCGATACCCTATTTACTAGCCGAAATGTCACAAGGCTATCTGTCGCGACATGTATATCACAGACAAATACAAAGCCCGTTGGCCTGAAACAAATCAAATGTGGACTACCAGCGACCAACCCAACCTAACGCCGTAACGCAGCCTATCCCATATTTATTACCCAGTTCCCTGTATATTACCCTAAGTCGTGTCGAAGTATCGTAATCCTCAGTATTTTCACCCCGACATATCCATATCCTGACTCAGCGCTGTGTGGTCGGCTAAATCCATGAATATATCCTCGTACTCGTCATCACTGAACGATGAGCCTGCGTCTTGCGATGCATTCCCAGCAACTTGTCCAGAGGGCGTCTGCATATCCACATTCTCAAGCAACTCCATCTCCATTGCCTGTTCCTGCGACAGATACTCATCCAGAGCCTGGATATCCGCCTCGTCTAAGAAACGATCAGGTTAATCATCGATCCCGCCAACAAAGTTACTGGAAGAGGGAAAGCATAGAGGAAAACCTACCAAGCATATCATCTACACTCTCTTCCAAATCCCTCAAGTATCCCTGCAGAATCCCATCCGTCCTCCTCCGCATCGACTCGCCCCACTTCTTCTGCTCCGCCGCATGCTCCATCAACACCAGCTGCTCGCCTCTATTAGCGAAACGCGCATCGTCGCGCCCTTGCTTGATCCGGTTTAGGAAAACGTTGCGTCTCGTTTCGCGGGCCGACGGCGAAGAAGAAGCGGCACCATTCTTGGACGCGTTATTCAACGGATTAGATATGGTGCTCGCATACCGCTGAGCGTATGTAGGCGAAGTCTTGGAGCGGGAGGACGTACCCACGCCCTTCGAAGGCGAGGGCGAGACCGGAGACCCGAAAAATATACTTTCCGACTTTGTTCGTGGCGCGACGGGTGTGTTGGTTTGATTTTCTGGTGCTGGGGAGAAGTGGAACGGCGAGGAGGATAGTGAGGCCATTGGGCGGGCCGGCGAACTGCGAGGTGAAAGTGGAGATGGTGGTGCGGGCGCGGTAGCGCATTGCGAGAAATTGAACTGCTGCTGCATGGGGGGAAGTGCAGCGAACATGATGCTAAAGATGATGGGCAGTGGTTTGCGCGTAGGATGGAGTTAGTGTAGGTATAGGGAGTTTGCGTTGCGGTTCGCCGGTTTGAAGATGGTGGGTATAGATGGTGGCGATACGCGTCTCGAATCTCGAGGTGCAGCTTTTGATGGGTCGATATCGTGTCAAAGGAAGTGGACTTTGGAAGTAAGGAAGCCTAATTGACGAACTTATGTGGAGTCAAAGGTTACTCTGCTCCTAATGTACTCGTGTGCATGAGTTCTCGAACTCCAGCCACCGCGTAAGACATGTGGGCTGGCGGGATTCTTAGCGTCGACCCGCGAGCGCGTCCCTCACACGGAATCACGGGACACTAGTCCAAATAGGGTCATATTGCATTCCTGAGGCTGCAAGGCTGGTCACTACTTTGTAGGCTTGGATGGATGTATGTACAGTAAATAATTTCATCAATTCAGAACAAGTCGTATCACATCGCTCGCCACCTTAAAGATCACAGACAAGGTCGAATTCTGCATCGTATTGGATTGTAGTTTGGGCCAATTGCGCGGTTACAGTGGTTGCATCTGTTGTCAAGCTGCTTGTTGTCGGTGCCGATGCTATGGTAGCACCCTGTGACGCAACGCTCGTAGATGATACTGTCGACATGCAACTGTCTATTTGGCAGTAGGTCAGAAAAAATGGTTGGTGGACTCCCAAGGCCAAACGTACTTAATTGATCCTGACAATCTTGGAGGGAGAAGGATGATGACTGGTCCGTGTTGGCTATCTGCATACGAGTTAACGGAATTCTGCGACTTTCGTCAATGGGTATAGTGCAATACTGACCTTCTGGCAAGAGTCGAATTGGTTGTTGCAGCTGATGGATCGATTTCGTGTTAGATAAGATTCCACGTGGGACAGTGAAACATGGGACGAGGAACTCAAGAGAGCTACCTTCTCGAGGCTGCTGATTCATAATCCGTCTATGAGATATAACGTTGGTTATCATTCGGTAGTAGGAAAATTATAGATGGAAACATACAAACGTATCGCCATCCACGCCGTACGGCCTTTCAGAATCACCTGTGTTCGTGACCTAGGTACATGTCAACATTAATTCTCACAAGTCAGAATATTGTGGAACTCACCGTGGGTGCAGAGCCCCCTAGTGTTCCTGTAGATGCCTAATGAGAGATTCAAGATGTTAGGATCTAGCTTCAACCGTGATAACAGAACAGTCGACTACCTGTCGCTTGTCTACAGAGGCTGGCGCATCTACCAGCCCGACTGGATCCAGGATGAGGGCGCGAGCGCCGAACATCAGAAGAAGAGCGCTGATGATCATTAATAGAAAAGTCGCCGTGTTTTGGGCTGTTACTCATGTGGCATGGATGTGATCACTCGAATACTAGGAGGAGTAGTAGCATATTGAACGTAGGTAGTGCTGTGTAATAATATAAATTGGGTAAGGGTTAATCGTCATCTGCTGGACAGTTTTACTCCGCACATAATAATATTCCGTGTCCAGCGGCTGGGGATTTGCATAGATTAGGTTTCCTATTTGACACGGGGCGAATCCTTGCCTGTATGGGAGTGACGGCGGCTAAAGTGTTCTATTAACAGGAACCTTTGGTGTTTCATCGGTCGCACTATTCCGATGATTATTCACATGCGATATACAGCCTGTGCTTTGAGGTGATGCTGAATAAAACACGTTCGAGCTAGTTTCGGCGGCAATTAAATACATAGATATCAGGGCAAAAAAAAGCTTTTTTGTTTAGTTGGACCGCCAGACGATTGTCCAACCAAGCTATCGAACAGAAAGAAGAGACGGTGAGACGGAGAATACCGCACATCTCAGTATCTCTACGCAGAACCAGTGCTTCGAGCGGGGGAATCAAAGACAACAAGCCAACCATGAATGCTAAAACAAACCGCTGTACGTGGAAAGGACCGTGATCTTGGGAAAGGAATGACAGGCGTTCTATATGAACAGTATGCAATCAACAAGGACATTGAAGGTTGCATACCAAAGGGGGGAAAGAAAAGAAGAAAAAGAAGAAAAAGACCCAATATATCTTCACCAACAAGCGCCAATGATAACTGCGTAATACTCGTACAAACTTTACAGTGTCGAAATCATTGGACCATCATGTACTGTGCCCACGTCTAGATTGCAAGGGCCAGGTACGGCCAAAGAAGCTGTCACGTTAAAACCGCCGGGGAGTGACAAACACCTGGCTCGTTTAGAAATTCGATGCGGCATTGACAGGACCGGGGTTATGGTATTGGTCCAAAGTGCTCTTGAAAGGTGTTCCACCAGCCCCGGGGCTGGGAGCCTTCTCCCGAACGCCGGAGCCGACAGCGGTACCGCTCATGAGGTCCGTAGCTTCATCGTTGTCGTGGGCATTACGCTTGCGTGCATGAATCCTCCAGGCAACGACACCAAGAGCACCGACCAGAATTGCACCACCGACACCAACAACAACACCAATGATGGTCTTCTTCTGGTTAGAAGAGAGGCCCGAGCTCTTCGAGTCCTTCTCTTCCCCGTTGAGTGAAGGAGAGTCGGTGGCGCCTACAGCAGCGGACGAGGTGGTGGTAAGCGTGGTGTGAACAGGCGTTCCACTGACCGTCTGGATAGTAGTAAGGGTCTTCACAACAGGAGTTTGGGTGGTTTTCGAGCTGTTGTCTGTTGTAGTTTGGGAGTTGTTGTCGTTGTTGTTGCTATCCGTTGTAGGTCCGCTGGTGGTTGATGCCGATGTTTTCGTTGGCTGGTCGGCCGTGGTTTTAGGGGGGTCTGTGGTGGAAGTTGACGAGTCTGAATTTGATGTTGTTGTGGGGTCAGCCTTGGTGGTCGTTGGCTTGGTCTCACTAGTTGTCGATGTGCTTTCTGTAGACTCGGACGAAGACGAAGAAGTTGATGATGTCGACGATGTGGATGATGTGGTCGCTTCTGTCGTGGTAGGTGCGGCATCCTTAGAGGTAGCGACATCTCCACCAGTAACCGCTACGCTCTGACCAGAGACAGCGGCCAACAGGGACAACGAGTATAAGAGGAACGAAAGGCTTGAGACTCGCATGGTGGGCGAGTAATGCGGGATGAAATCAATCAAAGTGGTCTCGATCCGAAGGTCCGGAGGCGATGCAGCGCAAGACAAGGCGATTCAATCTCGTGACTCTATGACTGACGGATACTCCGGAGACTTGCAACGAGGGGATAAGAGGTGACAGAAGTGAGAAAAAACGATCGTACTTATCAAGGGGGGAAACTCAGTGAACTGCAGATGCAGGAGGGGTTAACGAAAGACTAGATAGATATACGTATGAGAGGCACGATGTAGGTACGAGAAGAGAAAAGAGCGTAAGGAGGCGGGATAGAGATGAAAAAGGATTGGAGACGGAGGGCTCATTGAAGAAAGGGAAGAGCGCGCAGTCCCACTCGGACTGGTTCTTCCGGCTAATCACTCACTCATCATGTGTCGGCTTGGTTGCGAGGGACGCTAGTCCTCATTCTTTTCTCTCTTTTTTTCTTTTCTCTCTTTATTTGCCCTTGTTCCATACCACACACGGTTAGTGAGGTCCGATCTAACTAGGATTTTACCGAATAGGCGGACCAATGCACCAATACCAGCAAAGATGCCCGATGTGGGTGTGCGCTAGTGTCAACTTGGAAAACTAAGCCTCCCCACTGGCCAGTCAGTAGGTGTGGGCTGAGACATTCTAGCCAGGAGAGACCCGTCAACATACTAAAAAATTGGAGCGCTGGGGGGGTGGTCGGGGATTGTGTGCCTGACCTCTCGGGGCAGAAACTCTGTTTGGCTCCGCTATTCTTCGCTATCACCATTAGTCCATACGACCGTTTCCTTCTTAGCCCGTCAGCTGTCAATGTTGGTCTACAAATGGGGTAACATCAGAGCAATTGTCCATACATAAGGGGGAAATCGTGGGTGAGATGATCTTTCTGAGAACTTATTAAATTCAATCGATTGAAAAACTGTGCTATTTTAAGGAACGTTCCACGGTACGCCTGCCCAGAAACCATAGGACACTTGGCTGCTGAGTTGTTTGACATCGTTTATGCACCCATGGTTCTTAGGTAATGCTACATAGGGGAACACAATCACCTTAATCGACTACCTAAAACATCATAATCTCCCCCCTCTCTTTTAAATACCGTGCCTATCCGAGGATTCCAATAGCAGCAATAAAAGACGGAACATCCTCGGGCTTTCTATTGAATTCCCCATTTCCCTTTTAGACCCATCTACTAGTTGACTACTACTACTTTGTGCCGGTACTGCCGACCGGGTAAACGCCGATCGTCTTCAGTTGAGACATTCAAGCCCTAGTAAATCTTACCCATTAATTGTCGGTCTGTTGACCACCCGAAGGAAGATCGGAAGGATTCGTAATGTTGCTGTCCTTTGCGCTGTGTTATCTCTACTCGTAAGATCAGTCTACAGGGCTTTGACTCTGTGTATGGCTGTGCATAGCTCCATCATCCAACAACTCTTCCCACGACGCAGGGTGTGACGATCGACAGCAGGTGATGAGTTCTAGATTCTAATGTTCTGGACTGCCACCACCTTCTTCTTCTTTTGCTGCCACATCATTTGCCCGTCACTTCGAACGAACGTGTACTAACTAAATCAGGCGTACTTACGGAGTACTGTGCGTCATAATACTCAGGGTACATGTAGTACCGAGATAGTCATGTACTCCGTACAAGCCACTAGTACACATTAGTAATTCGAATCTACTAGTTAGTGAGTAACACTCACATGACTCGACTGTAGTTTTATTGTGGAGGCGAGGGTCATGCAGGTTTATAGACGTTCGAGATAATTCCTGATCTATCAGCGTGATGCTCGAATATATATAGTAACTGAGATTATTCGTTGCCACTGTTTGTGTGACGGCCCAACGGGCCCGTCTACTAATAATTACCTATATCACCTTGTCGTACAACTGGTATACGTGACTAGATCAAGCCCTGCATTATCCCTGTGCGGTAATCTCCGGCTAGTAGTCCGGCTGCCCAGGGACACTCCAGCCCTACTTATTCCAGGAGATGGATGAAGGACCCGGTCCGACAGAAGATAATAGATTTTCAAAGCAGAGACCACCAGCTCGCCTTGGAAAAGGAATTACACAACGATAACATGGCACAGAGGAAGAGGTGACTTTGATAAGCGTCCATGTCATGCTTCACATTTTAGGGCCTCCAAAATGCGGCATTGACACCCTCGCAACATGCCTACTGCAAGACCGAGGGGAAAGTGTTGCTTGATTCCCGTAAATCCGTCAAGGAATTGAGTTGAAATGTGCCTTTGTTCGCAAAGAAACTTAATGGTATCCTTACAAGGTTGGGGTCATTTGGTAGCTACTGGTCATATAGCAAGCGGAGGGAGTATGTTTCGGAAGCTCGGAAGACTGCCTACTCCCTGCAACAATCACGGTACTAAGGACCGTTATTCACTTTTCTTAGACATATCTATATTAGGTTGACCCTACTTGTTGTGGTGATTATGAGGGAAAGAATTTGAAGATAAGACACTTAAGAATTCATCGCCAACATTAACCATGGGAAACGATGTGGCTTTATTACGTGTTTCTCTTATTTCTTTTTTTTCGTTGTTTACTGCTTAAGCCTTCAAGCATGAAAAAGCGTAATGATCTAAGACTCAGTGCATGTACATGCCGACACATGCCTGCTAGCTGTCACTCGAAGGTGAGTCTTTATCTCCTCGGGGCACGGAGGCGTTTAGGTTATAGCCCTTACACTAGGGTTTCAGGATCAAAATAATGGTAGCTCGATTTCAGATATGGCTTTCCATTGATATGTATGCTTCCAACTTCAAAGCCCAACTAGACCACTGACAGAACTGGATGGGCAAAGCGGATGGAGCGGTTGACATTTTATCTCCGGATGGAATGAGGGATGTAGCTCACGGTGCAGAAAAGTTACAGCCCAATCTATATCCGGTCACACAAGCGTGTGAAATGTGAAAGCATGAGATCAACAACGAAGGTGAGGGGGGAAGAAAGGAAACGACAGAACATAGGAAAATAGAGAAAAAACACTAAATTGGGTATCATAGTAGTCATAATCGTACACAAAACTTGTGGAATGATCCAAATTATATGCCGAAGCTCATCGTTAAAACTTATTCGGTGGTTTTCCTTTGAGCTGGTCTTTGATCTCTTCCTTAAAATATTCGACGAACTTGCTCAAGCCGGGTCCTAGAGATGCCATCAGCACCAGCTCTACACATGGACATTCCATCCTGTAAGCATATGTGTGTCCTACCATTATTGTCTCTATGAGTACCTCCCATTTCTTCGGGAGGTACCCCATGTTTTAAATGTTGAACCTTTTGATGGACCCGTCCCACCAGTCTGTGAAACGTCGGGCTGGCCAGCAGCTATACGAGGATATATCAGCATGAAACTTGCGCGTAGGTGGTTGTGGAGATGTGCATACCCGAGCAGTGAGCCAAACCTAATTGGAGGGAAATGAGTCAGTCATGGATGCCATCGAGGATGGCAGTAGAAAGAAAACTGGTCTGGAATCAGGCGATTACGTACCTCGAAAGTTCGGATCCAGAACATTCGGAACACCATCTTGCGAATGGGCTGTTAGTACCTAGTAATCAAGCCTCAGGAGGCAAATGTATGGAGAATTTCGATAGTGGCTGATAAGCAGCGAGACCACAGGTCTCAAGAGCTGAAGGGAAAAGGAAAAAAAAAGAGGGAGGAGGAAAAGCCGAGGAGGTTTTTCTGTGCTGTCAGAGAGAAACAGAAAGAAGACTAGTCAGAAAAGTGGCCTTTCCCAAGTCAAGCCTTTAGCTGTGCCACAACAAATGACCTGCAGCCAGTTAAAAGCGACGGTTTCAGTCCACCAGCCGGGGTTAAATTTGTGGCAAGTAAATTTTGACAAAACTCGTGCAACGGGAGGAATTAAACGTGGAATGTGTTATCATTACTCTTTTTAGGTAGATCTATGGATCTGATCGTCTTGTAGAAAAATTCTCCACAACTTCTCCTGTACAACAAATTTAATTCTATTTTGATTGTATTTATGGCCATTCCTATCTGATTATATATCTTTTTCTTTTTTGTTTTACGTTACTTTTTATTCTCTTCCCCAACTTTCAAGATTCTTCTATTATTTCAATTTATCCTTCTTCAGATTACATCACCGTCCATGTCACGCCGACAATTCCATTCTCATTGAACCCCTGCCGTGATCCCCTGGAAACCTTTTCGATTCTTTCTTTCTTTGCTGTCTTGAACTTCTCCAATCATCTGCAAGGCTTGATCTGACTGTTACGTTGATCCCGACAATTGCCCCTTATAATTACTTCTCCAATTCCTGGACTGCTGGCACGTCCTTCAAGTATAGAAGTGCGGGGAATAACAGGTTTTTTTTTATTTTTTTTATTTCTACCTTCTCCTTTTCATCCTGTTCTTTTTGTCCTGTTGCGAGGGATAATTAATATCTGTGTTTAATTTTGTCTTTTTTGCTTTCCATTGACATTGTGCCCCTCTTTCTATCTATATTTATGGGCTGTGATTCTGTGGTTTTTCTTTTCAAATAATAATTCACGCCAACCCCATCGTTCTTTCTGTCTTCAGCGAGAGTGAACGTTATCGACATTGCGCGGTGTTGTGAGTTTCAACGTCGTTGGTCTCCGACTTCGCCGATATCCGCCCACTAAGATTTGGCAGCGATTTGCTCCGGTAAGATCTAAAAATCTGGCCAAGCAAATTACGACGAGGGGCAGCTTCCACAGCTGTCCCGATCTGTCCACGCTACAGATATCATCCCTGCCGCAACCGCCGAACGGCGCGAACGACGATCCGTCCGGCATTGAGGGGGAACTTGTTACTGCACCACCTTCCCGCTCTACATCGCCCGACGCCTTCAGCCTCCGCTCCGGACCCCGAAAGCTTGTGTCGACTAAGAAGCGGGTCTCAAGAAAGGCGCGCGGCGTCCTGGGCAAGGTTCGGGCCTTCCAAAGGATCGCTGCGGCCAAAATGGCTCATCCCACCATCAAGATCGATACAAACGTCCAAGCGACCAAGCGCGCCCTTCCCGAAGACAACGATGAAGGCTTCGAGGTCTTAGATGGACCCGATCAGGATGACCCGGGTCTGGAAGCTGGAGATACTGAATCCGTTCCGCCTTTTCTTTGCCAGTCCGTCTTAGGTTGGTCCGCTCCTGTTCCCACTACTCTGGATGTTCTTCGGTCATGTTCTAGTAGAGCTAATCAGATGGCTGTTCCAACCTCCAGAGATCCACCAGAAATTTGAGGAACTCGAATGGATACAGCGGGCACGTCTTGCAGAAGGAATGCTCGCCAACGACCCCTCCCATCGTTGGGCGCTGGAGGCCGATCCGGAGGTCAAGGCAAGGAACCGATATATCAATGTGCAGGCGTGGGCAAATTCTCGTATTCATCTTCAGGTAAACGATGGCGAGTGCGATTTTATCAATGCCTCGCCGATCGCTCTGAAGGATTCTGTGTCCCAGCAGGAGAGAAGGTACATCGCGACGCAGGTAAGCATGCCGCATGTTGGTAAATAAATATGCTCTCTGATCACTGTATTCCAGGGACCGAAGGTAGGAGATATATTCCACTTCTGGCACATGGTATTCCATGAAACGAAGGAAGTGGGTGTCATCGTTATGCTTACGCAGACGTTCGAGTCCGGACGAGAAAAATGCTCTCAGTATTTCCCTGTCAACAGCGATAATTCTTTGGTACTTCTGCGGGAAGATGAGCGTGACCCATTTGTTAGCAATGAGAATCACCCGATCGGAGATGAAAATGTCGTGGGCACGGTTGCGCTGCTAGAGAACGCTTTTGACGAGAAGTCTCGTTCCGAAATCCGCAAACTACGGCTCACTTTGGGTGCCGAGTCGAAGATCGTTTGGCATTTTCTCTTTGCTGGTTGGGCGGATTATTCCAAGCCTGAAGGTGATGACCGCAGCGCACTTCTTCATTTGATTGAGCAATCAGGCTCCAAGAGCTCCCCGGATAACCCACGTATTGTGCACTGTAGTGCTGGTGTCGGCCGAACAGGCACATTCATTGCTCTCGACCATCTGCTACTGGAGCTTCAATCTGACCAGTTGTTGCAAGTGACTGACCCAGAGGCTGACCCAGTCTTTGAAACAGTCAACCAAATGCGCGAGCAGAGAATGATGATGGTCTACAATGAGATGCAGCTGCAGTTTATTTACGAAGTCTTGCGAGAACAAACTGACCGGAAGCTTGGGAAGGTCCCTGAAATCAACGGGCGAAAGTCCGATGAGCGGTCCTCGAAAATGGCCAAGTTATCTACCGACTCCGACTACTTGCCTTCCTCGAAACCAGAGCTGGAGTCTGTCTCAGATCGTGCCTTTACACCAACCAGAAGCTGGTCAGGAACCCCAGAAGTCTCCGACAACGAATAATGGTCTCACTCTTGTTTTTATTCCGTCGCATCACGGACAACTCATTAGGCTGCGGCCGGGCCATTTTTCACTGCTATATATATAGTTCTCTTAATAGCTTTCTCATCTGTTTCCCTAGTTGCAGCATTCACGACGAACCATGAGTTCTTGACTTGCATTCGACCTCACGCCTTCTCTGCGCTTTGTTGCGTAACATCTTACCATGTTTGAATATCCAATTTACGACACTTACGTCTTTACCTCGTGTATTTGCTAGAAGTCTTGTGTGGGAACATTACTGCCACTATTTATGATTCAGTTCCAGCTTTTAAGGTACTGGGAATCCTATACGAAATGCTTCAAGTATCTTTTTCACTATTTCCATACTTCGCTGTATAATTTACTAGGCTGTACGGTTATAGCATGAAAACTGGTGTAGGAGTAAGATAATAGGATTTTCTTTCAGCGATATTCTGCTCCGTATGCTAGAAAGCGCAAAGCTTTTGACCTTATTTACAACGCCGGAAGTTCCTGATAAAAAGAACACGCCAGAAAGCCGAGCCTTAGTGTACTAGGATGGACCGCAAATCCACAAAATGAGATAGTCAAGAGTAAGATCGTAAAGAGTGTGATATCCTGCAGATGAATCATCAAATAAGCTGAGCAATATAGCAATCACGATCTGTGGTATTGCTTGAAGGAGGGCGTAAAACATGACGAGTAGATTGGTACAATAGACCGGTCATGAGGGATAGAGGAGTGATATGGTGATATTGGGTAAAGATGGCATGGCATGAAGGTTGGTCTTCCCTGCAACAACGACGAGGTATATTTCATAACGATTAGATTTAGATCCCAATGTAGATCGCATTAGTCACTTCGTTTCTTCCCCTCTCCCTTGTCCCCATTGACGGCAGGAACGGAAGGTTTCGAGCCGTCCTCGGTCAAACCGGAGGGCTCGCCCGCACCGTCATCCGAATCCCAGTTATCGACGGCATTCTCATCCCAATTGTCGACCTCGCGCTCCAGATTAGTGACCCCTGTTTCCTGGGGTCCTAGCCCCTCCGGCTCATGGTCGGTTTCACCATGGCCCGGGCCGACGCCGAGCTCAACATCATCTGTGGCGTCTCCAAGAGCTCCGAAGCGAGCTTTGCGCCGCCTTTCCAGCATCCGCCGGTGGTACCAGCTGCACAAGCCGACTGCGCCGAGACTGCCCACGATGTTGGCGAGGAGGTCAAACGGGTCAAACGAGCGACCATTGGGGAGGATTCCTTGGACAATCTCGGAGCCAATTCCTAGAACGGCGGTGCAGACAATTAATGTCAATTGTAGCGTGCGTCGGCGGGTGGTGTCGGGAATCCAGTAGAAGATAAGAGATAGCAGAAAGAACGTCACGACATGGAGAAACTTGTCATTGGGTTGTAGTTGCGATGGGACGCTCGAGGATGCACTGTGGGGGAGGAGACCGATATAGGCAGCCAAGAGCAAGAGGAAGACGAAGGCGCCTGCGGAGTTAGTCACTGATGATGTAGGACGAATGTCTATGATGGTTTCCTGGAAGAGGAGGAGAAGGAAGAGGAAGCTGTGAATCTTGCCAATAGAGGTAACATACCCGCGAAAGGATAGCGGATCCGCATGGTGGTTGTGTGGTGGTCAAGGAAGCGTGCGGAGAGAAGTTGTGGTCGAGAAAGAGTAGCGATGATGATTCCGGGTGCGTCATGTGCTTAACTGAGAGAACATAAGGTCGGGATGAGGAATCAGATATCAAACACCTGCAACAATGAAAAAAAGGTACCTTCTTTGTATTCATTGTCACCACCATCCAATCTCTAGTTACAGTATGTGAGGAGTTCACACCAACTAAGACACTAAATTATACAACGGACTGTATACACAACACATTTTCCAAATATAATATACCGGATAAGAAAACCGTTGATCAATTCTCTGGAGAACTGCGCGGTTGGTCTGAAGGCTGCGGCGGCCGTTCCGCCTTCACGGGATCGACTTCACTTCATCCGTTCGCGCAGAGAACCTCGTACAGAAGCCGTTCACTTCCCCATCAAAATCTCCGCCCGTCCCATCGTTTTTGGATCGGAGATTATCGTCTCTCTCTTCTCTGCACCTCCTAGTTTGTCTCTATGTTTTTTTCCGCCAGCCAAGCCGCCCTGTTGCTGCCTCTCCGCACCTGAATCTAACCGTGGAGAAACGAGCCCCCTCGCCCGCCCCAGAACCGGGGTTTTGGAGCGAGCATGTCGCTCGGACACCACCACGCCTGGTTGCCGCCAGGACATCTTCGGCCTCCCGATGATCATCACGACTCGCGGTCAATCAATGGCTACTCGAAATCATTTTCCGGCCCCAGAACGCCCCAAATGCGCGCCTCGGTCGACGCTGATGGGTCTCACGCGGGTAATCTGATATCGGAGGCTGATATGGCAGCCGAGGAAGACCCACGCATTGCCATATTTCGCGATTTGTACAGACGCAGTGAGGCGAAAATAAACAACTTATTTGCTGGCCAGAAACTTGTGGAGGACGTCGGCGCCGCCGTCGCGGACGCTGATGAGTCCGACACCAAGAATGAGCGCGCCGATGAAACTGCACCTCCTCCGGTACCCGCTAAGAAACCCGCGAGGAAACTGGATGATGATGACTACGATGACTATGACGATGACGATGATGGGGATGCTCCATCTCCACCAAAGCCTAAACCCCTCACCCCTTCCCAGGAATCCAGTGCTCCTCCTCCCTTAAGTCGCTATACGAGTGGTACGACATCAGCAGGCGGCGATGCTTCGAAGGAGACGAAGAAAGAGTCGTTGGAAGATATCCGGAAGAAGTTGGAGGAAGACAAGAAGGCGACCGAGGAAGCTGCGAAGAGAAGCTTCCACACTATCTTCTATACACTAGAAAATGACCGAGATGCTATGTTGGATCAACAACGCCTAGAAGAGTCTGAACGGCAAGTTGAAGCCGAAATGTCGAGCCAAGCCAATGCTGGCAATAATGCGACTTCAGCTTCCAACGGTTACGGCTCGTTGAGTAATGCTAACCTTGGCGCGTCGAGTCTAACGTTGAAGAATCTTATCGCGAGAATTGACATGAAGCGGACAATGGTGCAAGCCTCTGATGCGGAGCTTCGGAGTTTGATGAGCGAGGTTCGGAAGAATCGCAGCAAATGGGCCAGTGAGGATAAAATTGGCCAGGAAGAGCTCTACGAAGCTGCGGAGAAAGTCCTCAGCGAGCTCAAAGCGATGACGGAGCATTCGAGTGCCTTTTTGACTCGTGTGAATAAACGAGACGCGCCAGATTATTACACAAGTACGATATACCCTCAATTTGAAGCCGCACACCTGTACTAATTCAATAAACAGTCATCAAGCATCCCATGGACCTGGGAACAATGACTAAGAAGCTGAAAGCGCTCCAGTATAAGTCAAAGCAAGAGTTTGTTGATGACCTCAATCTGATCTGGTCCAACTGTTTCAAATATAACACAAATCCGGACCATTTTCTGCGCAAGCATGCCTTGTACATGAAAAAGGAGACGGAGAAGCTTGTTCCTCTTATTCCAGAGATTGTAATCAGAGATCGTGCTGAAGTTGAAGCAGAGGAGCGTAGACTTCAGCTCGCGGAGCTTGACGGTGCAGAAGAGAGTGACGATGAGCCTATTATGTCGTCCAGAGGTAGGAAAGCTCCCGGTAAATCGTCCAAGAAAGGTGCTGCTCCGGCTCGAAATACTCCTAGCGGATCTGAACCCCCTGCAGGTGCATCTTCCCAGCCACCTGCACCTGTACGCGCGGACTCCGATGTTCCTGCCGATGGTACGCAAAACGGTTTCGCGACACCACCACCCGGGACACAGACACCTTCAGACCCTACTGGCGCCGTGGCTGGCATTTCCGGAAGCCATGGTGATTCTATGGACATTGATGGCTTAGCGCCATCGACTAATGCGCTTAGTGCTTTATCAGCGCCGGGTGCAGAAGCTGAGGATCCTGAATACAAGGTCTGGAAGCAAGTCACGAAAAAAGACAGAGCTCTTATTGCTGCAGAAAGGCATCGCTTGTTCAAAGGTGACAAGTTAAACTCGGACGAACCGGCTCTACTGCGCACCAAAGCTGGTATGCGAAGGTGGCTGAGAAATCAGATACAAAGTAATGCGGAGGGTGATAAGTCCAACGAGCCAAGTGCACAAGCCATGGAGCCTGGTCCGGCTGGTGAATCTCTTGCCGAAGGTATTGAGGTCGAAGAGGATAAAGTGATTCCTGATTATTACGATGTTATGTCAGGTGTTCCTGATCTGCCTGGACAATTACTCTGGAGGGAAGACTCTGATGGCAACATCGTGGATGCGTCTGAGGAGTTTTTAAGCGTCCTACCGAAGGGAACATTCACCCAGCCTGAGAGCAAACTTTCCCGCAAGATGGATGCGAATATGCGGCAAATGCAAGAAACTCGAAAGATCTGCTCCAAAATCGGCATTGTCAAGCAGATGCAGTTGCAATCTCAGGTATGTTTTGCTCGGTCCTGTAGGCGCTGGCCAATATTCTAATTTCGATTGTAGATGTACCAGAACCAGTTCCAGAAATATCAGCCGGAACCATTTGTTGAGCACGATGTTCCACCCCATGTAATGAATGATGAAGGGCCTGTCGTTTCTTCGTGGGTTTGCAAGGCAGCTTTGCAGCGTTCCGTTGCAAAGATATTCTATCATACTGGATTTGAGGAGTACCAGCCGTCAGCTCTTGACGCTGTCACTGATATTGCTTCTGATTTCTTTCAGAAGATAGGAGAAACGTTCAAGTCTTATATTGAGGCACCCAAAGTTCCTGCCGGCGATTCAACGGACATTGTGTCTTCAAGCAATCAGTGGAAAAAGGCATACACCGAACCAGAAATTGTGCTTCACACACTGAACTCTGTCGGTATTGGTGTTGAGGACATTGAGTCTTATATAAAAGACGATGTGGAGCGACTTGGGACGAAGCTGGCGACCGTCCATGACCGCTTGAGGTCTTTGCTATCTGAGCTGTTGCGCCCTGCCCTTGCCGATGGAGGTGAAGATGGTTCCAATGCATTTGCAGATGGCAGTGAACAGTTCGTTGGTGGTGACTTTGCTGAGGACATTGACGAAGATTTCTTCGGATTCAAGGAGCTTGGTCTGGATAAGGAATTTGGTTTGGCTACTCTCAGTGTCCCGCTTCACCTCCTTCAGAATAGGATGTACAACGCTGCTCAGTCCCAAAATACAAGGTATGGTGGACAACCCCCGGATGCATTATTGATACTCACTGTTTATTAGTTCTACCCAAACCGTGACCCTTTTCCCGCCGCCCCCTCCATACCCTCGGATCACATCGGAGACGTTGCCGTCACAAATTGGATTGGTCCAAGCATTTTTCGCTGCCAAAATACAAGCAAACAACAACGAGGGCCTGGTTGAGGATCTTGAACTACCACCAAAACAAAGGCCAATGGCTGCTAAGCCTCGTCTTCCAGCCTCTGGCAAAATCCCGCCACCCTCTGCCCCGACCGGGCCGACTTCCAGCCCTCAAAAGCGTCCGCTCCCTCCGACAGCTCCTGGTCAGCAACCAAATGCTATCAAGCCAGGGCCGTCAGAACCCAGTAAGAAAAAGGTCAAGAAGAACAGTGGCGTGGCCCTGGAAATTCCTGGATCAATTGCCGACGGGGACGAACCTGCAGTGAACCTAGATGGCACTAAGACTACCGATGACCCAACATCGGCAAACTTGGATTCCAAGGACTCTGCTGCCGAGGTCTCGGGGGGCCCCGTGACCGAGTCTAGCAACGTTAAGAGCGGACTAGATAATCCGATGTCCGACGTTACCACTGGTGAAGGCTCTGGTTCTATCGGTGATGCCAACGGCGATCTAAACAAAAGTAACGACAGCACGGCTCCTTTGACAAACGGTACAGCGGGCGATGCATCATGATGTTGTTATACGAAACATACCGAACCCCTTGTTGGCTGAAATGGTACTTGTATAGCCTCTCCGCTACACATTTGGATGACTCTCTTTGCTATCCTCCAGGGACCTACAACCCTTTTTGTTACAATTTATTTCTGCATCATATTTCGTGTTCAATGTTTTTTTTTTTTTTTTTTTTTTTTTTTTTTTTTTTTT